AAAAGTGATTGGACAATTTTCATTCAAACGGAACTGAGGGAGTGATAGTGAGAATATTCTGGTATTTATAATCACAAGAATCTAAGAAACTGCATGCTTTTCGGTGATAAGCTGCGAAGGTTAGTATTACATGGATCTGGAGTCTTGACACTCGAAAATGAAGAATGAACTCAGACTCGAGATTGAAAAAACATCGAGAAGCGTGATCTCGAATAACTTCTTCATCTCGCACCGGTGTATATCTCAACCGAAACTCCGCCGCCGACTTTTTCCAGGGTAGGCAAACTTTTCACGAAAAGGTTACCATGGCGAAACACTTCCCAGCTTCAGTCTCTAGTATTCCGGTTCACAATAATTTCAGTCGGATGTCGGCAATGAAAGCAATAATTTGTTGTTTTGATCATCATGATGCCATAAATGGCATCACGATACGTGTTTAAAGCAGTCTCCTTTCTGAAGTAATCGAGTTTCGTGAAAAATCATCTTTATCTTCACCTGGTTTCCTTTTCGACCATCATTGCTTTAATATAGTGTCTTGACTTCCAACCATTTCATATGTTTATAACTACACGCACGCAGAGGATCTTATGCTCTTCAAACCAGCGACAGCACTCGAGTATCATCAGGGAAAAATCTTCGCAAAAGCAGAAGCAGGAAAACTACCTTCACAAATAGATCATGAGAATTGTGGTTTAATCCAATCCACTTGATTGAAAGTGTCTCAAATTCTTATCTTACCATCTTCCAGACCCGCCGGATTGAGTTTGACTGACCTCATCTAAGCCTCAAGCTTGACTCTGAGGAAACATTTGAATGAGAGAAAGATTTATCAACACTACAGAGATTGAAAAGGGTGCATGACTTTACACATTCTTGAATTGATCTTTGTTTAATTTTACACAACCATCCGGCTACTAGAGCAGCCGTTTGCCTAGTGCCAAGAGAAGCTGAATCCTGGTACGTCGAGGTCTCGCTACCCAAGTGCGGGCATGGACAGGAGTAATCTCCCTCGTGCCTCGTACGGGCACTAGTCAAGTCGTGTCATCTCAGTCAATCTCAATGTCCCACAAAGGCGGATAATCAAGATGCTTCACTTCAAATAGTGCGCTATTCCGTTTGTGTGCATATTGCGGTAGACACTAAATCAACTATATTGCTTGTAATATAATCACTTTTGTTAAATCATTTTCTTAAGGTCAGAGGAAGCATCTGTCCATCTGCATGAATTCTGTCAACTGATAATGTACGTGAAGACTAGGAACTAAATTGGCAGGATATTGTAAGGATGTCACTGGCTCAACAATGGGTGCAGAAAGGTTCAGAAGCATCAAATTTACAGCACAATATAGTGATATATACATGAGCTCAAATCTTACACCCAATCCATTTGTCTAGATAGGTATAAAAATTAAACTCAAATATCAAGAGAAATAAAAGAAACAGTACAATTATCCAATGAGGATTTAAAATTGATCACAAGAATTTTTTTTCTTTTTTTTTGTAAAACAAAGGAATAACTTGTACACAAATCAAATATATATGTACGAGAAAACCAAAAATGTAAATATAATGACAAGAAGAAAAGAAAATGAAGAATATATACTATCTAAATCTAATGAAGATATCTAACTAGGCTTTAAGCTTTAATGACAATAATTGTATACAATAAGAGAACAAGAGTGTACATTATGTTAAGAGAGTTGGTAAGGATTAAGCAAGAAGTTTTCATCCTATTCACGGACCAAACCAAAAAAAAATTACAAATTCAAAAATCAAGACTTGAATAAATCCAATCAAAAGAACTCTTTTGATCAATCTTATCATAATGATACTTTTGTTGACAAACTATGAAGAAAAAGAATAAGATATCAGGATTAATCAGATTTAAGCAAAACTCATATTCACTCACTATCATGATAGGTAAGCAGACTTCCAGTGATTTGAAAGACTTCGTCAGTATGGAGGAGGTTCATGTCCTTGGGTATGAATCGGATGATCATGGTAGTTGTTTGAAGGACTGCGCTTAGCAAATTGCTCAGCACTAGAATCTTCTACAGAAATTCCTGATTTTGGATTGGGTACAGGGGAAGCTAGTGCGAATCCTAAAAGAGTTAAAGTCATGAAAATCACAGAGATTGATGAAGTTGAAAATTGAAAGTTCATTTTGTTAAATTTGATAAAATTGGATAAGACGTTTCTCAGAAACAAATATATAAATGTGAATGTAAAATGGATAATTTTGGTTAAATGGCAAATGTGGTAGTTTAAGTGATCTATGATAAGACTATATAATCTGGTATTTATAGATGACCAAAATCCAAGAAACTGGATACTTTTCGCTGATCACAAGCCGAGACGAGGCCTCAACACTGGAAAGGTGAAGGATGTCATCGAGATCTGAGACGAGTCATTTCGATCCCGAACAAACTCAAGTCACCATGAATTTGACGAAACATTCTGAATTCGTCAGCTTCAGTGTCTACATAACATTTTGGTTCACCAAAACTCAACTCGAAGCTTGACAATCAATGCCAAATTGGGTGTTGTCAACATCTTGATGTCATCAACGGCATCAGAATGCACAGCTTTTCGGCTGGAATAAAGAACTTTCGGCAGCTTGTTGGCTGTGGAGTCTTATTTCTGAAGTACATAATTGGCCCTCGGGGTTCGAGATATGGTCATCTTCATCTTTACCAGAGTTCCTTTTTCCGACCGTCATTGAATTTCATTGCCTTGACTCACGACCACTTCAAGTACCTATGACTACACGCACGTAAAATGTCTTTGAAACCTCTTCGAACGAGCGGAGATTCTGAAAGCATCAAGCTTAAGTGAAAAAGGTGTAAGGAATTCAATCAGGTCCATCAGATGATTATTGCCGCTCATTATTATGGGAAGATAGAACTCAAGAACATGATATACAATCAAGAGAAATTCTGAAACGGATCTAAGTATTAAAAAAGAATCTTTACAAAAGTAAAACCATGAAAAAAATAAAATTGGATTAAAGAAGTTTAAGTTTGAGTTCAATCGGATTCCAATTCACTTAATTCAGAGTATTTTGAAGTTGGATCTTCCCATCTTCCAGACCCGCTGGATTGAGTTTGTCTAATTTCTTGTAAACTTGAAGTTTGAGGAAGTACATAAAGAGATTGAATGAATGAAAGATTGATTGCAAGTAAAATCAAAGAGATCAAATGGATCCGTGTTTTCAACATTTTTTTCGAAAATTAGTTTCGGTTTTATTGAAGAACTGTTGAAAGTTGAATTGGGTCAGGTTTTGATAAGTTTCTGAGTGAGATTTACTTTGCTTGATGGAGTTGAATTTGTTGAAGTTTCCCAGCCAAAACTATCTTTCAAGATATCGATTTCAAATCTATAAAAGAAATCAATACGATACTGAGAAAAAAAATAACTCATCAAGAAAGAAAAGATCAACTAACCGAATTCTTGAGTATGAACCAAAGTTGAATCTTTATAAACTTTCAAAACCAAAAATTCAGAATGAAGAAGTATTTCTAAAGAAAACTAGAAGCAAGAACTTGATTCTCAAAACAAATTAGTAATTAGAAAGTTAAAAAATCTAACCAAAGTTGTCTAGTCAACATTCACCAAGTCATACTAGTCAATCTCATCCTCATTTTCTCAGTCTCTAACCAATCACGTCGTCAAAGGAACCATTAAAATTTCATTCATTCAATAATTTTGTACTCTTTATAATCAAGCAATCATCTTTTTGTTTTCATTTTTAAATGTGAAGCTCATAATGAACTGTTAGGGGATCTTTTTTTTCTCAACTTGATAATCCAACTGAACACTTCTTAGAACAGATCAATGAAATGGTTTTGTATGTTCAACTTCAGGATATATATAAAATGCCATAGTCCAAAAAGACTTTTGATCATCCCTCCAGAAGCATATTGGTTTTTTTTGATCGCAAAACTAAGCCAATGATAACAATAAGAGTAGGAGTCTCTCTACCAGACCTTTTACATATTCTAAACCGTGTCAACAGAAGAAACACATAAAAAATCGAATTGCTCAAGTGTAGGATATATTCTTAGCTTTCAAAAAACATAATTTATGAACCAATAAATCCATTCGGAAGATCAATTTCCAAGTTCTAACCCATGACAAGTTGTAAAGAATAATCAAATCATATCATTGGAAACAAAGAGACTTCAATAAAACCAAAGCCAAAACTGTTACTTTTACTTGATTGATTTTTCTTTTTACATCTCTATATTTTTTATGTATCTACAAAAAACCAAAATGCTCATAAAAACAAAACAAAAACCGACATTTGAAAAAGAAAAACTTTAAACCAATCTATTTTTTTTGATATATCTTCAAATATACTATAACTAAATTTGAATGAAAATACAATATATGATAGATAGTAGATATTACTTACATTATAGATGAAAAGAAAGAAAAAAACGAAATTTAAAACTAAATCAATGAAAAACAAACGACAACTTTCTATCAAAAGAAAACAAAACAAAAAATGAATTCCATTCAATAAACGTGAAAGAAGAAAAACAAAACAAAACATGAGAAACGATAATTTAATAATAAACTTTAATGAAAATAATAAACTTTTAAAACTTTCTTTTTCTCTTAATCACATCTTAAAATTGATTTAAATTGATTTGATTTGATTTGATTTTGATCTTTCATAAAACATTAGCTAATTTTCTTAAAACCTCAATCAATCCTTCCGGTCTTTCTAATCTAAACTCAGCCAAAGTTTTCCTAGACTCATTCTCATCAATCACCACCGCAAAGATCCCATCAACATCTAATCCCGAGATGATCGTATTATTAGCCGTATGATGATGATGATGATGATGATTCATAGTAGGAGTTCCGATTTGATTTGAATTCACTGCAGGACTACTCTGAGTTTGTTGAGCAGATCCAGATCCAGTAGAAGAAGTTCTAGTCAGTAAAGGAAACAATGGAGCTTCAATCTCAGATTTGCCTCCTGATCTTGACATCTGTTTTAAGGCTCTAAACATATCTTCATCTGTCTTATCATCTCCTGCACATAATGCAAATCCAATCTCAGGTGTACTATAAAGTAATCGTTTCACAATTTCTCCTTTATTCGTATGTGCTGGTCTACATTCGATATTCTTTTTTCCTTTTAAAATATCAATCGGCATTCTTTCTTGTAAACTTTCTAATAACGCTTGACATTCTTTGGCTGATGTGATACACAAACACAAAATCGTTTTCCTCATTCATTCATGGTCTTCTGATTTTTTTTTGGGTGGAGGTTTGACTCACCTTGAAATAATCCAAACTCTGGATCTGCATTCCTATAATGCCAAGTAACACTTGAAGTTTTCGTTTCAACAAACGCTCCCAAAGTCCTTGCTTCGTAATCTATCAAAATCAAAACCCCAAACGTTCAAATCCAAAAAAATCAAATTCAGAAACCCAAAATGAAAAGCACCTCAACAGTGTCATAAAAAGAGACTCACACTTAAAAATTTCTTCCACATCATTCATCCAACCCATCTCGAAATCAACAGTTAAATCGATCCATTCCTCACTTCCAGGTTCTCTTAAATAACATCCATGTTCAGCTGACATACCTAAACCTTTGATCTCACCTAAATGTTCTTGTAAGAAAGCTCCATCTCTACCTGATATAATATAAACAATATTTTTTGAATCTGAACATAATTTGTTTAATGCTTCAATCAAACCTGGTGGTGGGATAGCATCTTTTGGATTCTTTACTATGGGTGTTAAAGTACCCTTTTTGAAATTTAAATTCATTTTTTTCTCATTAAATCAGTTTTGTTTCTTTCATTTCGAGAACTAATAAAAAATAGAAAATTTTACTCACATCATAATCAAATAATAATAATCGTTTCTCTGCTTCATTATATTTTTTCATTAAATGAACTTCGTCTAATAATTTCACATATTGCATAGCTTGATCACTTCTTAAACAATCTAAAAGTTGTAAAAGTAAAGTACTAGCCCACACTGCTGAAGAATGTGATATGACTCGACTATACAATTGCTACAAAATTGATGAACTTCATCTTTAGTCACATCTTTCCTATTTCTTCAAGCGAAAAAAGCAAATCCACTCAACTGCATGTCTTTGTTTCTTTTCCGCCTCTGACATATTCAAACACTGATCAATAGCTTTCGCAACCCCCTATCAACCCCCCCGAAAAAAAGAGAAATTATAAATCAAAACCCCATGCCTGAAAATCCCAAAAACGCTCATGAAACCGAACTCACCCCTAAGTCCCAAGGATTAACTTTAATAGCCGCTTTCATCGACCCAGTCACTCCAGTAAACTCCGAAAGGATCAAAGGGTTTTTAAATTCTTTTTGACAAATTGTATATTCCATTGAAGTAGTATTCATGCCATCTCGTACAGAAGTAATGACAGCCAAATCAGCCACCGATAAAAGTGCAAAATATTCCTATAGGTATCAAGAAAAAGACTCAGTCACCAAATTTCTGGTGTTTGAAACCAGCAATTGAAAATCAAACTTACATCACGTTCAATAGTTTGATGATAATGATGAACAGGTTGAAAATGAAGTGTACCATAAGTAGCATTAATATGATCTACTAGTTCAGAAATCTTGGTAGCAAGTGAAGGTGAATCAGTTGGTGAAGGTGAAGTGACTTGAATCAATGCAACTTGATTTCTCCATTGAGGAAATCGTTTTAAAAGTTCTTCAAAAGCTCTTAACTAAATTAATACAAAAAAACCAACACCGATCAAATCTTTGAAGTTTTGAAATTGATTGATGTAGTGTTCGTTAGCTTGAAAAAGGTTCTTACTTTTGGTAAGACTCCTTTGGTTGGATCTAGTTTATCTCTGCCAACAATGATTTTCTTACCCTCATACAATTTCTTCAATGCTTCCATTTTCGGTTTAACCCCTGGCATTCTCCTACTTGAACCACCGTTCCACCGCAAAAAACCAATCCAAAGAACACTTCAACATCAGTTTTTCAAGAAAAAAAAAGTTTCCTTTTGGTTGGTTGTTGAATAGGAGAAAACTAACCGATCAGATTCGATTCGATCTGCATCAATTCCAATTGGACAATGTGTAATTGAAGTTAATCTTCCATTTGCTTCGATTCCTCCTCCTACTGATTCGTATCCCATCACTCGTATACACGCTGAAACGAAATGACGACCATAAGAATAAGTTTGAAAACATAACTAAAACCCCCCCAAAGAAGATGGAAAAACAAGGTCAGTGATCTTGATGATTGTTTTCACCACAAGAGATTGAACGTGATTTATATAAGAATTATCAAAACAAACCAAATCTGCACCTAACATTCCATCTAAGATTTCTTCTCTTCTTGGTAAACATCTAAAAAATTCACTAGAAGGAAAAGGAGAATGTAAAAAAAGTCCAATATATGATTTAGGTAACATTTTCCTCAACATTCTAGGTACCAACAACAAACTGTAAAACCAAAAAACCAAACCAAACGTCTCAATCAGTTAAATTCGATCTGTAAAGAGATGAAAAGAAAAAAAGGCTTTTGAAGATCAAACTAAACTGATAATCTTGGATCCATATCAAATCTCCTGGTTTATAAACTTCTACAATTTTCTGAGCGAATAATAAATTCACTTCTTCGTAAGCTTTCCATGCCATATTTTCTAAAACTTTATCTTGATGTTCTGATAAAGGCATATAATGAAAAATTGGCCAAAGATATCTATATATATATCAAAAAAGAAGCATCAATTCAACCCAATTCTTTGACGAAACTTCATTCAAACTCAAAGCTTTCTGTGGTAAGATTCTTTGTTTTGTTTGGACTCACTTTTTACAAAACCCTTCATAATGTAAACCCGCGGTTTTTTCATCTGCCCAAACAGGTACACACTCAATTCCTCTTCTACCACTTTCATTAATTTCACTTCTAGCTAAATTTCGAAGTCCAGCATCTAAAGCATGAGTTTGAGCATCTGAAAGTTTAGCCGCATCTAATGGATGACCACTTCCAAGTGTGAGATCAGCAGGATAGGCACAAAGCGTGATGGATCGATAAGTTGAAAGTGATTTGATCCCAGCATTTAGAGCTGCATGACCTCTTCTTGGTTCTAAAACCCATCTGAATCGATCTTCTTCTGATGGTAATGTATCAAGAGGGATTCCAGGATCTGAAAGTCCTGCACTAGAAGGTGGTCCAGGTCTTGCTGGTGTTCCAGGTAAGAGAGGACTTCCAGGTGGTTTAGGTTGATCTAATAATGAAGTCGGTCTACTTGTTAAAGTTAAAGGTGTAAGTCGAGTAGATGATCTTTTACTTTCATCTGGTGATAATTCAGCTGGTGTGGTCATGATAGGAGAATGTAAACTTCTAGGCATCGTAAGTTCATCACCTGGTCTGAATTCAATTGTTTCATCAATATTAGAAGTAGGTGAAGATGGAATGTTGAAATCTGATGTGTTGGTATTTGAATCTCGACTGAAATGTAAACTACAATGATAAGGTAATGCATGACAAGCCATGATCACATGACCTGTTAAATTTATCTTTCCTCTTGATTTATGTTCTTCTTCTAATAATGAGATTCTTCTTCGAATATCATCTAATTCTGGTAAACCATCTAATTGTGGTGGTTCCCAATCATCTTCATCTGGTCTGAATGTGGTGAATTGAGAAAAAGTGTTAGTAAGTGTAGAGATAAGATGTTGATTGATTGATAGTGAAGATAGAACCACTTACCTTTGTTGAGCTAGACCATAATGAACTAAAGCTCTTTCGTACATTGTGTTGATGGGTGATGGATGATGGTTGATAGTGGCGATGGTCAACAATTGATCGATCGATGAAAATTCAAGTTGGTCATGAGAAAAACAGATTCTCTAACAATGCATTATTGAAAACTACAGTTTGAACTCAAACACATCCACCATCACTCCATCAAGTGATCAGTATCAGATCAGTGGAATAAAACTAAACCAACAATGAAAAACATTCAACTTATAACTTGGTTTCAATATTCAAACTCAACTCTAAAGACTATAAGTTTAACTCAAAATTAAGACTCAAGAGCGCATTTGTATCTGATCAAGCAGTAAAAAGCTACATATCCAGCATCAAAGACTCAAGGACCTCTTTATGAACATGCATAGCTCTGATTGCTGAGATGGTTTCAAAATCAAATGGCTCAAGTTTTTGGTATTTTGATTCAATTTTCTATAAAACCAAAGAAAAAGTAAAAATACAAAACCAAAAAATAGAAAAACTTGGAATCCCATGTTTGGTTCTCTGAAAATCACGATTTACTATATTTTTTTTGTGCATTTCTTAAAGAAAAAAACTAATGATCCCCTGAAGAAGAAAAAAAATCTAAACTTTCATCCTCCCCTCCTCCAAAAGAAAAAACCCCACATTTTTTTTTCTCCTTCAAAATTCACAAATCCCTCCTTCCATTTGATTCAAAAGATAACCTAAAACATTTAATTCTTGTCCGACTTTTTCAACTTTACTTAAATACCTTTCAGAATAAGCAGCTAAACTATCTAAAACCTCTTTCAAAGTTTCTTTACCTTTTCTTACTTTCCATTTGCCTTCGTTTCGATTCCCATTCCCATTCCCTTTCTCGTTTTCTGGGTTGTCTTCTTCTTCTGGTCTTGATTCTTCAATAGACTTTAATAAAGTTTTGTATGAATGAAATTTAAAGATTCCAAATAAAACTTTATGTGAGGTTTCCTGAGTTTTACTTAACGAATTCCAATCTCTACAAAACATTAATAGTTTTAAAACTTCATCTCCTCTTAATTCTTTTAAAATTTCATCTATCTTTCTTAGACCTTCTTCTTCTTCTTCTTCATCTTCTTCTTCTTCTAAAATTTCATTAAACAATTTCAATAATCTAACCGATTTGTTTAGTTTAAGTAATAAACAAATCACCGTTTTATAATCTTTTAATCTAATATAATTCTCTAAATCTTGATTTAATCTCATCTCTTCTTCTTTCAACTTAAACTTTTCCATTAGTTTTTCTTCTGTGATATCTTTCCAATAAATTATTTTAGAATCAGATCCAGCCGTGAGGATTCTTTGACCGTCTTCTTCGATTTCTAATGCCCAAATCTTACTATCATGATTAATCTTACTTTCATCTTCGATCGTACTACTCTTCTTACTAACCGCGATTTCGTCTTCAATACTTTCATCTCCTAATGTACTTAAACATACTTGGTTTTTGATTTCCCAGATCTTGATTAATGAATCAGAAGAAGTAGAAACAAGTTGAGATCCGAAATTAATGAAATCTAATCTAAGGATAGCATTAAGATGACCATCAAACGTTTTCAAACAATTACCAAACTTTTCATCATTTTGATCGATTGACCAAAGTTTTATAGAACAATCACCACTACCAGTCGCCAAAACTTTTTCAAATTTCGAAAACTTCAACGTCCAAATCCCTCTGCTATGTCCCTTTAGGATCCCTAAGATTTCTAAACTCGTGCCTTCTTTTGCTGTATGATTCAGTTTAAAGACTTTACATAATTTATCTTGAGATCCAGTAGCAAAGAGTTTTCCTTCTTTGCAAAACCCAATCGTATTAATATCTTTTTCGTGTACTTTTAAAGTTGATAAAGATTTCATTGGATTGGTTTCTTGATGAGTTTTATCAAGTTTTGAAATCAAAGTTAAATCCCAAAGTTTAACCGTTCGATCTTGTGAAGCAGTAGCTAAGATTGAAACTGATTTTTGGGTTTGTGAATCTTTAAATTCGGTTAAACTGACTGCTCCAAGACCTTGCATATGTCCTTCACAAATCCCTACACAATCCCATTCGATTCGTTCATCTTTCACAAATTGTTTCCAAACTCTTGCTGTTTTATCTTTCGATCCACTGACAAACCAAGTCGAATCTTCACTTTTGGTCAAACATAAGACTACATCATTATGGCCTGATAATAATTCGGTATGATTCTCTTCGGGTCCTAATGATAAGATTCGGATGACAGGTGAGTTTGTGGCTAGAGCTAGATGGGTGGCTGTTCCGCTTGAAGAGTTTAGTAAACTTGTATCAATGATCTCGTCATGTGATCCTACAATCTGTCGTATGATATGAAGACTTGGTAGTTTTAAAAGACTGAAAGTTTGATCTATCTTGGTCACTAATAATGTTTGGGTTTCTTCATCGTAACTGATTTATAAGAAGGAAATCAGAACTCATTGAAACTCATTAAGATATAGTGAAGATTGTAACTTACCAAGTATCAAAAATACTAGTACGTGGAAATTTATTATCGACTGTAGATTTTTCTTCTTCAGAACTAATTTGTTGACCAGATTCTAAATCCCATAATCTAATTAAACCTTTATCACCAGCAGTAAAAACAGAAAGACCTTTAAGAGGAGAAACCGAGGAGTTTCCAACTTGAGCTTTGGATTTTCCTTTAGATTTAATTGAACTGATTGGTTCTTCAGGTTTACTAATTAATCCAATAGATTCGATTGTTTCATAAACTGGAATCGTTTTAATTACTTTAGATGATTCGATTAACCAAAGGTTGACTACTTTATCTCTAGACCCAGAAACCAAATACTTTCCATCTTTTGTAATACTTAATCCACGTATAACAGAAACATGACCATGTTCAAAAACATTGATTAATTGATTTGTACGTAAATCCCATAATTTGATTTTCCCATCACTAGATCCAACTGCTAATCTTGCACGAGCTTCAGGTTTGTTAACATCAAAACTTAATGCAGAAACCAATTGATGTCCTTTGAAAACATGTGTACAATGTCCGTTCTTGACATCCCATAGTTTTACAACACCTGCTGTATCACCTGTTGCAAAGACGGATGAAGTGGGATCTGCAATTGAGATTGAGATGGGAGCTTCGTGAGCTTTGGCAATTGATTTTTGATGATTGACGGTCGTTGTTTCTGGATCGATGAAAGATCCAAGTAATGTGTAGATTCGAATTGATAGTGATCTATAAGCAATTAAGAGTGTCGGATTTGATGTTGATGGAGTACAAGTGATTGAAGAGACGATTGAAGAATCCTACATGAAGAATCGAAGGTAGAGTCAGTTTAGAATTCTTGGATTGAGTTGAAAGTGTTTTGGTTGATTTGAATGGGAAAGCCTACCTACACCTTCGAAGGTATGTAACCGTTTACCTGAGTTAAGATTGGTTGCTAAAACTTCTTCATCCATTATGGTAAAGAGTAAATTGCAGCTTGATGAGAATGTAGCTTCTCCAGCCGTATGAATTGGAGTCCATGATCTAAATGGTTGATAACTATATATATATAGTGAAGAGATATATCAGTTAATTTGAATGGGTTCGATGTAGACTTATTAAACTCACCAAGTTTTGAGTCTTTGATTTGTTACTTGAGTCATGATTGATTGATTTGTTTGAAAATCTTTAAGAAATGCTGAGCCAAAGTTGAGTGTTGAACAAAAAAAGTGGTGAAGCTGAGACTCACGTGAAAGATTGAGTAATCTGGTTCGATTTGTGGTTTTGACAGTGACACTCAGCCCAAAACATGTCGCTCAGATGTCACACATACCTACCATCCCCCTTTCACATCCTTGAAACCTTTGATGAAATCTTCAATTCTCACACCATCACTTCGAAGTTGGCACGTCGAGACATCCAAATAAAAGGATGAGGAATTTGAATCAATCAGATCAGCTGAATCCAATGTTGGTTGATTATCAATTAGTAAAAATTTGTAAGAATGGAATGATGTGTTTGTTTTGATTCCAATTCATCATCATCCATCATATCGTGAAGAATTCATCAAGAATACGTAGGATCATCCAATAAATGTTATGAGATGATATGTAGCTTATTCTTGTTCATCTGGCTCACATCCTCGAGTAATTATAAGCTTCATATCTATTATGATGTGTTGCATGATCGATCAAGAAAACAAAAAAACAAACAGATCAAATGATCAACCCAAAAAGAACAAACAAAGAACAATGGTTCAAAAAAATGTTATAAAAGGACTTCACCTCAAATCCCCCGAAATTTATCCTGCCATTGCTTTCTCTTAAACGCCAAGAAAAGTTCATTTTATCCCTTCACAAGAGATCTTTCAAGAATATATACCACGAAATATACCACAAAATCAGACCAAAATGAATAACTTTATCACACTTTTGTTTGCTGTATTCTCATTCACGAACTTTTTGAGAGTTTCTTCACTTAGAATCCTTACTCCAAATCAAAATGATACTATATTGTAAGTCTTTGTCCTTCTTTTTGCACTTCTTTCTTGGTCAAATGATGTTGCTTTTGATTTAGATGTGGATACTAATTCTTTGTGATTTCTGGGGACGTAGTGCCAATCAATTAATGTTGATTACTTGGGAAGCAGTACCTACTGATCCATTATCATTTGATATTCAAATAAGCAACAATAATTCAAAGTTCAGTGATCTTTCTTCTTCCATTTTCCAAAAATCCTCATGTCTGTTTCTCATTTCTTAAACCGTCTTGTTTTTCTCTCTTCTTATAGTCTTTATCCAAATGGTTTGACAAATTATCTCAAGAAATCACAACCTGCTTATATTGGATATCTTAGTATATCTAATTTAAGTTCTTTGGTTAATGGGTCTGGTTATGAGATTCGTTTCTTATCAATGGTAAGTTATGGTTTCATCTTTCTTTAGTATCTTTTACTTACCTCTTACTTTTTTTTGTTGCGTAGGATACTTCTACTATTCTTAGTCAATCTCCCAAATTTAATGTTTATAATTCTATCTCTAATGGGTCTGGAAATAGTTATAATATCAAAAACTCGTCTACTTCAGGTTCGTCAAAAGCTTTTGATCCTATTAGCATCGGTTTAGGCTTAAAGAATCTGATCTTTGGTCTCTTTGTTTAGGTTATGATCAAGAAAATGAAGCTTCAACAACATTTGATCAATCTTCTATTTATCTCCTTTTGTTCTCTGCACTTTTCGTTCTGTTTATTTGAGCTTGTAGATTCTCTATCCAAGTGTTTTTTGGGGTTTGGGGTCCTGGTTTTATGATTTTGTTTTGTAACGGATCTCATTTCGAAGATGTGACAAAGAAATTGAAATTCTTATCTAAGAAATCTAAGAAAAATTTCTTCTATTAAAAAAATGCATGACGTGTTGGATATTTCTTTTCAGATGTTTTTGGATGTTTTTTTAGAAAATATTTTCACTTGAGCTCTGATTTTTTAATACATATATGTGACTTTCTTCTTGGCGAGTTTTCTTTATAATTGACAGGTGAAAAGATAAGAAAACCCACTTTGAAAGTCCTGATAAAAACTTTGAAAAAGAAAAATTCACATCGTCTTTTGAAACTTCCTTAATCATGCAAAATAATCGTAGATTACCCCAAGCTCGCGACGGTAATATATAGTCCAATACGTCGGGCGTATGGAGAGTCGGGAAGGGTAGAGACTCGAGGCCCCTCGGGCCGGGCAACCATTTGGTTGTGGCGTTTGTGCAGAGACTAGAGAGGAAAAAGTTTTTCTCTCTAGAAACGCCCTCCTGAGGTCTCTTCTCTTTCCGACATCTCTCTCTTTCAATTTCTAGTAAAAACGTCTTGCACGTGTTTAGTTAAAAATAAAGATTTTTTTCTTTAATATCATAGTCACTGTTTTAAAATTCTTTACGCTCTCAAAACTAGCTTAGCTATAGTCACTCCAAAAGTCATTTTCTTTCTACATGAACAAGAGTCAAGTCCAGAAACTGATTAAAAGCAAGTTAGATCGTCAAGAAATGGTTACATCGGCAAGACAAGAAGAGGAAAAGAAATTAGCTAGACAGATGAAAGAGAAAGATCAAGCAGAGGAACGTCAGAAGCGGGCTGCCTCTCGTGCACCGAAGTCGAAGCCTCAAGAGCCAATTCAAGCGGATCAGGCGAATACGCAAGTCGAGATGGGAGATCAAGTCTCTCCGGTGAGCGAAGTCGAAGAGGAGGATGAAAGTGAAGATCCAGAATCAGATACGGCGGACGTGAAACCACTGGAACTCAAACAGAAAGAGTTAGAGAAGATGGAAAGATGGAGAGATGAAGAAAGGCGTCAGCTAGAAGCTGCGAAGAAGGGGAAAGGTTTAGCGGATCAAAAAGAAAATTTGGATCCGAAAAATAGCTTACCTATAGATGGTATGTCGTTAGACAAGTTTTTTACCCACAATCGTTTTCCATCTTCTTTTTTCCCTTTTTTTTTATTCTTGTATTCTTCTCACACACTTGATCCGAGACATGTCTGTCATTCTGGAGATGGTAGTGTTGGTGGACCATGGCTGCTAGATGCGCCGGTCGGAGGAATAGTGCAGGCTGCTGAAGCGCCATGAGCCATGGTCGGCAGATCCTATGCTGAGGGCTGCTTTGAGCGCCTGTTCATAGAGTACGACACTCCCATTACGCTTGGAGATTACTAGGTTGCAGCTTGATGCGCACCATGGACCTAGTCCCTCACGCAAGTGAGGTTCGAGGTATGAGGAGGGATTCCAAACCTATAGAGGCATGCGAGAATCAATTAATACTCTTCTGTTGGATAGAACACCTCTCCCTTCGTATCTGTTATAAAGATGTTGTGAAGAAGGTTAGAAACTCACCTTGGTTTAGTGTGGTTGTGTTTCTGTTTCAGCTATACGGGGACTCCTCAACGAGGAACCGGGAAGTTCAAACGAAAACTCGGGGAGCAAATCTATTCTAGAGGCGTTGACTAAGGCGCTAGATGCGAAGGATGGCCCGAGCACCAGGCGGCTGATCCAAGCGTTCAATTCTTCTTTCGGTTCCATTGTCAAAATGGAGTATGACGAGCCGTCTCCGAAACGGGCTCCAGCTCCAGGGGTAGGCTTGTCAAATCCACGAGTTGACGATTCGAGCCAGCTACTGGCTAGCATCTCAGGAGGGGTGAACCAGAAAGACCATCAAGCACGCCCCACTCAGGATAGAGTAGACGGAGTACTTCATGATGCAAAAGGGAGAAACGGACCTGGTGACGAACCTTCCTCGAGTGACTCAGAACCTTCAAAACCGAAAAAGAGGTCGAAGAAGAGGAAACAAAAGAAGAAAGAAACCTCGAGCGACAAATCTAACTCAGATGATTCAGACTCTTCGAAGTCAAAAAAGAAGAAGAGAAGACACTCTAAGTCAAAGAAGAAAAGGTCGTCCAGCCCACATGGCGACCCCTCGGGCTCCTCGGAGTCTGACTCTGATAAGTCGTCATCAGAAGACGATTAGAGTTTGGATGAGTCTGAGAAAGCGAAGAAGGCTGTGTTAGATTTCGATCTATTAGAGTTCAACTCGGCGGATTTGCCAGACTTACCAAGAAAGTGGGATAAAGGTTTCAAGAGACTTAGAACTTATGTACCCCTCTCAGTTTTCAAAAGGTCATTCCTTGATGCTTATAATGATGAAGACGATGATGAGAAAACTAAAGAGAAAAGAGAGAAGTCAAAATCTACTCAGAAGGCTTTGGAAAAGCAAATAACATTTGGAGATTTTATCGAGATGTGTGATCTGGAGGAGAGATACACGAGAGAAATCTACCAGTTAGACGCCTATGCTGATTATATCGTGAAGCATAAGAAAATAGTTTCTGACCTGAAGAAGAAATACTTGTGTTGGATGGTTGGCCTTCGTTATCACTTAGCTATACGGACTGTGATCTTTAGGAGACGAAAGTTAGTCAAGACGAAAGTTAATGGCAAGACGGTTTACAAAGATAAGGTTCGGTTGCCGAATGGTCTTCAACCGAAGGTTGAGGCGGATGCAAAATTCTTTGCAGATTGGGCTGGTGATTTGCAGTTTGAAGATAATCCTTATGCAGTTGGTGGAGAAAAGTATGGCTATAGCTTTACTACTGGGAGGAAGAAGGTTGATGTCGCCTCGAAAGTCAGCGATAAGACTCCTGATTCAAATGCTCCATCGCATCAAGCGTCATCCTTCAAAGGAAAAAGGAGTGGTGCTAAGAAGCCTTATGTTAAAAAGAATAATTATTATTTGTACAATAAGAATGGTAAGCCCTTGATGCGGAGATCTGATTCCTATTTTGACTGTTTGCCTGACGTTCGTCTTGGTTGCTAGCAGGAGAGAATCAACAACCAACATCAACAACCACCCCAGTAGCGTCTACTTCGTATAAACCAAATTACCAAAACAAGAATCGACAGAACAATAAGTCGTCCGCACAAGAGGAGACCCAAGCAACGTGAGCAGCGAGGTGTTTTGCTCAAATGAAGTTGACGGTTTGGACTGACGTAGTTTTGTGATTGGATGGTTTACCTTGGTTCTGGCTTGGGTCTACTGGCGGAAATTGATCTCGTGGAAATTTTCTTATTAACGCGTCTTGATGTTCTTGAATTGTTAGTGTTTAGAGCTTCCATAGTTGTATCCTTTGCAAAGAAATGTGCCTAAAATGAAATACCAATTTAAATTGCTGTGGGTTTTAGTAGGGACAGTGAGATGTCAGTGCATATTTACGCACCTGCACAGCGGTTGGTGTTAGAGGAGCAAAAGATAGAGACGATCCCTGAGCCATCAGTCACAGAGCAAAGCTCTAATACATCCTCTGCTTCAGACGAAGACACGACAGAGAATCTAGGGAGATCAAGGAAGGAACCGCTACCTTTGTGTGAGAGGAAGATCTTCACGGTCCCCGTTAGTGACCCTTGGCCGACTCCGGTTCGGCACAATATGAAAGTAGATATGTGGGTGATGTTGATGGAAGAAGTTGGTTTAAAGTCAGATATCCCGTACATTGTAAATGGGTTCAAACATGGATTCTGTCTAGGAATACCGCAACATGAACTAGCTGGATTGAGGTGTTATACCCCGGAAAATCATAAGTCAGCTCTAGAAGCTAGGTCGCAGATAGAGGCAACTTTGGCGAAAGAGTGGGAAGCGGGGAGATTGGAGGGTCCATTCACTCACGAAGAGGTTTTCCAGCGTTATGGCTTCTTTCGATCGAACCCAATGGGGAGTGCTGTTAATAGCGATGGGTCCATTCGGATGGTTAACGATTTGTCGTTCCCGAAGAATGACCCAGAAGTACCTTCTGTAAATTCCTTCGCAAATAAATTAAATTATGGAACGTATTGGGATGATTTTAATACGGTAGCAGAATTCTTCCAGGACAACCCAGGAGATTGGGATGTGGGGATCTTCGATTGGAAAAAGGCATATTGGCAATTGCCAATTCACCCTTGTCAGCGACGTTACCTTTGCATATTGGACTTTTATAATAGAGTTTGGGTCGACTTAGCTGTAGGTTTTGGGGGTGTGGCGAGTTGCGGAGTGTTTGGCGCACCGGCTCATGTCTGGAAACTAGTCGTGGAGAGACTGCTGGAGATAGTCATCTTCCGTTGGGTTGATGACAACTTGATGTTTCGACGACCAGGCCATAGAGTGACTTTAGAAGATGTTACAAAGTTGAGTGACGACCTAGGAGTATCGACTAATCCAATCAAAAATCACGATTTTGCGGCAGAACAAAAGTTTTTGGGCTTCATTTGGAATGGGCATGACCACACGGTGCGACTGCCAGAAGTTAAATTGAAGGAAAGATTACAATTAATTGTTGATTTACTAGAGCCGGAAAAGAGATGGGCGTTACATACTGTGGAGAGTATTGTGGGGAAGTTGGTACACACTGTTCATATCGTACCGCACATGAAGCCATATATGAATTCCTTCTACAGCTGGATGAAGAGCTGGAGGAACAAGTCAGCGCTCAGGCACACGACATCAAGCGTAAAAGTAGACTTACAAGAATGGCATTGGGTGTTAACAAACTTTAAGACTAGACAAATTATTCCATCCCCCAAAGCAACGGAAGTAGCTTGGGTGGGGGATGCCTCATCCTCATTCGGCATAGGAGTCCTGATAGGCAAAGATTGGGCTTGCTTTGAATTCACCCCAGGTTGGCAAACGCTGGCGCTCGAGGAGGAGAAGCGCACGATAGCGTGGGCTGAGACCGTAGCGATACAGTTAGGGCTACTGGTTCTACAAAAGTTAAGGCAAGTAGCAGGTGAGCCCAAAGTTTTCTGACCGCATCCAACACAGTGACATACTAAGAAAGACTGTTCCGATAGGGATGAAATTTGCAGTGTGGACGGACAACACTACATCCCAGTCGACTGTGACAAAGAGGAAATCAAGGGATAGGTTAGTGAATGAGGAATGGAAAGCTATTCAGCGGTTGCTTACAATATTAGCTTGCGACATTCAAGCGAAACACGTGACATCTAAAGGGAACGTCGCAGACGCTCTGTTGAGAGGCTACTTAGGTGACCTGATGTGGTTTCGAGAGGTGAAGATACAAGTTCCAGGGGACCTTGAACACCTGCTTCGACAAGTTTTCCCACCGAAGATTCATCCTAAACCAGTTAAAGCTTTATAGTTATAATTCAACGTCCTTGGCAAGAATCGAGATCACATCGTCCTTCTTTAGATAGTCATCATGAAAGAGAAACACCTTGGAAAGACAACTCATGAAGTCAGTTTGAAGAAGATAACAAAGCCATTCGGGATGTTTAAGAAGAATGCGCTGGGAGTCAACGATTCAGAGGTTGACGAAGTGAAGCAACATTACCTAAGAGGAGCGTGGGGAGAAGGAACATTAAAAAGTTATAACTCAGGGATTGTGAAACTACATCGGTTTGCAGTAGTGAAGAAAATCGATAAGAAAGATCTCTTACCAATATCTCCGAAGTTGATGAAGATGTTTGTCATGTGGGCCTCAAAGAAAGATGAAAACAGAGCTGTAGATGATGAATCAGTTAAATACACTACACTAAAATCATACATAGCAGGGATTAAGGCTTGGCATTTGTATCATGATGAAGAATACCCTTCGATAGTGGATGGCGCGGTAAAGTCGCTTTTGAAAGCTTTGCAGATGGTAGAGGCGACGCTGCGAGAGGTGGATAAGAAAAGGCCTCCGGTCATGATCTCAGATTTGGTGATCCTATTAGAAGCGCTACCAAGAGAAGGAGAACAAGGGTTAGCAATGCTGAGTGTAGCATTAATGGCGTTTTGGGGAACAGCTAGATTAGGAGAACTGTTATCTGACGATCAAAACAAGATCTTACCGAGATGGAATGACCTCAAATGGACTGAAGATCGTTTGTCAGTGGATATCTTGATACATAACGCAAAGACGGCAAACCCGGGCGAGATTCAGGTGATAATGTTATACCGACAGAGTTCATTGCTAGATCCAGTCTCGATGCTGGAGGAGTGGTTCCAATTCAAGGAACGGAAGTTAGAGGACGAAATTTTCGTGATCACGGTTAACGGGAAAAAGAAGCGTCTTGGGAAAGTTGAGACGATTAATCACCTACGTGACATCTGGAACGCTCGTCGTTCAAAGAAAACACAACTGCTTCATGGGCACTCGTTTAGAATAGGAGGTGCGTCACTCAGGTGGAACTTGGGTGCTGAGAAAGAAGAGTTGAAGAGATGTGGCAGGTGGGCGTCAGACGCTTACAAGATTTATCTGAGGAAATATTCGGATAGAGAGTTGAACAGCACGAAGACACTGTTGAAAAACTTGATGTGGTCGAATTGATCTGTCTCATAAGGTTCGCTATAGTGGAATTACATAGATTTCTATTGGTATTGAATTTGGCGATACCCTGATCGCCGAGAGATCTGAATATTTTCTGTACGCTGCAATTGAACCTGGTACAGCTGTCAAAATTTTTCTAAACTGTAAGGTTTGGTTGGGTCAAACTCTACGGTGGTTTGAGGGTTGGGTCTTCTCAGGCTCTCGGCTCAAATCCCCGAGAGTTTAGGGGAAGAGAAGCCCTCATAAGGGTTCTTTGCTCTCACCCCGGCAAGGCGGTCCAGATCCGGAGATAGACGTCTATCACCGGACCAGGACCCCCAGACCTCGCCGGGGCATACCCCCAAACCACCCATAGTAGATTGTACAAGATTTATTATATGTGGTTGCAAAGAATACCTCTTGTAGGTGGAAATTCTTTGGGACTTAAATATGAGATTTAATGTTAAGTTAGGAGGACAGTAATACATCTGTCCTCCTCCCTCCTTCCCACGGATATTCCATTACCCGTAAAGTAGTGGAGTGGGTTTTTTTGCGGAGGAGAAAGAGAGTATGAAAGACTCCAACTCAGTATTCTTGACTTTCCTACGTTTTTCTATTTGATTGTAGTCGCAAGAGAAATCTCAATCAATCTTGATCATGATCACTGCGTCTGCCACTGACCGTCTCAACGTCGAGACAGTCAGAAGGCATGCATATTGTTCTTCAGAAAGTGTGTCAATTGTTCCCTGCCCCAGTTCAGCAGCTTCAATCTGAGCTCAGAGCTTTGATCCGAGCTACCTTAGAGGGCCGCTGCGTTGTTTAGCAATTGGCAAGTTCAGCCAAACCTGAGCACACCTCTAAGATCAACAATAAGTGTAACTAGGCAGTGCACCATTAAAATCATGAGCAAGTGATCTAACGAGCTAGACCACTAAGTAAGAGACTGAATCAAAATTGTGTATAGGAAGACTCTGGTACGCTTTGTGTTTTGGTCTTGTCAATTGACATTGAGAGACAAATCATAAGGGTATATGGGGTTCAAAACCTGTGCTTTATTTGCTGGCATAATCTTGCGCAAATAGCTTGAGGGAGATCTTGGACCGATACAAAAGTTTTACCATGTCACACTGCTCAATAAGGTGTACCAATGAACAGACGGGTGATCCGAAGGCCTCTGCCCAGATACAATACTGGGTATGGCCACCCAGGGACACTGTACAGCTCCACTAGTAATCAAATTAGAGAGACATTCGATTCGAAAACCAGTGTACTTTTCGTTTCAACAGCATATGGTGATATGAAATGTATATCCACTCTGTCAAAAAACAAGATGGCTAAGATGAAATGATTCATTACCTTTGAAATTGTCAAAAAAACATTTTTGTATCGTTTGATGTGGACCCATATCCAATTAACATCCCAGAGTTGTGAATCAAAGTCAGTTTTAGATGCTTAGTACACCGTGTCTGTGTAGGATTTGCTAGTCAACGAGCGCACACCAACTCCCTTTGAGGCAGAAAGGGAAGTCGTGCGCGCTCGTCGAAGAGCGAACGTCCCGGACACGGTGAGTAGGACTGATTTTTTACTCCAAAAGGATTTTATCTCAATGAAATGAATAAGTGTAAATTAAAAGAATAAAAGAGAAGGTTCTCACTGCCCACTGTTCTATCTATTCCAATACTTCTAAACTCTATGAGTGATGTGATGAACTATTCTCTTTCCACATCTTGTGAGTTTTTTTAGGAGGGAATCAGAGATTTCATCTAGACTTTTGTGTTCAAAATTTCCCTCAAATTCATAACATCATCGACTTTCTTATGAATCACACTGAAAAATCGCTCGGAATCTTCATTCTTTAGATTCTTAAGCAATCAAATATTATAAAGGAACTACACCTAATGCCATTTGTGGTGCCTCATACTACTTTTTGAAAAAAAGGTATGCACAAAACACACACAATCTATTTATCCCCCAAAACTGACTGGTTTCACTTATTGAAATCGATCACAGCCTCAGTAGAGCCAGCAAACCAATGAGCCAAATCTTTCAACCAAGAAGGAAACACTTTGATGATTCAGATAAACTTATGAACCTAATGTTCAAATGTCCAGTTTGGCTAGATCATGAGGTACAACTTGTGGGAATAAAAATGGGTTCTGTGGTCTTACTTCTTAATGAGAAGTTCTAGCAAAATTTGATTAGTTTTTTGGATTGGAAGTTGAATAGTTCGATAGGTCTTAAATAATAATAAAACTTACAGGGTCCAAACATTTTGGTTTCCAATCTACCTGGACTTACTTAAGTGGCACGAACCCCTGAACACTGATATTCATTTTTTTGGTTCATGTTACTATCTTTCTGTTCACTCAATAAAGAAAGATACAGTGGGAATGAGGATATTTAGGAACCTACAATCTAGTTCAAGTGATTCATGTAAACTCAAAACAGCTGCTTTTGAAGTACAGTAATCTGAAGCTTGACAGACGCCAAAAGTGCCTAAAATTGAAGCTACAGTGACCTGAGATGACAAGAACAAGTAGAAACAGATGATCGCGATGAGTTTAGTGATGATATCAAGATTCACAATAGAAATTGTACTGACGATGTATCCGTTCTTTAGTTCAATTAATGTTGGTAAGAAAGCCTTCAAGAGGTGAAAATGAGCCATTATATTCACTCCAAAGCTCCTACAAAGTGGTTAAGAGGTACATCGTGATTGTCAGTTATGATTTCCAATGAGATTGTTTATAAGACAAAGTGGCAAACCGCTGAATTTCACTAGGATTAAGATCGATGATAAATGTTCCATTCGCTACTTCAACGTTATTGATAATGATTGTTGGATCTCCTACTTCGTTTTTGACTCGATCAGCTACAGCTTCTACAGCTTTCGCATCCGATATGTCGCACTCATAGTGATGGACATCTAGAGATAAAGACAACCAAAGTCAATGACAAGCTTGATTTGAATAATAGTGAGTCCATAACCAAAAAAAGCTAACCTGAGTCAGATGGATTTGCAGTAAGAGGTCTAATATCCCAAAAAAACCTCATATTCTTAATAGCCAAAGTTTCAGTAATTACTCTACCTAAACCATCGGAGCCACCAGTAACATGTATGATTTGATGATCCCAATCAATCCTATCGGACCCAATTCTCCAAGTTTCATTTGACCAAGCAATTGAAGAATAATTTAATAACCATCGAAACAAACTTATTATTAGGAGACTGATCAAAGATTTTTTTGATGTTTTTGATCCTTGGATAATCATCATTACTAGTATCTTCTAATTCCATCTCTTGGTCAACCATCTGATGTCGTGCCATCCGCCATGGTCTTTCTTCCCTTTCTTGTCCATCCATTGATGCATTCGATAGACCTGGATCCGAATGAATTGTTTCTGTCCTTGTTCAATCTGATTTTACTTCTGAAAGCACTGATCTTGAGATGATCTTTGATGACTGACCCAGACTCAGAGCTGCAAGACGTTTGGACTTTTCTCTATGCATCACTTCCCGAGACGCTGGGTACCGAGAGCCGGGTAGACAATCAGGAAACGCGAGGAAGACCGTTGTACCGCCTCCCTGTTCATCGGTATTCAAATATATTTTTGAGGACATAGGCAATGTGCAAATTCTGATCAAAAGCGTTTTCAGAAGTGAATGAACAGGTTGAACTCTTGAATTCAAGCATCTCAGCCAAGAGTGAGTCTGGGACTGAGGCCCTAAGGATCAAGCAAGCCTCAGTTTGAGAGCTTCACGATCAAGTATTCCTCAGCAATTGCTAAGGCATTTGTCGAGTGACAAAGTTCTGACAAAGTTCTGATAATTTGTGGCCTTTTGACCGTCTTGACGTCAAGACGGTCTGATTTGGACGCGGTGGATGGTAATGCTATTTCTTTTGTTCAATTTTTTTTTATCAAAAGGCTCTTTTTGTCTGTTTAATTTTGTTCATGAGGTTGTAATTATGGGTTCTTTGCATTCGAGTGATTAGGGTTATATTAGTTATTTGCACTCTTTATTTTGGGTCTCTGGATATCAGCGTCTTGTTTAAAACAACAAACAACATCCAGACTTGAGGCCATAACGAAATGGCTCATAAATTGGAGCTTCGATTGATCGGCATTCAAGAGGCCGAATCATTGATGGTGTTGATTTCTCACTTTTGATGAACTGTACTTTTGTGTGATGATTCTAAACGGCCCCATTCTGACCTCATGATCCAATTCAAGCTACGTGAATAGATTCTTCCTGTGTTTGCGTGTTGATCGATGGAAAAAATTCTCACACCTCCAGTTGAACTTCACAAATTCTTCACTTGAATAAGAATTTCTACTTTTCAATTCACGGTCGATCAATTTGGTGATGTTTGTTTTGCTTATAACACTTCAGATCTGATCAACAAATGCTGAGCTGCTGAGCCTGTACATATGATCATCCATCATTGAGAGTTTTGGAAGATGATGATCAACTCTTCGAATTAGAAATCATGACCAAACACAAACTTTTATCATGGATATATAATCTCATCGGTTCTGGCGTATCTTTTCTGGCAAACTCATCTCTTCAGCTACATTTCGACATCTTCTATCTGTTTCTTCAACTATAAGGCTCTATCAACAACAAATCGAAGTGAATTTATAACGCCAAGATGATGAAATCATTCAAATTATCTATCTCATCATTCTCTATCATACTATTCAGTAATAGTTTAACATTGGTTTCTTCCTTAAGAATCACTTATCCAACTCAAGATACTGTATTGAAGTGAGTTTCTTAAATCTCCCCGTTCATGCGGTGAAGTTATGATCGTTGATTGATCTTTGTTCGTTGAATAGTTTCAACATACCGAATAATATCACTTGGGAATATTTACCTACTGATCCACTCTTCTTTGATATCCAACTTTTGAATACTAACTCGAACTTGTCGAAGTAAGTTCTCAAGAAATAATATTGATTCTCATTGCTTTGAACATTCAATCAATTAATTATTGGATTGTATGGTTTTCTCTAGTTCTTCAAATGGGTTTGCAATCACTATGAAAGAATCACAATCTAGCCCAACAGGATTTTTTACTTTACCTCTAAATAGCTCTTTGATAAATGGATCAAATTATCAATTCCTTTTGATTTCTTCTGTAAGTTTTTCAATTCTGAAACTCCTGAGAGCTTTATCCAGAAAAACTAACGTAATTTTTTCTGTGAAGAACGCTGCTCTTCCTGGTATACTTGCACAATCCCCTAAATTCATCATTTCTAACTCAAATTCAACTTTGGTAAAACAAACTTCGACAAATAATTCAATACCATTAACAAGTTTGTCTTTACATCTTTTCCACTTTTTCTCTTCAAAGTCTTTTTGTAGATTTTACTGACTTTTGATCTTGTTTCAAAATTTAGATTCTTATAAACCAAGTGATGATGCAGATTCGAGCTCTACTTCTATTTTATCAAATTCAAATCATTTCACTTTGGTGTTTTCTTTCTTTGTTTTTTCAATGTTTTTGATTTGATTACTAGTCCGATTTGTTTTGAAAGTTTGAGGGGAAATGTTCAATGTCATCCATATCCCATTTTTGTGACTTTGTCTCACCTTTGCTTTGTATTTATTCATCTTTTGTTTTATTCATCCCGTTCATCCCCTTTTTTTGACTTTGTATCATATGGTAGATTTTGAAAAAAAGAATTAAACCAAAAGTATTTGCGTGCCATTAACAAGTTGTAGGCATGTTGCTTTTCTCTTATTTATATACAGTCTTCAATTGTAACATCAGTTGTGTGAGGTTATCATCTGAATTTATATGCGCGTGCAGTGGATCCGTCAAATTGCCAAGTTTCAACGTACTGAATTTTTACTTCCACAAGCCATGGATGAAGCACTTTATTGGAAAGAAGGCTCCCTTTGGATACAGTTCCATACATCAATCCCAAAGATGGAGTTTCTCCAATCTCCTGAAATCTGAAGTGATTTCTAACTATTTGGAAACACATACAACTGAAGTTTGGGTCTTGTGAGGTACCCAGAGGCCAACCTGTCAATGGGTTGAGATACTCAAAGAGATTGAATATTGTTTTTATCCTTATGAAATCGTTCACCAGTGCACATGTAGCTTTCTTCAAAGTTTCTTCAAGCCCTTCACCAACAGCTCAAATTGAGAAAGTTGGCCTGGTGCATAGTAAAGTGAAACATAGGATATTTACCTGGAGGTCCAGTAATATTTTTTCAATCCCCCCACTTGTCAATTCTTTGCTCATTTTGGTTCTTGGATCTAGGAGAAGAAGGTTAAGGAATCAAAGTGCTGGCTATTCTTACTCTGAAGGCTTTTGAAATAACTCATGCAAATTGACTATGTAGTATCTGCAAATATACTTTTTTGTTGGAATGTTTTGGGATCTTGATTTCAGAATACAATTTTTCTGGTTTCCTGTTCCAGGTGCTACACACAACACCACATCAGGGTAATACTAGGCCCTGTCAGTTTTTTGGTTCCAAAAAGACATAATGAGATAGGATTTAGCAGGCCACATCTTCAAAAGACTTGATGTACTGTAGGTGCTTCTTTGGGTCATCCAGACCCTTTCAGAGTGTGTTATGTGGCATTTGGCAACATAGACTCTTCTCACCCAATCACATATGTTAAATCATTAAACTGCCTCATTATTATTTTTCCCAAATCATGATGACATGTGAACCTCAGACTTACAATTCAGGTGATTTTGTTTTTCATGTCAATTGATATCAGTCTGTTTTCTTTTTTTTCAACTTCAACAATATGATACACAATCACCCAATTTATTTTTCAACAGACAGTGCTCAAACAAGAGAAGTAACATCTTTCCAAATACCATATGTTTAAATTTGAAGGAATTTTTACCTTCAAGGCACTGCAAAAATTATTCAACTTCCCCAAGTGGGCAGGAAAAAATGATTGGGAGTATGTTTTGTCATGAAATGATCTATCACTCCACACCTGAGCCATAACACTCACACTACATAGGTGTGAACAGGTGGTTATCATGTAAATACAGTTCTGCTCAGTTATCTGCTCATCATGATAAGTTATTCATATGTAATACATGCTGTAACTTTTTTTAGATTGACAAAAGCATTCAAAAGATTGACTACATACACTGACTCAACTCTCTGGTGTAATCTCATCAACTCAACTGCATGTAACAGCCTTTTTGTCACCAAGAAATAGCTTCACTAATATTTCCTGAGCAGCTACATAATTATATGTGGTGAAGTTTTGGGACAATTTTTTCAAAGTCAAAAAAGTTACATGTGGTATAACATGTGATTTATTCATTCTGATGGGCAAAAAACTGAGTGGACCTGTATGTACATGATAAAAAACTATTGATTTAGCTTGCTGCACATATGTAGTGTGGGTGTTATTGCTCAGCTGTGCAGTATTGGATCCTTTTATGACAAACTGTAGTATTAATCATTTTCCTCTTTTAACTTGGGGAAGTTGAATGATGTTCACAGTGAGGAGTTCGAATTTTGACAATTTTCTGATTAAGGGTTATAGTATCCATTCCAAGGTGTAAACTGGATCATTTGGGTGGTGGACTGCTCATTTAGTGACTGCAAAGTACATTGTCATCATGTAGCAAGTTGATCTTGCTTGCAGCCCCAGTTGCTTCAATTCAATATGATGTGATCTGATGTTGGTAGGGTGTGTCAGTGGTGCACAGTATAAATCTCAGTGTTGGGTTTGAGAGCTCATCACCACCATTGGGTTTTCAAGTTTTTTTTCCATTCTTTGGTACAATGAAATGTTTTGATCAAAAATCAGCAAGAATTGAAATTAATTTGGATGTCTTCAGAGATTCTTGGAAGTATAATTACCACAACCTTGTGGATGGTTCATGCTACCACATTGAAGTTCATGGAAGTGTATCTGAAGGAGGCAGGGATGCAGATGAATCTGTGGGAATCGGTTTCAGGCTTCGTTTGGCACTTAGACACGTTTGTTACCCATGGTGGCCCGGGGGCCTGAACTTGCATAAATTTTTGACCCAAGGCCGGAAGAAGAGGTCAGGAGCGCTGGTGGGTGGCCAACTCGGCGCTGAGCTTACCCACTGGGTTGCTCCCCGCTCCGTCGAGATAGATGAAAACAACGAGAATAGAAAGTTATGCACCACTTAGAAACTTAACCCTCTGTTTGACAGGAAGGGTGGTGGGCGGGAAATTAAAAATTATTAAAAAAGAGAAAAAATACGCCTGAAGAATTAGTTTAAAGGTGTTGAGATGAAATGTAGAACTACGATAAATATGACAATAACTGAGAGAGATTTTTTAATAGATTTTTTCTAACAACTTTGTAATGAAGATGAAAAGGTTGGTTATGGAGAGTGCACAACATAGCAATGAGGAAATGATCTGGCTAACATTGCCTCGCTCAGACTCGTTGGGGGAGTCTGTCGTGTAGCATTTTGTTGCACCTCTTCTCTTAGGAGCCTGCGCGTGTTTCCCTGTGCCAGGTGTCACTCGCCTCTTTCACAGATTCCACTATGTTAACACCTTGTGCCAACCTCGAGGAGCCAAATTATCATCTCATGGACATCAAAGCCAAATATTTCTTGTTCCATAGTAAATTGCAGAAAAATCTACCCTATCTCAGAAAGGAAATCATTCCAGAAAAGCTCCAAATATTAACACAGAAAGATAAATTGAAACCAAGAACAGATACCACACACAGATCAGCAAAACTATCCTCCTTGAAAAGGACCAGTTAAGAAAGGGGAAAGAAGAGGCAGCATGAAAACAACACTTGTGGCAGAGAGCCTATTGGTTCCAGACTAGTCCCTGTCTGGTCACCTATGTACATGGTGATGATTTATATTCATACATGCTTCAATCCTTCATCCTTCCTGTACCATTATGATCATGTCAATCAATCCAGCTTGATAATTCCATCACTGTTCCCTGATTTTGTCCCTGATTGTAAGTGTTGGAACAAACTACATTCATGCAGAAGATTAATGTTATATTTCTGTTGTATTTACTACAATTGATAATTCAATACACATGATGTAATTTATACATGTCATATGATTTTACTCATGACTTTTTGTATGTTTCTAAACCTAATCATATGATGTATTGCTAATCTTAGTTTATCAATCCATCTTAGGGCAATGATACAGCCCTGAAAAGGCCCGGTTGCATCTTCAAGCAGACCAGGGCCTGTTGCAAACTCAACCAAGTCCCACCCTGGACCTAACCACCAACTCCAGGGTCAAGTCTGGGCCTTTTGTGGGCCTGTATCAAATGGATAGGACCAAAAAAGTCAGGGCCGGCGCCCTGAGAGCCCGGTCCTATCGCAGACCTATTGGGACTCTGTAGGCCAAGCTCAGCTGACCCAGGGCGTGTACCACTTACCTCCAAGAAATCATTGGGTAGGCTTGGACTGTTGGCGCCAGAGACGGGTCATAGCCATAATCCATCAGGTCTAAGAGAAACTTTCTTTCTATTTTATTCAACTACTTACATAAAAAGTTTTTCTCACAACATCTCATATCATCTCTTCTCTCCGGATTAAATACTCTATCCTGATCTCTGACTGATATAAGTTGTTGTTTGGATTGATCAAGGTATGATCATTATTATGATTGTTTCTAATTTGTTTTGTTTCATTTGATAAGAAATTCATTCAACTATTTAGAAAGTTTTTCTCACAATATCTCTTCTCTCCAGATTGAATACTCTGTCCGGATCTCTGACTGATATAAGTTGTTGTTTGGATTGATCAACAAATCTGAGATTCCTTTAGTAAGAGTATATACTTTTCATGATCAGAGACCTTTGTATCTAATCCAATGGTGTCCACGTTGCTTGCCAGTTTTCAGGGCTAAAATTATACACACGTCTACCAATCTTCATCCTAGCTATTGGTCTTGTTGGCCAATCTGTTTTCCATCTGTTAAATATTGCATGATCACTCTCCTGTTGCATTTGAAACAAAAGTATCTAGATTGACACATGGTTTGAGTCTTATAACTTAGTATAGTTGAGATGAAAGTCATAACAGGCTAACAATGACTTACATTGCTTAGGGCATCTACAAACTTCTTCAGTTTAAGATTTTCCCGTGGCGGGTCAAAGAGGGATGGCCAAAAATTCCAGTTGTACTGGTTATGTGAACGTACAGCTCTGATAGCATCATCCACCCAAGCCTTAAATCCATCTTCTTTGAGCATTTTCAAGAGAAATTCTTGTCCATTTGGAAGACTGTTGAGATGCATTAACATCTCCAGACCCATTGTATACAGAACTCTGTTTTCTTCAGATCCCTTCATTGTGGTCATGATTTTGTGATAATATGCTTCTGTATATGTGGAAATGTCATATGGTCTTTGAGGCTTATCCCAGAGAGAACTCCTATTGGAACGTTGTGAAAACTCTCGTGAGACAGATCGAGCATCATCAATGAAGACATCCCAGTTAGCATGTGCAAGCAAGTGAGGATCTAAGGGAGAAAAATTTCCGGTCAGAATACGTTGATTTGAGGCCTGGTTTCAAAATTGGACAAACATTTTATCAAAATGGAATATCGATAGTCCATGACGCCCACATGTGGCAATTCCAATCCTGGGTATACTAAAGCCCAGGCCCGTTGAAGACCAAAAACAATATCCCATGAATCTTGAGAAAGGATTTCCCTTTCCAAAGTTGGTCTCAGAAATGCATGGGCAATAATCAATCTATATGCATATTCCAATCTTTCCGTTGAAATAGTGTTCAATTTTAATAGCAGTTGTTTGATTGCATCATGTAAATTTATGTGTACCTGTAGTGGATCTTTTAAGATGGAGTACAGATTCAATTCTGTGTTTGACTTTAGTTTCGCACTGCTTAGGAAACGCTTGAGCTTTTTAGAATATTGAACGATATCATCTTTAGCAATGAATGTATGGAAATCCACCCAGAAAGGTTCTTCATGCAGGGCCCGATGAAGTGATTCGTTGATGGTTCGTGAGGACTGGAAGTTCTGTATATGTTTAAAGATGGCAATAGCGTATTGGCCTTCCCAACTTTGTACCTCAATGTTCTTGAAAATCTCGCGATATTGACCAAGTAACCTCGAGATCTGGTCTATTTCTTGAGGTAATTCAGGTGATGTGAGGTACTCAGAGACCAATTTTGCAATTGGGTATGGAGGTTGACCGGTACGTTCATCCTCGTGTTCACCAATCAATGCAGCCCTCTTTAAAGATTCCTCAAGTCCTCCGCCAAAAGCTAAAATTGAGAGAAAGTCGGCTTTGAAAATAATAAAGTAAACAAAGAGAATACTCACATCTAGGTGTGATGGATTTTTGATTCACCCAATGATCAAATGCTTTGGTTATTGCGGGGCTATGATCTAGAAGAAGATAAGTCTTAGAGATGAAGTCCAACCCAATTCTCGCACCAGAAGCCATTGACAGAACTCACGCAAAGTAACTAGTGTCTCCAAATATACCTGTTTGTTAAAATCTCCCGGGATCTCGATTTCTGAATGTATATCTTCTTTTTTTCCTTTTTCGAGTGCTACCCATATTCCTATAGCCCAATACCTTTCCAGGTCCTGCAACTTTTTTGGTTCCAACAAGGCCTGATACGCTAATGTTTGGCATTCTTGTACGAGTTCCGATTTTTTGCTAAGCCAGATATTTTGAACAGCTGGTGAATAATCTAGTGTTTTGACCAATTCTAGAACTTTTTCAGCCAATTGTTTAATCTGATTCCCTTTCTGAGTATATTTCTTTTGAAAGGACTGGGCATTCTTATAGAAAGAGTAGTATGGGATATGCGTTTGGGGTGGCCCAGGATCCATTGCAACTCGGTTAGCTACACTCATGCCCAAGTGTCTGAAAGTGGCAGACCAAGGTGTCTTAGGCACATCATCGGGCTTGAAGCTGAACATATTGACCATGATAGGCCCTTCCGGAAAATCTGGAACTTGAGCTGGAAATTCTGTTGTTTCAATGAAGGGCCTTGCTGTCAGTATTGCTGAGGTCAATTGCATGGTGATTATAGCCAGCCGGAAGAACAAGAGTGGTGAGAACATGCTGATCTTGACACGTATGATGGTATTGAACAGTAGAAAAGAGGGAGCCATTTAGAATGCGTTGAACGAGCAGGACGGACACATTCCACAGCTTCAATGCACTGCGGAACATATTTGGTCGATGTCATGGCGAGCTTTGTAACGCTCATACCCATGCAAAGATTCCTGACATGCCGAACTGCGCTTGTCTCTATGGGTGTCATCTTTCCACAAAACCTGATCCAGGATCCCCTTGGAAGTATCACATGATCTGCATCATATTCTGTAGAACAATGAAATTGTTAATAATAAAACTCGACCAAAGCGAACATTCAACTGCTGATGTATCCGCAATAGACCGTGACCAAAGCTTGGTTAATGGTCACTGAATACCTGATCCGGTGCTGCGCAAAGCATAACACAACACATATGCTGAATCATTCATCTAGTTCATGCTCCCCATTGCCCAATCATGATGGTGTGCGGACCTCAGATTACAGTTTACGTGCTTTTGTTTTACAATTCATTCAATAGCAGTCTTGTTTTCTTTTTTCTTGAACTTCAATCATATGATACATAATCAGATGGTTGATTTGTTCGAAACAGAGTGCTCAATCAAGCAAGAGAGAATGAATGTCTTACCAATTACTTATCTTCAAATATGAAGGAGATCTATCACCTTCATTCATGGAGTTCAAATGTCTGAATTTTTCTGATCAACAGTCATACATAGCATGCCTTCAAAGGTGTAAAATGAGTCATTTTTGTGATCGATTGGGTGAGTGAACAGTACATTTTTGTCATACAACAGGCTAAGCTTACTTGCAGCCCCAGGCAAGTGAATACATCTGATGTTGATGGATTGTGTGTCAGTGGTATGCAATGGGGTTATTTTGAGACTTCATCACCACCATTCGGGTGTTCTTGAAGTCTTTGATTGACACGATGAACTGTATAGCTATACAAGATTTGATCCTCTGATACTATCCTTCCCTCACCTATAATCACGTCAATTAATCCGGCTTTATACTTCCATTACTATTACCTGATAGCTCCTAATTGTAAGCTTAAATCATCTTGATGCTCAAAAACATTTGCTCCTAATCCCATGGTGTCCGTGCTCCTTTCCAGTATTCAGGATCAAAGCTAAACACACGTCTACCAATACTCATACTAACTATTGGTCTGATTGGCCAATCGGTCATCCATTTTTTGAGGACTTCGGCGTAATCCTGTTGATGCCTTTGGAACGAAATTATCTAGAGATATGCCACCCGGTTTGAGTCTTAAGATAAATCGTCAGGTATATCAGGATAATAATCACTTACTTCGTTTAGGGCATTGACAAATTGCCTCAATTTGATATTTTCAGTAAATAGAGTTGGCCAAAAATTCCATTGGTATCGGTTATGAGTGCGTACGTATCTGATAGCATAATTAACCCAACCTCTAAATTCATCTTCTTCAAGCATTTTCAACAGGTATTCTTGTCCATCTGGAAGATCATTGAGATGCATCAACATCTCCAGACCCATTGTATAGAGTACCTTTTTTGCCCTAGACCCCTTCATTGTGGTCGCGATTTGACGATAATATGCTTCTGTATAACTCGAAACATCATATGGCACTTCAGGTGTATTCCAAAGAGTTTCCCTTTTGGCGTGTTTCGAAAAGTCTAGTGAGACATATCTAGCATCATTCATGAAAGCGTTCCATTTAGCATGTGCAAGCAATTGAGGATCTAAGGAAGACCAATCTTCAGTCAGGATACATTGATTTGAGGGTTGATGTTAAAATTGGACATACATTTTACGAAGATATAATATTGATAGTCCATGATACCCACACGTGGCAATTCCAATCCTGGGTATATCAAAGCCCAGGCCCGTTGAAGACCACCAACCACATTCCATGTATTTTGAGAAAGAATTTCCCTTTCCAAAGTTGGTTTCAGAAAGACATGTGCCATGATCAGCTTGTAGGCATATCCCAGTTGATCTTTTGAAATAGTCTTTAATTTTAAGACCAGTTGTGTGATGGCATCATTTAAATTAATGTGTTCTTGTAATGGATCTTTTAAGATCGAGTACAAATCCAATTCTTTGTTTGACTTTAGTTTCCGATTGCTTAGGAATCGTTTCAGCCTTTTGGAATATTGAACAACCTCATATTTAGCCACAAACGTATGTAGATCTACCCAAAAATCTTCCTCTTGCAAAGCCCGATGAAGTGATTCGTTGATGGTTTGTGAGGACTGGAAGTTCCGTATATGTTTGAAGATGGAGATAGTATATTGGCCTTCTGAGCTTTGGACCTCAAATTCAATGTTCTTGAACATTTCTCGAAACCGATCAAGTAGGCCCGAGACCTGGTCTATTTCTTGAGGTAATTCAGCTGCAGTGAGGTACTCAGAGACCAACGTTTCAATTGGGTGTGGAGGTTGACCGGCACGTTTATCTTCGTGGTAACCAATCAATGCAGCCCTCTTCAAAGATTCTTCAAGTCCTCCGCCAAAAGCTAAAATCGGCAGAGTCAGCTTTGAACCCAAATCAAACAACACATAGAATCCTCACCTCGAACCCTTACAGGTTTCTGATTCACCCAATGATCAAATGCTTGGGTTATTGCAGGACTATTATCTAGAAGAAGAGAAGTCATAGAATTGAAGACTCATTTCGATTCTCGCACTAGAAGCTATTGACTCAACTCACGCAAATAAGCTAAGATTTCCAAATATATTTGTTTGTTGAAATCTTTCGGGATCTCAATTTCAGAATGTATATCTTCTTTTTTTCCTTTTTCGAGTGCTACCCATATTCCTATAACCCAATACCTTTCCAAATCTCGTAACTTTTTTGGTTCCAATAAAGTATGATAAGCAAATTCTTGACATTCTTGTACGAGTTTGGATTCTTTGTTAAGCCAGATATTTTGAGGAACTGATATATAATCTAATGTGTCGATCAATAATAAAACTTTTTGAGCTAATTCTTCAATTTGATTTCCATTTTTAGTATAATATTCATTTCGAAAATGGTGAGCATTTTTATAGAAAGAGTAGTATGGGACATGCGTTTGGGGTCGTCCGGGATCCATTGCTACTCGGGTGGTTTTACTCATGCCCCAGAATTTTTTGAAATCGGTGAACCATGATCCTTTAATTCGATTAACGGGCTTGAAGCTAAACATATTGACCATGGCAGGCCCTTCTGGAAAATCTGGAACTTGACCTGGAAATTCTATTGTTTCAATGAAGAGCCTTGCTGTTGATACCACTGAGAATAATGGCATGGCGATCAAAGCCAGTCGGAGGAAAACTAGTGGTGAGAACATCTTGATCTTGGTACGTATCATGGACTTGAGCTGCGGAGAAGAGGGAGAGACTGGAAATAGTTTGAGATGCGTTGAGCGAGAAGGACGGACGATCATCTATTGATCAATATCGACATTCTTGCGAGATCTTGGGACCTGAAACCTGCGCTTTCAATGCGTCGTTCACACAAATCAAACGCGATCCATGCTCTAACATCGGAAGCAGCTCGCCGTGCTTGCCCATTCAATTCTTAGGCAATGTTGGAGAAATTACACTGTCACCCTTGCGCGCGTGGTTGGATTGGATCCCAAGGCTCGATCTGACTCAATGCACGGCGAATGAGATTTGGTACTATCTTGGTGAGCTTTGAAACGCTCATACATGCAAAGACTTCTGTTCAGCGCTTGTTGCTAATATAGGTGTCATATCTTCGTGCCAAAACTGGTATCACACTAGCTTAACACAAGCCCCACGCGCTACCAACCGCGGCTCTAGAGGATGTCTGCGCTTGGAGGAGGGACTTAGTTACGTTAGAGATGTGCGACATATCCTTTAGGATAGAGAGAATGATAACAGTAAAACCTGACCAAAGCTATATACTCATGTCAAATAGTTCCACTTACTAAGATGTGTGCTCACTTGAAAGTGGTGAGATTGTGGCGAGAGATAATAATGAAAGATGCGAATCCCAAGACACAAATTGACCTTGCCTTAACATTTGTTGATGTTAGTGGGATTCAACTTGAGCAAAAAGTGTCTAAAAGTTAATCAACTTTGTCCCCCAAGTTTTCCTTGTGAAGCTCCTTTTATTTTTCAAAGTCGATACCTAGAACACTAATTGATCCAGATCATCAGATCAAGAACTTCTTCACCAATGCAAGGTCACACAAATTAAACTGACGATCTCTCAAGAAAAAGAAAGAAGAAAACAAGTACTGATCTTTTAAAGATGGATGAATTTCAACTCAAACTTGAATCTGTAACCTCATGATTATAAGCTTTAAGATTTCAAACAAGATAAAGAGATGAATCAATTAAAATCGAGTATATATGATATCAAACAAATCAATTTCGAAATCCAAAAAGTCAAAAATAAATCCTTTACTCATGAATCTGATACTTCACAACTTTTCCTGATATTCCAACCTTTCAAAACCAATCAACTTGAAAAAACCCCATTAGATGTTCTCCCAATCAAACCTTCTTTCCAGAATCTTCTTTCAACGAAACAATCCAATTCAAAACCAATCGATCATCACTCTTTTCAATACCTTCAAGTTGATCATCCAACAAAGCTTTCAATTCAGACGTTTTATCAATCGTAAAATATGCCGTTCTCATCCCTTGAAACCTAACATTCTCAAACCCAACTTGATTTCCAACCAAACCAGAAACCCCAGCCAGTTTAGCTTTCTTCATCTTTTCTTCACTTTCTCTTTGGATCTTCATTAAAACTTCATTCAAGATTCGTTTCGATAAATCCCAAATTCCAATCTCAATCAATGAACCTTTCACGATTTCTAAACTGTTAGGATTAATATCCAAAAGAAAATCATCTAAGCTAGCTGGATTTGAAGAATTAAATAACGCTTTATAAATTCGAGTTTCTTGAATCTTAACTGGACTCTTCATCTTTTCACATTTCGCTACCCAATGTATATAAGCCTTTGGTTTATTACTCTTAGTGATCTTTTTTTGATTTTCATATTCACAAATCAATTCTTCTACTTCTCCTGTCTCCGAAAGTTTCCATGATTTACATTTAATAGGGAATGGTACTTGAAACAATCCAACAGATTTACTCGGCGTTAGTCTAAAGAAATCATCTGAATCTGTTAAACTAAAATCTTCTCGTTCAATATAAATCTCTCTTGTGAAGGGTACTTTGATCATTCCCATTTCCGGTACTTTTGGATGTACAGATCTTTCAATGATCTCTAAATAATCTTCTGGTAAGTTTTCAATGATCACTTTAATCGGATGTAAGACCATCATTAACCTAGGTGTAGTTAATTCGAGATGTTGTCTAATCGTTTGTTCAAATCGATGAGTCGCAATATTCGTCACTGATGTGGCGACTCCTAACGAATTCACAAACTTTAGAATCGCTTCTGGTGGGATCCCTCTTCTTCGTAACGCAATCAATGTATACAATCTCGGATCATCCCATCCTTCTACATGTCCTTCTTTGACTAACTTCATAATCTTTCGTTTTGACATCACTGTGCCTTCTAAATTCAATCTACCATACTCGGTTTGTCTAGGTGTATAAACATCTAAAGCGTGACAAAGCCATTCATAACTAACACGTGATTGAATGAACTCAGTTGTACATAACGAATGTCTACAGTTTCAGAAGAAAAAGGATTGTCAGTAAAAGGAATTCAGGAATAGTTCAAGTGATTAGAGTCAATGGAATGACTTATCAAAAATCAAACTAACGTAATATTTTCAAAGCTATCACAAAGACAATGAGTAAAATCATAAGTAGGATAAATTTTCCATTGATTACCAGTACGATGATGACTAGCTTCTAAAACTCGATAGGCCACTAGATCCCACATTTGTGGATTTCCATCCTCTAGATCTTGTTTCATCCTTAGTATGATTTCATTCGGTTTATAATCTCCATCTTTCATCTTTCTAAACTCTTTTAATGAATAATCTGGTGAAAATGATCGATGTGAACATGCGATTCGAGGACCTCTTTCTTCTCCTCCTCGATTCGCTTTGATTTCAGCACCTGTTGTTATTGTTTTTTAAGACAAATCAAGATTAATCAAGTGAAATCTCAAATTTTCAAATCAAACCTTTCAGGGAAAGAAAAATCAAATCAAAAAAAAACCATAAAGAAACAAACCAGAACAAAAACAAACATAAGCTTTTCCTCTTTTAATCAATTCTTCAGCCAATTCATAAAGTCTTTGAAAATGATCTGAAGAATAAGTGATTCGATCAGGTTCGAATCCTAACCATCTAACCATATCTAAAATCGAATCTAAATAAATCTGTTCTTCTGCTTCTGGATTCGTATCATCATATCTCAAATTACAACTTCCACCATGGTATGCTGCATATCCGAAATTGATCGCAATCGCCTTTGAGTCTATAGTTCAACAAGATCAGGTAAATAATCACGTGGAGTTCAATGCCTGTTCGTAGGGTTTGATGTTGATCGATGTACTCACGGCCGATGTGAAGGTATCCTACACAAAATAGAATTCAGAAAGCTTCAACATTTTTGGATCAAGATTTACACTTCAGAATAGGAAAATGTGTGATATGGAAACTTACCATTAGGTTCAGGTGGGAATCGCGTGATGACTTTACCTCCAGTAGCTTTAAGATGTTCTTGAACAAGTTTCGGGTCGGTTTGAGGATTTCCACCAGGTTTATGAAGTTGACTAAGCATTCCGACCTCAAAGATACTAGGTTCGGAAGGTTGTTCAACATTCAAAGATGCTTTCGTACTACCAGAGGTAGTAACTTGAGGAATCGGTTTTGGTTTCACTTCAGCTTTCTTGACAGGTTGTACAGATTGTTTAGGACCGAATTGAGCCAGGAAAACTTCATCTACCGAAGTTTTTAAATCAATCGGATTACACCATAACAAAGTATCTAATTTTTTTAATTCTCCCGTGGTTTTTCCTAATGCTGCCCATTTGGATGTTTGAGCTAATTCAAATTGTTTGATAAAGTTTTCTACAATCGTTTTGACTTCTTCTTTTTTCATTGAAATACCTTTAGTAAAAAAATCGAATTCAACGGTTTAGGTTTCTTTTTGTTCTATGGGTCTGTTGACTGGAGATGATTGGAATGATGATACTGACCTACACCACATTTTTGGTTAAATTCTGTTTCATCAACTGGTCCATCGCCTTTCGATAAATATTCAAGAGCAGCTAAAACCTCAACGCAAAAAGAAAATCAGAAAATCAAATCGAAAGGTAAGCATTCATATCTCAAAAAAATATGATTTAATATATATGAATCGAAATCCACACGAACCATCAACTTGAAGTGTAGTGATCAAATCATTACAAACGATTTTCTTAGCCCCAAACAGTTTCCTTTCATCAGATTGATCTTTCAATTTAGAAATACAACCAGTAGACCACTTTAATAAAAGAGTAGCATGTTTGGATGGTAGAGATGAAGGATTAGATTCGATTTGATTGAAATGAATGAATTGGTTGGCTAGGTTTGTGTTTCTTGCTGTATCGATGGCTTGTTTTTCGGGTAAACCTAGTGCTTTGAGTTTGGTGATTAGTTCATCTAGAGTTGAGGTTGAGGTTGAAGTTGACATGGTTCTTTTAGTATTTTTCGGTTGGATGAAGTTGGTCGAATTGATCGATTGGATATTTATCAGCTGCAACTACGGAAGCCCTGAGCGTGGGGTCCGCCAACCCTCTTAAACACATACATACAACTACCGCCTACTACATACATCCAAAGTCACATCTCATATGCCCATCCTTGCCCATCACCAATTTGAGCCACCTCTCCGTCATCGACTCTTCGACTCACCTGCTGCTCACGATCTCATTCCACTCGACCTCAAGCTATATTTCCGATATCGTCCATCCTGCTCCAGAAGTCACGTGCAAATACCAATCCTCACTCAAAACATGATAACCCAATGGATGGGTTTCAAGATTAACATGGTGGCAAAATGATATCAAGGGAATCGGGGTGCTTTTTGCTGTGATGACTCTTCTAGACTCGCTGTAGATTACCCAATGAGTACGATCACATTACTGGCTCGACCTCGCGATATCACAAAGGATAACCACCCCTGCTGGTCTCGACTTGAGGCAAAACGTTCAACGGGCGAAATGCAGATGTCCGAACTTGAATTTCTTGCTCGTTTGAACGCCAGCTACACAATTGAGACTCGACGTGCGGAACTTCCTACATCAAAGGCAACCCCATGTATTCCAATCTGGATCGCCTGCGATTGGTAGCTAACAGGCAATCTGTCAAGAAGGTGAACAGGACGATGAAACGTTGACTGGGGAGCAGTAAAGGGATTTGGTCAACCAACCTGTTTGGATCTTTATGGTAAGGTGATCAGCTTGATTGAAGGAAGGTAAATTTTCATGTTCAACTTCAACACTCAGTTGCTTTGGCCCATTTCAAATTTGCGCATTCACTACATAACTCAGTCTTTTGATAAAATTACTACATCCAAGGTGGGGCTCTGTTTGAAGGTCAGGAAGTGTTGATGTGGCTTGAACCAGCCTCTAGCTCCATAGATGTTGGCTGTGATTGCAGGCTAGACTTTCTCAAATCATCTCTCAATAATGATTACAATCTTTTTCAAAAACTGTCTCATCAAGTGGTGTCTCTAGCTGTTGAATTTTGTCATGGAGAATTATAAGTTTAACCTTAGTCAATAATTGTTCATTGTTGAAAACCCAGCTTGCGAGCTTTGCTGTAGAATGTTTGTTTTTGCTGTTTTCTAGAATTTTAGTGATTATAAGTGAAATGAAAAAGAGAAAGGCGTTCGAAGTTGAACAGAGGTAGTGAATTTGATATCGTTGGGGTTAGTTGAATCAAAGTCTTGCTCTGTCGTCCAAGGGTGAGCTCAATGCGCAAAGAGATGGGGATGGATGGAGATGAAGAAGCCTCTACATATGTAGGCCGAGTCGAATTGGTGCGCCAAACGCGTGGAAGCACCACAGAAATGGGTTGAATTTGATTTTAGAGATGTTGAAGTTTGAAGTGGTGAGCTTTTGAGCGGTGGTGTTGTGTATGTGTTTAAGAGGGTTGGCGGACCCCACGCTCAGGGCTTCCGTATGCAACCACTCTTATTCAAGCCCCGACATTCGGAGCAAGATGACCCGAGTAAATGACTCGGGACTTCACTGTAGCCTTGATGACCATTCTCAATTGGATTCTTGACACTCAATTCACCACCACCACCACCACTCATACTACAACCTACTCACTCACAATGACCACTTTTCACAATGCATGGCTCGAAGAACAAGACTATAGAATCAGACTCAAAGAAATATCCTGGGAGGTAGGTCTGATCATAAACTAATAAGATCACTTTCACAACCACTGATCCTTGACCCATCACAATCTTATCATCTAGGGTTACCAACGTGCTTCATTACTATCAGTTGATGATTTAACTTTACTTCAAGCTGTTTCGGGTACTCAAAAGATTAAAAGAGAAAGTGTTTGGGAAGGAGTAAGTGAAGTTTGATTGGATAAGGTGTCTTAGGATAACACTAAATCTTTTGGTGGTTATAGAACCCAGAGACCTATATGGGATTGTACCTCAGATTACTTTCTAGTTTAACTAGAACTGATTGTCTTCAAGTCATTCTGGTACATATTGGAGATTTTTTAAATGGTCAGTTCGGATTGGATTTCTTGGTCTTAATTTCCATCTCGTGCTGATGTCTCGATCGATCATATATTTGGATTTAGAACACGAGGAACGTAGTGATTTACTTCGAAAATTGAACCCATCTGATTCTACTACATCATACTTAAGTATCTCAAAACATAAAGATTCATCCGATATTTATATTCGTATCAAATCCATCACGATCCTGGGAAGCTTAATTGGGTAAGTAAAGTTCAAGTTAAAGTCAACCCATTTCATCCTTCACTAAAATCTTGTATGTATATGATCATCTAGAGCAGATCCATCACCACCTTCTCAAGCTTCTCGAGCTATTCTTCCTGGAATCGATCAACTTGTTCAATCTAATGATCTTAATGAACAAGAAATCGGTATCCAATGTCTTGATCATGTTTTAAGACAACCTAGCATTCGTCAAACACTTTGGCAATCTGAAAACCCTTCAGAAAGCTCCAAAGATAAATCTAATCCTACTCCTTCTAATTCTCGTTCGGCTCAAAGTGGTTTATTATCTAGGTTAGTTTTCTTCTTTTTCTTTTCTCTCTCTCTCTCTCTCAACTTGGTTTGTATGAAAACATATCAAATCGTTCTTACATTATAAACTTGTTTGAATTTCTTTTCAGTTTAACTAAACTTGTGAAAGTGGGTAGTAAATTAAATGCACAGATGCAGTATCAAGTTGGATTTTGTTTTTGGCTTTTAAGTTTTGATGATGAAATTGCCAGAAATCTAAACAAGTATGTTGAAAGTGTTTCGTTTCTTTCGAAATCTCTGCGGTGGCTTAACATAGATCTCATGTTTTTCTTTCTTGGGTTCTTCTGATTTTAGAAAGTATAATGTGCTACCATCTCTAATTGAATTAACTCGAGTTGCAGTCAAAGAAAAAGTGATTCGAGTACTAGTAGCTACTTTCAGAGTAAGCCTTACAATCTTAGATTTGACATCTTTTTAATTCGTGTTTTTCTGACTGGTTTTTTTGTTCAAAAGAATTTGGTAACCAAAGCTTCAGAAGCAAATATCGGACCTATGTTAGTTACAGGAAGTCTTCCATTGATCCAAAACCTTGCTAGTCGTAAATGGTCAGATGAAGAATTAAAAGAAGATTTACAATGGCTTAAAGAACAATTACAAGAAGCTAAAGCTAGAATGACGTAAGTTGACAGTTCCATTGAAATTATCGAGTCTCTTTTCTTTGGGATTCACTTTGACTTGATTCTTTTAATATCGTACAGAACCTATGATGAATATTCTACTGAGTTGGAGTCTGGCTTACTTCATTGGTCTCCACCTCATACTTCTGATGAGTTTTGGACCGAGAATGCTGATAAGTTAAATGGAAAAGATTATCAACAATTGAAGTAAGAGATGAATCCCAAAAGGCTTTTTAGATAGATTGAGTCTTAGCTGATCTGATCATGGATTGATTTTTGGTTTTTTTTTCTTTATAGAACACTTATTAGACTTTTATCTGAATCAGAAGATCCGATCGTATTAGCAGTTGCAGCTAATGATTTATCTAAATATGTTAAATATTGTGATACAGGAAAGATGTAAGTTAATAAATCGATTGATTTGATTAATCCTTTTCTTCTTTCTTCTACTTTTCTGACTTTTTTTTTCTTTGGATTCAATTTCAATTGGATTTAGGATCGCACAAAGATTAGGAGCTAAAAGTTCGGTGATGAATTTAATGAATCATTCGAATCCAGATGTAAAGTATTGGGCACTTGTTAGTGTACAACAATTGATTAGTCAACCTTGGGTTTTATGAACACCCAACACAAAGAGTGATGGATTTGATTGGTTTTGTGTTGAGAGATTGACATTGGTTTTTAGGTTTGATCAGCTATGGGATCACGTAATGTTTTTCTTTTGAGTTTATTTTTTAACAACTTGATTCTTTTTTTCTTTGGTTTTGTATTTGTTTGGTCTTTTTTTTGTTTGAGCACTTGTTTTTTTTTGCAATCATATTTCAATAAAGTAAAAGTTTTGATAAGAAGAGAATGATGCTATATACATATAGACTTCTATTAAGTCTTTGTACCCGAAGAAATCTCTCTCAATCTAACGTGTTTGTTTTGCAGGGTTTGATTGCTTCTTGTATACAGAAGCCTTTGCTTCAAGATCTAGAATGAAAACCCGAGGTTCAAAGAAACTTGAATGTGAAAACTAAAAAAAGTAAAAGATCTGATTCAATATTATTATGAGGAGTTAAAGAGAAGACCGGACTAAGATAAGATAAGATAAGATAAGTAGGAGATTGGAGTAAAGGCATGAAAGGTATCATCAAGAGTTTGATCTTATGCAGGTTGATAGAAGATTCAATTATACATATTGATATAAATTCGAGTGAAACATTTGGAAGCAGTTGGATGAGTCTTATGTATTACTTTTGGTTCTTTGAATGTTTGAGGTTTAGTTCAATGTTTAGAGAAGAAGATCTTTGATTATGTAAGTGGGAATGGATAGAGATTTTAGGATCTAATGCAAGTTCTAAAGATAAAAGAAAGTAAGTCAAGATACTTTGGATTTATTTTCATACGTCTCTTTTTTGTTCTTCATTCAACTTTATTGTCTCTTCTTTCAAAGCATAGTATTTTATCATTCCTTTGCACAATCTAATCCAAGGAATTATAATTTTATATTTAGAAGCTTTACTCAACAGTACTACATAGTAGGTTCATCAATTTGTTTTGTCCTTCTTTCCGTAGAGTTCAAAACACGATGATCATAGACTAATTGATGAGAACATTCTTTTTACCCTTAAGGAAAGTAAAGCTCATAACTTGAATCACTCCGATCGAAAATGTTAATCAGACAAGTAGTGAGTTTAAACTTCAAAGTTCCTTCGAATGATCAACACTAAACTGAACCCAAACCTATCCAACTAAACCCCCCAGAGAATAAGAATCATAAGTATAATGATGATCATGATGATAAATGTTTTAAATAATATTAAAGCTTTCAATAATCTTCAAAGTACCAAATGGATCAAACTCAAAGAACTTACTGGTCCAGGTCGGATCAGTTCTTCGGGACACGCTGTTAGTTTTGATCAAAAGAATCAAGTTATACATCTTATTAGAAAAAATCAAGATGAGAATCATGTCTTGATTTTAGAGAAAGAATCTAAGATTCAAAGTTTTAAGATTGGAAAAGGTGATTATTGGGCTAGAAAATTCGATCCTGATGCTCAAATTCTTGTGGTAGACACATTAAAATAAGAGTTTATATACTACATTATCATACTTTGTAAGTTGTAGATTTATTTATTGTCTCTTGTAGAAAACTTCTTTGGATATTCTTACTAATCAGGCTACGAGGAAATGTTTAGAATATGAGATTCAGGTAAAAGGAAACTAGAACGCTATTTCGAGGTGATCTTAGATTATTTGGTACAAGATAGTAAAAGGCAGTTATAAACTTGGACTTGTAGGTTTTTTAAATGGATGTGGTATCAATATCATCATCATTATCACTTTGAGTACATAGTTTGATTGAACATAGTTGATCGTACATTATTTTCCTTCTTCTTATTTTCATGATAAAAAAAATTAATTGGTTTTGAAATAATTATTCATTTCTATTTTCTTCTTTGATTGATAAGAGTCAAGCCTAATGAATTATTTCAAAAAAGATCCTTAGAACAAAAGAAAAGTTGATCAGTTAACAGATGAGAAACTTAAGAAAATTAAAGGTTTGACTTTTGTTTTTCAAGACACTTGATATTTAGGGTGTGAGTACATAACAAGACATCTTAGTGATAGGAAAAGAATCATCTGTGAAAGAACAAGTACGCCTTCAAGAAGGTCGAGAATTTGTCTTCAAAGAGATATATCAGGCTAAGCCGGCGGGTTGGGTTTGATTAGGGACTTTTTATTTCTTATTTTTGGGGATGTGTCAATAGCAACTTGAGCATGAAGTCAGTTCATGGCACGGTGGTTCATGGACCAGAAAGACGATGTGATATCATTGATTTCGGTGAATTTTCCAAATTTCAAAAGAAAAAGAAGGAAACTACTAATTAATAAGCTCATCAAGTTCATCACACAGGATTATGGTACATTAAAAAAAGTAGAAGAATTGAGTCTTATATACAAGTAAAGTTTTGTTTTTTCTTAAATGTAATTTGTTATACCCTTGAAAACAGAAATTATCCACCGAAAAAACCAAAATGGTTCAGAGATCTTAAAAAAAACTAAATCAATTGTTCTACACCTGTGATTTGAATCCAATTGATTCCTTTGATTTTAATCATCAAAAGATTCTTGATTTTGATTATGATTTGCTTCAAATCCATTTTCATCTAATATCAATAAATTATCTTCATTTAAATACCCAATTTTCTTTAAAATCATCATCATTTGATACTTACCTTTAAATTTTAATAATTCATATTCAAAGAATTTTAAAAACTTTTCAAACTTCATAGGTTCTTCTCTCATTAAAATCATCATCACATTTTCTTTTGTGATCAATAGATTATTCTCAAGTTTGTAATCTTTTTCTATAAATTCTTTTTGATCTCTTGATGAGTTAGTGAAATTAGTTGGATTTTCATGATATTTGGGGTTGTTATGTCTTACACATGGTTTATGTATTTGATGGTATTGGACAATATATGATTCAATTTTTTGGCTAAAGATTCCAACTTGATTAGAATTAGAGGTTCTTTTTGAACTTGTTTTTGATTGTTCAGATTGATCATAGAAGGACTGATTACCTGAATCTGACCCCGCATAGTTTCCACCGGATATGTTGTTAGCTATACTCTCAGGAGAGAAGGAAGATTGATATTTACGTGAAAGGCTCATTGTAATTTATGTTTATGAGATTTATGTTTGGAGTGCTTTGGGATGGTTAGAGCTAGAAGTGAGGAAGATGATATATTCTTGGATTGATGGGTGTTTTCTTTGAGAGAAGATATACTTGAAAGTATGTGATAATGACTGAGAAGCCATGCAAGCTTGGAAGATATATAGAAATTAATTGGATCAGCTTTTTACAAAGATGATGAAGTATGATCACAAGAACCGGTTGACTTTTCCAACTTGGCTATTGAGATCTCACAAGTGTCTTTTCTTGAGATTTATCAAGTATCCAAAAGGCTTTCCAAGCATTTGAACGCGTGAACTTCAGCTTCAATGAGCCTCTTCCAACTTTTGATTTTGAACATTGTAGTCCTGATAGACGTTCAAATTTGAGAGATATGTCAGTTGTGATTACGGTTAAGTCGAGCTGAAAGGGATTAAAGGGAAGACATATAGGTGCTATTACAGGAAGTTCTCTCAGAAACCTTTCAAAAACTCTCTTGTAGTATAGGGAAACAACCAGTGAGGGAAACGATGAACAAAAGCTATGCTGGTTTGAGATCATCATTTTGTGACAAAAAGCCTTCAAGATGGGATGTCAACTTATTCTAAAATCATCTCATTTTAGGGGTTTAGTTAAGGATAAGCTTAACCAGATTGAAAAGTTCTTTTTGATCCTTTATCTCCTTCAAAAAGAGTTTGTACTTACCAACCAGCTGAAGTAGCAAATCTACGAGTACAATTGAACACATGGAGTATCTGATGGTACAAGATTTCGCTAGGCCTCTCTGGCCACTGTTTCAGGGTCGGAGGAGCCAGAAGGAGCCTCCTTACGCGCAGGGGACTCTTCACGAGGATATCAACGTGTTGGGCATCCAATTTTTAACGATTATACCTCCGCGTGTACTCAGCAGGGGGATGAGCTAAGAGAACCAAGTTGTTCCATTGTATCAATGGGTATAACGGTTTTTTTGCAATAGAATTGTTAGACCGTTCACGCAGGGCTCAGACTTCTGAATAAAATACACTCGCTAACCCACCGTTTGAAATCGACCCACTTATCTCTAAAAGCCGACCAATTCCAAACCCGTCTTGTAAAAGAGGCAAAGAAAGACATGACTGTAGTGAGCTCTGGCAAAAGGAATCTGAATCTGAATCAGCCCTACAGGAGGTTTATAACCTACTTCAAATCAAGAACGATATGCTTCAACTAAAAAGTCACAAGCATTTTTTTCTGTTGTGTTGCTACTGCCATGGATGGTATCTGTCACAGTGGTCTTTATAAGATGTTTCTAGCAATTTGCAATGGTCGATGTTTTATCATTACCTGCAGACTGTGAGCCAAAATTCTGATAATTTAATGCTAGCGATACATGCATATTAAAGTAAACTCATCAAATCATAAAAGAGATCTCAAAATGTTATTAAGACTACATGCCGGTAACAAATTCTAAATTTATGAAAAGAATCAGAAACTCGAAAATGTGATTGAATAAATGTAGAAGTAGGATATATTAGATACCGAAGTGTTTCTGGAAAACTGGATGACAATTCAAGAAAAAGAGCTGTAAAACCCATTGAAAGTCCCATGAAGTAGAAGTCTAATCAGATAAAGATGGGGATTGAGATTGAGATTGATCCGGAATAAAAGGAGAGACATCATGTCCTAATGTAGAGAGCGGATTCTGAGTGCTAAAATAAGGAAATGCATCATCAATATCTTTGGTCAGGGTTTGCTGAAAATGAATCTTGACTTACTCAAGAACATCCTCTACTACATCAGGTAAGTTACGTTGAGGTAAAGCAGAGATCAAAACAACTGTGAAAAACGTAAAAGAAGAGACTCGAGTAAGTGAATGTTCGTGTTTAGTATTTTTGCAGATAATCAATCAAACTCAACTGTTGAAGAAAATCGAAATTAAGATTGTGAATTGCATCTTTGTTTGATTATGTTTCTTGTTGAATTTTAAGAAAAGTAGTTTATAGGTGTTGATATTTATTAAATGAAAGGTGAATTAAGGTTTTGGATTGGGTGTGAAGGTGAGGAGGATGGTGGAAATATCCTCAGATTCTATGGAATTGATGGACATTTTATATGAAAAAGAAGCTATGAAAGATGGCAGGATTAAGAGCTTGTATTGCGATCGGGTTTCTGATAGTAGACAGGCCAAAGGAGAGAAACGGCTCATGAGGGAATACTAAGTGGTAAGGTTAGTTGAGGTCCAGTTCATGTTCTAATTTGAGTTCGAGCTCTTTAGATTTGATTAGATCACTTCAACGTTCAATGCATCTACACTTCAAATGGCTTGAAGCGCTCCAGCCTGATAGTTGACTTCATTCTTCAGGTATGTAGGCTGCGATATATTTCAACTTTGGCTGAGCGCGTTATAATCAAGAGATGATGGCTTGGAAATTGGATCACAACGATTGATTGACAGCCCCTTGACCAGCTCGCCCAACACTTCAATGAAGTTTATGGTTCGTGTTCAACACACAAAATCGATTTGATACCATGTTTCAATTCCTCCAGGATTTGTGCTTGAGAAGCAGATTGATCCTATCAATGCTTTTCGGTATTCTCGAACCAAGCCATTCGCCTCCCCATGAGGTACTCTCGCCTCCCCATGAGGTACTCTCGACTTCCCATCTCGTATGATTCTAGTCTGGGTCAAAATAGGGGAACCTCTCGAATGTTCAATGCTGGCGACTTACTCCGCTGGACAAGGATTATAAATACATCTATCTTTATCGGCTTCTTGTGCTTCTTTTCTGAATATCTCATTAAACCAACATCAAAGACTTCGTCATCATCCTCCAATCTACTATAATCAATTCTTTAGAACACTTCACACTCTTTATCCAACAATCGTTCAAGATGAATTACTCAATGATCAACTTCGCCATTTTCTTTCAAATAATGTTAACCTGTAAGTTGTTTTTGTCCATGCAAAATCAGAACATGGAATTTTTCCAACTAAAACTTTCAACATTTTCTATCTGAACAGTCTCTTCTGCTTTTGCACTACCAAACGAATGCCAGATATCAAAACAAGAGTTTATAGAGTGAGATTTTATTTCCTTTCATACACTTCACTCTTGAACTTGATTCTGATGAACCGATCGAATTTGACTGTTCAAAGTATGAAAAATTCACAAGTTTTTATGAGTTTTGGCGGTAGAATTTTCGACAGACCTCAACAATCTTGCAATTCATCTCTTTGAAGAGTTTAGCGCGGATTTCAATCTTGATTTACAACTTGTTTTCTCAATTTTTTCTTTCAATTAATCTTTATTTGTTTAATTTTTCAACTTCATTCACAATTTGTTCAGCTTTATTGACCTGAAGAATGTATTATATACATGATTTAAGAAAGACCCCAACATTTTTTGTCGCTCCTCTATTTAAAAAGCATGACAAGAAATTCCAGCTTCTAGTTGATTGGTTTACCTTGTGGATTTCTTACACCGGTCTAAGAGTTCTCCAGATTATCTGGCGCTGTTTTTCTTTGTGAGTCTTGGACAAAAAAGTCTGTTGTCTTTTTGGCTGTTGGATTACCTACATTTTTTTGAAAAGAAAATCTGGTCAGTTGGAAGAATTTCTCTTTTGAGATATCCTGTGATGTCGACTGCATCCTCCTTTTTGGATTTTGGATAATTTTTATGTTTCCATGCATCAAGATAACCAAAGGATTACCAGTGTTTCCAAAGCCCACAACGGTACAGTTGCTCCAGTCTAGTCATGATCACAGCCCGGCCTCGGCCCCGGCCCCTGGACCCAAATGTTAGGGGGTCCCAGTAATACCCCCCATAACTTGTTCCGGTTTTTTTTAAGGAAGCTCCTGCAAAAAATCTTACAGTGAGCAATGAGTTTGTGCAAGTTTGTCATCAGTCCCTCACTCGCCTGCGGCCTCAGCCTTGCGCGGCGAGCGTGGGACTTTGTTAAGCTTAGAGCATCTCCTATCGTCTCGGTAAACGCCTTCGGTACGGTAAATTTTACCGTACCGAGGGTCAAAATCCCCAATCGTGTCAAAAACACACATCGGTACCTACAGAATCAGCAGAAATTCTGTAGAGGTCCAGTAAATGTACTGGGCCTCTACCGATTCTGCAGAGGTCGGTATCTGCAAATATGCTCGACTTCTACCGAGCTGATCATACAACATCCTCAAAATCACAGTCCCACTGTAGCAGGGCTACTTAGCTAGCATACATCTTAGTCCACATACAGATCCTCATACTTGTAATACGATCTGTACATTCTACAACTGTATCCGCCATCTTATGTACAAGCCTATTAGAATGGTGTACCACTTGTAATACCGGCCTTTATCATAGCCGGCCATCAGGGCATCTAGCCATCTATTAGGGACTGGGCGAAGCACTGCAAAAATCCAATTCAACCGTAGTTGAAATACTATCGCAAGCAATCCAGCCCCTGTTGAATCAATATCAAAATTCCCTATTTTTATTAGTCAACTTCATGAGACTAAAAAAAATAGGGTGGCGCATAGCCGGTTGCCATCATCTGATGGGCTCTCCAATCCAAAACTTCCTACTCCTCAGCCAAAAGCCTTAGGCTGACCGCATCAGGATTGCCTGATATACCTTTCACAGATAAGGCTGTGGCCCTGAGCTCTCCGGTGGTGGTGCCCACGGGGGAGCCCGAAAAGGAAGTTTGTACCTTTGGGTTGGGGTCCTCATGAAGAACCCCTTGCGAGATAGACGTTGGAACATCCTATAGAAGTTGAGCAAGCAATCAGGTCTGTGGGAATATGGCCTTGGGAATGAACCCGGACTCAGCTTTGTCATCCCAATGAGATTTTGAACGGGGCACTTGGACATGCGAAAGGTCAGTGATATGTTCCTCCTGTTTAAATCTCTTCGGACAACTTCCTTGCTATACTTGCGCTAATTCAGGTGGCAAAATCCTGTGCTCGTCCGAACTTCGCCCAGTCCCTATTGTAGTTCCCTTATAAGGAACACTTTCTTCTATCTTTGTTGTATTCCTCAGACTTCAGATACTTCTTTTCATTACTCAGATCCTTTTTGGATAGTTTCATTATTATTCTCATCCTTTAATAATAGTTTATCATCTTATTCTCATTTGATCTTTAATAATACAATAACATACCTTATTCTATTATTACTCTCAAACACGTCTAAGATCCCCTTTCAATCACTTAACCCATATCTGGATTAAAGACCATCTTCCTAAGCCGGAAATAGCGTTAACGTAAGCCCCTAATAAGGTGCCCGTTACACCACTCTATCCCACTACACCTGTATGTACATCACAAACACCATTTTTGAGGTTTTGGTACCTATCACATCTTGTGAATTCGTCTTTTTTGATCATTTGTCTTCAAATGGTCATGTTCATAAAACATTTGTTTTCTTATTCGATCATTTTCAACTTTCTCATTTTCAAATCGATCGCTTTCACATTGATCGTTTTTGAACCGATTGTTTTAAAATCAATCGTTCTCAAATCAATCTTTCTCAAACCAATCATCTCGTTTTCAAAGTGATTGCTTTGAACTCAATTGTTATCAGATCAGTTGTGTTCTTTGCAAACTGATTCCTTTCAAATGGATGTTTGAACAATTTTCAACCATAAGTTTTTGAGACCCCAAGTGTGAGATTTGCAGTTTTTGTACCAAATGCACGATAGTGGGAGCAAGGGGTTTCTGTACTGTACATACTGTACTTTGTTTGAGATAAAGCAACGATAGTGGAAATCCACTGTTCTGTATCTAATGATACTGTACCGAGTGAGTATGTACAGAAAATTTACTGTAAATTTACTCGAACGATAGGAGATGCTCTTAATCAAATATGTATGTAAGCAACCCCGCTGCGTCTCGCACGCTTCGAGCGCAGCAAGGCTGCATGAGGCTGCATGGTGCTCTCGCCGAACACCAAACCTGTCCCGCCAAGGGAAAAGCTGACCTGTACAACACAAGTTTTCGGATTCGGGAGATCGACATGAGAAGAATCAGGAAGAATCATATTGCCGCCTGCAGACACAGCCCTTCTTTTAAGCAATAAATGTCACTCGGAAGAAAAGAAGCTGTCATCCATTGCGCTCGGCCCACATGCTCAGACCGTGAACTCTGGACAGTGACTCCTGGAGTTTTCTTTTGACTTGATCCTGTAATTTTGATCAAATGACTCCTGGGACACCTTGTCGCCTCATAAGATGTGAGAGGTCGTTCTACGGCTGCGCGCGGGACAAGACTGCACAGCCACAGATGAGCTCCTTGGTCAGGCTTACTCTCTCACCCACTTGTTTCTATAAGAAGGACCCTTCGAGTGGTTCTACAAGAGAGTCACTCCCATCCCATCATTTCAGCGTATACATTCACTCTTACCTTTCAGCTCATCCATCTCACCTAATAATCTATATTATTGAAATTCTTTGTAATCATGCTCACTCTTCTCAAAGTCGTTGCTTTATTTGGTGCTTTATCTGTGGTCTTCACGCAAGCCCCTGCCCCAGTCCATCAGTGTTATACACCTCAATCGGCATCACTCGAGATCGGTCAATGTGAATTGTAAGTTCCTTCCTAATATTTTTGCTAACATATCAAATCTGTTTGTCGTCACTCATGGATTGCACCTATTGGTGTTTTTCTTACTTCTTGATGGTGTTATTAGAGCCGTATTGCAATTCACTCACAACCCTCAGGGTGGTCTGATCAAAACTGGGAGCACTACGCAGACCAAGGCTTGTGGTAATTGTCAAGTAAGTGATGAATCCTTTAATAAATCAAATACTCAATATCCTTATCCACTGCTAACCGATGACAATGTTTCCAACTAGGTCACTTTGGCGACTTTGGATGGCCATGAGACCGTTGCCATGTAAGACGGCCTTTTTATATCCCCCTTGTTAAAAGTATTTTATCCTGAGTTGCTGACCTTGACGTCTTGATTTCCTCAGCTCTTTACTGAACTCTTTGGACGCCGTTCGTTCAGCATTCACTCTTTGCCGCGGAGTGAGTACTAGTTGACCTCTATACTCCATTGTTAATATATCCCAACTATCCCCAGACTTCAGCCCTGACATCGCTTGATACGTTAGTACGGTACCGTCGTAGTCGAGTCTGGCGAACGTCAAAGCTCGACCAATTTGACCTTGGGTCTCGGCAACGCTGGAAGATGTCAATTGTACTGATGCAATTATCCTTTTACCCAAACGATTTGGACATTTTTTTACTTGTGGGTGACTCTTGGCCAAGAGCATGTGTTATGGTAACCGGGCTAGCGCTGTACCATGTGCTATCTGCGTACTTATCACTTCAATGAGTACTTAACAATTGTATCTGGGTAGACCTTCGATCCTGTTGACGTATTGAATGAATAATATATGCACTTGCTCTTTATAATAGCGTTGTTCCTCTTTCTGGTGTTATGTGACATTCCTTTGAGAGCACGCTTGTTAATTTGACAGTCAGGGAAATGAGTAAATGGTCATTTTCCGCGCCTGACACTAAGTAAATGCAACGCATCAGCAACCCTTCCTGAAGGACACAAGCGCTAAATAGCCACGGAAGCCCCCAGTTTCCACATCCGTCCTGACATCAGAAAGGATGTCAATTCGGGCGTGCAAAAATCTGCAAAAACAATGTGCTGTCCCTTATCTTCTACGTACATACTTGACTATCTTTTATGACGCTTCATTGCACGATTTTATGATGTGTAATGTAGGGCATGGACTTATCATCATTCAAAAGGAGAAATGCAGTTGATATTTTTTGATCAAGCAACTTAAAACGTGTGTATGTTAATTTTTTTCAAAACGTAAAAAAGTATTCAAAATCACTTGATCATGACCTAACTCATTTCCATCATTGATAACAAGTAATAGCAAGTATGCTCTGAAGACTAATCATCATCATCTTCTATTAAGTCAAAGAGCTTGAAAAAGGCCTCTCAAAACCTTCATCCAAAGGAAAAAAAATCAAAAAATTAATTTTCGAAAGTAATTTCTTCAATACTTTGTTTTTGAAAACAATTCAATAATCATCAAACTTCATACTTTTTTTTAAGATCAAATCATTAAAAAATATAAAACAAAAAGAAATGAAAAAACTAACTTCTAAAGTGAAAAAAAACATCTCAACATTTAAAATTCTAATAAAATCTGCTATAAATCTTTCGATTGGTTTTTCTCTTCTAAAAAAATTGTAAATAAAATGAAAACCAATTCCTTCTTTAAAAATCAATAAGCATTACCTTTAATAAACCTAATAATGATTTTCTTAACGATTTCAAGTTGTTCTAAACTACCACAAATACTTAAACTATCCGATCCTACTTTTCCAATCACATCAATCATCGCTCCATCTGATTCTTCATTCATGATCCTTAATCCATTTCCTCCTCTACCAATGATTCTTGGCATCAAACTTACCGGTACTTTAGCAATTGCTAAATGTGTAAAGGTTTTCGTTTTTGGGTTCTTGTTATTGGTTTCTTTTTTAATTCGATTTTGAATCATTTGTGATACTTTTTCTACTTCTTCTTCATTTGGTCCATGAATATTCCTAATACAAAGAAAAGATATCATTGATTCATCAAGACTTTTGATGACAAGAACTCTCATTTCTTTAGCAAAACTTCACTTACCAAGGTATTTCTCCGTCTTCACTTTCTTTAGATTCAGGGATCTCTTGTACATTCCATCCCATTTGATTCTCAGCATCTTCTTCATCCATATCAATTCGTGTAGCAGGAATAGTAGCTCCTGCAATCGCTTTGTCTAATACAGATGTCGGCATTTGAAAAGGTTGAGGTGTTCGGATATTGCTATGATCGATCCTGATTGCTTTTGGAAGTTCTGTTGACAAAATGAGAATTAACAAGCAATTTAGATTCCAACTCATAAACAATCAAAACAAATCATATATCCTTATATTTGATGATCACTCACCTCGGAACAATCGACCGTTTCTTGAAACTTGGTTATGTAACGCTTTAGGAACCATAACCGTCTTAGAAGCTTTACTAACCCTTTCTTTAGGTACAGCTTTACTCTAAGTAAGTCAAAAGAAAAGAAAATGAATCAATTGATCAATCCAAAAAACCCTTGCTCTCAGAAGTTTTTTTTCAACTTACTTTCATTTCTTGTGCAGCAGCCAAACAAGCTTCTTTAGTTCCCACCAATTTAAAAATCTCATTATCTTCCACACCTTTCAAATCATCATTCAAATTAATCGGTTCAGAAACAGTAGACCATTCTCTCCAACCAGGTGCATGAATTAAAATTCCAAATTGGTTTTGTAAAGTTTTCAATCCGATCGCACCTCTACCAATCAAACCAGGTTGAATAGACTTAGGAATCTGAAGACCCCAAACGATTTGAGATTTTAATTTATTCACTTCTATTTCAAGTTGTTCTTTGATTTTAGGTATTAATTTTTTAGATCCTTTGATGATCACTTGGTTTGAATCTGATGTTCTAGGGAATTTGACCATCTTTGCATCGTCTTCATCTCCTCCTGCTCTTTTCACAATCTCTCGAACTAATTCACAAATCAACCCAAAACACAATCAGAAACACATTCTTCTTTGCTTGTCAATTTTCACAAAAATCACTTACGTTTGGATCCTCCTTTACCAATCAAAGTTTGATGATAAACTTTTTCAATCATGATTTCCGTACTACCCTCATCATCCACTTCTTGTACGATACTATTAATCATTTTCTTAGCTAAAAGAATTGATGATTTAGTACCCTTGATCAACACCTTCGAAACCCCTTCTGAACTTTCAGATTTATCGATATCTAATGATCCAATCCCAGATTCTTCTTTAATCTTATCTGCTTGAATTCCTCCTTTTCCTACAATTCTTGATATCGATTTAGTTGAAATCGTTAATGTGATCGTATTCCCATTTTCTTTTTCGTATTCCATAAGTTCAATCAACTATTTCGTTGGAGAAAATAACCAATCAGCGTTGAATTCATCACTCTGGAGATGGAATTGAGTTTCTGAGAACACTCATTCACCTCTTTCCTGACGGCATCCACACCCTTCTTCGGACCTCGGATCACAATATTATCACCATCCGACACACTAGCACCTGATTCATCAGTCGGAGCTCTAGGCATGTTAATACGAACAAGATGTACATCCTACAAACCAAGCTTCCCATTAGTATCTTCTTCGTTCGTGATGCTCACCAAGTCTAAACTTACCTGCAATCTGGTAACATACTTGCCACCTTTACCTATAAGGGATCTTCTATCTAATCCAGAAAGTAATGGTAATGAAATAGTAATCTCATCGGCCTAAAAAATAAAGAAAAAGGATCCATCAATCTTATAACTCTCATCCACACATGTTCTCTTTGTAAGAAAATTACATACCAATCTTTCAGCTTGAGCCAAGATCCGTTTCTTAGCTTCTTCAACATTCTCTTTCCTTCCTTGAATCACAATTGAAACTTTACTCATCGTTTTTTTCTTTCTATGATGATTAGATTCATTCTCGTTATTTCCTCCTACTTGTTGTGATCCTCCTCCACCAGGTCCATCACTAAAATCAACTCTAACTCCTAATTCTTCTCTTAATTTTGCAACAGTTGAACCTCCTTTTCCTACTAAATGACTTACATGTTTAGATTCGACTTCAAATTCGGTAGTCTAGAAGGATTAAAATCAAATCCAAAATCAATTTCAAAAACGGTTTCTTAAATCAAAAGGCAAAACAAATCAACTTACAAATGAATTGATCGTATCATTCACTTTAGCTTCCTCAGCGATCCTTTTAATCTCTTTCTCAACTCTTTCCACTTCATTCTTCGGTCCTCTAATCTTAATCAGATCAACTTTTTCTTTACTACCCACTTCAACTGACACCAATTTTTCTTCACCAATGATCGCATTTAAAGTGGTTCTATTAGGTCCTTGAATATAACTATGAAATTTCTCATCAACTTCAATTGAAATCGTTTGAATGTTATCTAATTCTTTAATCACTTTTGAAATCTCATCTTTTACAATTTTCAAATTATTAATCATTTCTTGATGATTACCAGATGATTTAGGACTACTTCCACATAATAAGATTGATGAACGTTTTTCAGATTCATTTGGAATTATGATTTCGATTCCCTTTTGTTCTTGAATAGTTTTAAGTTTCAAATTCTTTTTATTTAATAAAAATCTATGAAGTAAATAATCTACTTCGATAGATTCAAAGTATTCAGGTTTCAATGAAGTTTTAATATACGTTAAAATAATGTCTTTCACTTTTTGGATGTCTTGATTTTCCATTCCAACCAATTCTATAGTACTTGAAAATGAACTAACTAATGGAACATAAATTTGAACTTTAGATTTATGTTGGTCTTGGATTTGTTTTAATTTAGTTTGTCCAGATTTAGTTGAAAGATATGTGATGATTTCTTTATGATATTTTGGTGAGTTTGGTTGAAGTGTTTTCAGATCTATACAATCTACTTCTTTTGCATTCGCAGCTGTCTATCAAAGTTGTCAACAACAACGATAAAAAAATAAGCAAGATGGTCAAGGTTTGGTAAATCTGTAAGAGTATATCTCTGGTTTCTGACTTACCATCACTAAGCCTAAGGCTTGGACATTGGCCATCTTTTCACCCCGAACGAGAACTTTTTCACTAGGATCATTGGCTGGGGGAAGAGCTACAATAGATCCAGTAGAGGATAAGATTTCATCTAGAGTTTGTCCATCCAAGAATCGATGCTGTCGCTTTGGTAGCTCAAACTCGACCTTGGTAGTCTTTCGTAGCTGTTGAAAATAAGAGTACCCATAAAAAAGACTCTGATTAAGACTCTGAGAAAGACTTTCAGAAAGATGAGAGGTGCAAAAGACTTACAAAATCATCATAAATGCTTTGAACAAGCTTGATGACCAAATCAACTTGTTCTCGTTCACCAGAAACGACTATAGCCGAACTCTTAGTCACATCCTCTGAATCGGTATTATCTTCATTACCTTCATCAGCCAAACAAATATGAGATCGATTGATTTTACGTAATTGATGAGTAGAAGGTACAATAACACGACAATTCAAATCTTCTTCTTTGATCCCATGTTTTTCAACCAAAGTACGTTGAGTGATACTAGTTAATTTAGATTCACTAGGACTAGGTCCATCTAAGATTGGATAAAAGTCAATTGGAATACTTTCAACTTTAAGGTTCACTTTATTGCTACGTTCTTTAACGATAGCTTTAATTCGATCTTCTGCATCCAATACTGCCGATTCTTCTCCATTGATGGTGATCGGAATCATTTCGATTTCTTCGGTTGATGGTTCTTGGTCTTGGTTTAATAAGATCGGTCGTGAATCATCTTTAGGTGGTAAATTCACACTTGCTCCAGTACTTTCGATTATATTCTTCAATACTCTTCCTTTTTGTCCGATCACATATGGTTTCACATGAGCAGGTACCATCACTATCTTTTCGATCTTACGGGTCACTCTGGTGATGAGTTCTTGTCTAGCTCTTACGATCCTGTCTTCTGGATTCAGTCCTGAGGCTGCTTTCACTAGAGGTGGGGTCGAAGAGGTTACGGGTGGAAGGGTGTATGGTGTTTTGAATAAGATGGTCACTCTATCTCTGGATGTTGAGGATTCTACGCTGACAGTAGGATGTCGACGTTGGATGGCTCGTAAAACCTGTCATCGAAAAGATAAAAGTTTGTCAGTTTCAAAACTTGTTGTTTTCTGACTTATCAGATAGAATCAAAAAAAAAAGTGTGATACATACATCTGGTAAAGTCTTGGGATCTTCCTCTCGTTTCTCTCCAGCTTGTCTTGGTCCCTTCTCCCTGAACTGTTGTGGAACAGGACCGATATGAATCCTAAAAAATAAAGAAACCGATCAGATTCCAATCAACTTTGCATTGGAAGATCTGAAACAATGTTAAGAGAACTTACCCAGATATAAACAAAACCAAAGTTTCAGTAAACACATTGGAATTGAAATTAGTAGGCATTCCCGATTTCGAATTAGTAGCAACTCTAGCACTCAAAGCTGGACCAGAACCCCAACCACCTGAAGTTTTAGGTGCAGCAGCCGGTGTTCCTAAGGAAGGAAAAGCCGTTTCTGAATCCATATCTGGTTGTTTCTTTTTATTTTGATGATTGATCGGATCAGATGGTTGAACTCCATTGAATTGTGGTGAAGCTCTCATCTCTTCGTATGAAAGATGTTGGACTCCATTGGTTTGGGGTTGGGTTTGGTGTTGTAACATCAATCGTTCTGCTGTTGATAAGACTCCATTTGAAGTACTTTGTTTTTGTGGATCTTGTTCGGATATCGAATTAGTTTGGATAGATGGGAATGCGTCCATGTTGATGATCTTGAAGGAATCCTATGTAAGATAGTTTATTCCAATTGGTTTTGAGTTTGATTTGTGTTTCTGATCAAAGTGTTTTAAGGTTAGTTAGTTAATGATCGAGATGTTATTGAAAGCATTGAAAAGTGAGATTGATTGAAACATACCTGATGTTGTTGTTGTTGTTGTTGTCCTGGTTTTGTAAGCTGATGGACTACTACTATGTATTTTTGTTCTTTTTTTGTGGTGAGACAACTCAACTTGAATTGAGTTTTTGGGTTGAACTTCATTTTTACCCCATCGACACGTGTAATTGTAACATAACACTTAAAAGTTCACTAAATTATTAACACTTAAAATTCAAAGATATCTTGCAAGGGAAACTCAAAATACAAACTCAGAATGCTCATGAGTTTCGATACCGAAAAACCAGCTCCAGGAAATGCTATGTGAGAGGGATTATGCGCTCAAAAGGGATGCTTTTGCAAAAAATGTCTTTATGTGAAAAGGATGAGTTTGTTATAATTCAAGAGCGTCATAATCCTGTTGGTCCAATCATTCTCATATCACGTCTCCAACACAATATTTGACACAAAGCGCCTATACCCCCCCACATGTTGACAAGAAAAATATATGTAGCAAGAGTATCAAATCTATATAGCCATCAGGAGATCAGAATGATTGGTCAATTCTAAAGCAGATTTGTAAACAGAACGAGTTTTTTCAAAAAAAAACAAATCATGATTTATTCTGGATCATACCAATGCTTGGGGCGTGTTTGCTTAAAAAAACTCTTGATGAAAGCACATATTCTGCAAAAACGTAAGAATGAAACACACCTGTGACAACCAGCTTATTAAATTTTTCAAAATACAATTTCTGACCATAACTTTCTTGAGCAAACGGATGCACAGGAATCAGGGTATATCCACAATGTGTGTCTATCGAGCACTGGAAGTGTTTATTCTCGATTTCTCCTATCTCAGCGCCGCAATACTTGCATTCTGTTTGCCAATCCAATATTGTTTTCCGGCCTGCAGCTACCATAGTGACAATAGCCAAAACAGAATGAGGTTCATGAATAAATAAACATTATTGAAATTAGTTTAGATGAGGTCTCTAGTGATGTATTTGCAGCAATATGGTATGTTCGGGAAATCTGATTGTGTGAGTAATCATCTTCTTTCTGTAAGAAGGAATTTGTGAATTCAGTATGTGTTCAGTGTAGTTGTTCGTAAGAAAAAGAAATGTGTAGCAAACATCTCACCTATAGTTCACACAAGACCACAAGACTTGCATGTAATATTGATTAGAAGAACAACCCAATCTGATTAGCATTGGTGAAATTTTTTGGGTAAAAACAGAGATGAAGTATTGGACATGCTTCACATATTGAAAGCGATGACGAACCCGGGCAAAGGAAAATCTAGTTTGGATCAAAGAAAACCTTGGGAAAGTTTTTTAGGGAGAAGCAAAAAAGTCTTATAATAATCAGCGTATGTTGAAGAAAAGATAGAAGTTGACGAGTCACTCAGAACTACTGGCGATGAGGTACAACAATCCTGAGCACCCAATGACCCATTTGGTCTTAATGACACCCTATACAAAACTGGAGACACTGGAGTATATAAAACTGGAGACTCAATGACTTTGTGTCTCTACGTGATGATGCCTTGATAGGATGCATCTGAGACTTGAAAGATACAACTCGATACCTGTGATCTTCCGAGCTGAGAGGCCGAAATGCTAATTCCATCGCAGGGTTTTATGATATTTTTGGGTACACTAGAAAACGCTTGTTCTCTTAATACTGCGAGGCTTTATCACTTGCATCGGTGGTCCCTTGAGCCGAACGGTGGCGTGTGTTATTCAACGTCACAGATTGCACAAACAGTTTCTTTAAACACAGAAATGGCTAAGAGAGCTTTTTGGGCAGCTCAAACTCTTGGAACCCACAAATCTAACCGACGAAGCCTTCCTTCAAACATTCTTGGACCCGATTACACCCTATCTACGCACGTATCTGATCGAGTACATAGATAGCCTATGTAGGATATGTCTTATTTTCATTCACTGGGAATCGGTATCGGAAATGGGCCGCTGCCTTTTGACACTGCCAAGTTTTGTCACTTGCATGAGCCTGAGGGCGGCGTGTGTTACTCAGCGTCACAGATTACTTCAGAGGGTGCTGACTCTGTATATACGGGGACCTTAGTCCTGTTACGTTTTTATACGGATCAAGCATCATCATGTAAAGTACTTTTTGTGGAAACTTGAGAGTGTCCCTTTTTTGCTGATCTCTGATCAAATTCCTCAACAATTTTTATCATGAAGTAACTTCAACCCCAACCCGTACTAGTAGCACATCTCGTCAAATGACTTACTTTTATTACTTGAATTGATTTCTGAAGTTATTCTCGAGCACGAAAATTGATTGTGCACTATCACCATGCTATCTTGAGGTCGAACTGAAGAATGTAAAGTCGCGAATAATCGCACGCGAATGTATTGCGATCGATTTCGCATCGGTACCTTGGTGGTCACAGTCAAGAATCACAGTTGTTCAGGATATGGATATGAGTTATCTTTAGCCAGCTAAATATCTACTCACAGTCTCTCGATACAATCACGCAATTTTCATCAATGACACAATGATATCGTAACAGAATACTGATCCTATAAAAGCTGTTATCATTGCCCAGGTTCTTCCAACTTGTTTTCCCATCTCCAACCACCAATCAAGTCTGAGTCTATCACATATTCTCATCACCATCTTTCAAACTTCTTTGAACGCTATCATCATTACCTTTCGCTCACCTTGTCCCGCTCGAACCAAGCTTGTAATTCACTCGACTTGAGATTCAAGTCATCAACAAGAAAAATGAATCTTTTACGATCAATTTTAATCATTGGTGTCTTATCAGTATACAGTCTTCAATTCTCCTACTCTGCGACAATCAGATTCACAAAACGCTATCCGATTGATCAACAATCAGAAACAGAAACAACGGTCACAGGTGCAGATCCAAGTCTATTGTCTGCAAAGGCTCAGCCTATATAACTAGTAAGCTACACATCTTTTCTCATAGACAAAATAATGAGCCCGGAAAGGACATAAATTGAAACCCGATTTTTTTTGGATAATCAGATCAGCAACATTGACTTTAGATATGTGATCTTTGAATATTACCAAGTTTTCTTCAACGTTGAACAAATGAGTAGTTTATTTTGCCTTGAAAATCAAAACTTTCATAATCCACATTCAACCATTTTGAACTCTGGAGTTCAAAACTCATAGGGTCAATTATTTTTGCTTGTTTTAGATTTATGTAGTTCTATAACTTTAGGGGAATTGTTTCAGTTTTCCTAAAAAAACGCTGATAACCTATAGAATTTAGAAGCTTTCTAGACCGCCTATTCCTACCGTTTATTGGCTTGACTGATCAACTCAGGTACACCAAATCACTCTCATGCAGGAGAGCCAAGCATCGTACTTTGATTTTCTATCCAGCTCCACTAGACAGGCTTTTTAGAATTATTTCACAAATTCTCTGTGTGAGTCTGACTGTGACCAAAAATCATCTTGTGTCAGAATTCAGTGCAGTTTATGTTTAATAAATATTGATATCTGACTGAATTTGCACAAGGATAAAGGATAGCAAGACCTTCAGAGATAATCAACTCACCTTAGGCTTGACCAGGTTTTACAGACCAGACAACCTCAATGAGTTTAAGTACTTTGCACACTGAAAATCATCGGTTACCTTCATGTCTAATGTATATAACCAGATATGTGTTACGGATGATCTGTTTGCACCATTGATTTTTGAAGCTCAGAGCCATCTGCTGCCTGCATTGAACATTCTGGAATAAGCTCAAGAAAGTTTGTCCGGTGTCACCCGCGTGTCATTGCGTTAAGCCGGGCCGGAGTCTCCGGGGCCAAAACCGAGTGGAGCAGGCTTCATGAACCTTCTGCTGAAAGTTGCTTCATCCACCACTTTCTCAACTTCACCAGTTCGACACCCAAGCAATAGTCAATTTTCAGTGATCAACCTGATAAGCGCTTTCATTCGCGATTGGTCGTTGGAACTAGGTCAACTTCATTCAACTCGGAACCTCGCGAAAATCTACATTCTACTCAGCTTGAAAGAAACCTATCAGAAAATCACATTGTACGCGCGCCCATGCGGTTCAGCCTCTGGATGACACAAACTTCAACGAAACTCGACATTCACCAATAGGTCTTTGGAAACCTCGCTTTTTTGTTTTTTACGTGTTGTAATACCCTTGTTTTGGCGGAACCATTATCCTTAGGCTGGCCACAACAAACGTTGGCTGTTCTTTTTCTTCTCTTGGTTTGCAGTTTGTGAGTCCTGAAGACAGTATCAAGGAGGACGGTCTCTCTCGGAAAGCAAAATTTTAGTCCGTGTTTATAGTGTAAGCTCACACTCTTGCAATGAAATTGTTTAGTTGTCTTTTATATGCACTCGTTTGGCTCTTGTAAGCTCAACGCGAACAACACGGCGATCTTGCTGACTCAGACATCGATCTTTTGATTGTGTTTTCGCGCAGGCCCTTTTCTAAGTATACCATAGTCTCTACATCCAAGTTTCAAATTGAAGCATGCCACCTAAACAAAAAAAGAAAACTTTGAAAAAGTCTACAAACAGGGGATTTGCCACGACTTCAATTCCCAAGAAAGTCGTCGAACCTGAACCTAGTGTAGATGTTGAGACTACAGCGGATGGCTTAACAGCTGACGGATCACAACCGCCCAATGGATCCTCTGCGCTTCTCACAGCCAATCCCGATCAAAGTGGAACAAGTTCAGACAACGGAGATAAGTCCAAGGAGAACACCCTGGGTCAGGATGAATGGGATTTGTCACCAGAAGATCGAGAGATCTACAGTTTGGCCGAAAAACTGCGACCTACGTGCGAGAAAGCAATCGCGAAGCAAGTCAAGGTTAGGCACCCTTTGAGAGTCGATCTCGGAATTCTCTCCTTGGCCATGAAGTGTCTAACATTTGCATATAACTTCCTTACAAGGTCCTAGAATTCGATCGCCGAGCTGCGAAGGGCTTGTTGCCATTCAGCTGGTCTAACGCACGTTTGGTTAGCTCCCTTCTTTCTTCTTTCGTATTTTGCCCACCAATAGTAGATAAAATCAATCTGAGACAATCCTATTGTTTCGTTTGATTTGATTTCAGCAAGAGGAGGTTTTAGATCTCACTCGAAATGCCAACGAAGATCCTTCTGCCAAATCTATCAACTCGAATGATGCTGACGATGAAGAAAAGCTCTTACAAAAGGTCATTGTGATTTACGGTGTGCTAGAAAAACTTGGGTATCCTAAAAGTCGCATTGAAGATTGTGTAGTCAAAATCCAAAAAATCGAGCTTGATGAAGCGATGGATTACGTACGTTGATCCGATAATCGCTCTAAAATGCTACATCAGACCATTAATATTTGAATGTTTTTGACACGCGCCGGGTGTGAAATGTATATCCCCATACGATCAGTTGCTCCTTCATTGCACCGACGAGGAACTTATGATTGCTGGTACGTTTATATCACTATAGAAATCATAATGGGGAAGTCCGCTGATGCGTCATACTTTTCTTGTCTAGGTCACGATGGCCTTTATAGTAAAGATCGTGTCTCGGCAACACAAGAAAAAGATAGCTCGTCCGCCAACTCTTCTATCAATCTGGCGAAGTTTAGCACGGAATGTACTCCTGATACCAGTCTTGACATCGATGTGTTAAGTGGTTTGCGATTGGACGATGAATCAACGTTGTTGACAAAGCCTTTCCTCGGCTCCTTACCTGTCACTCCTCTATCACCTGCTACACCTCTATTGCCAGTATCGCCAGCCTGTTCTACCGAGCAACTTTCGGCCGACGTTAAGCAAAAGACATTAGCCTATGGCAATTATCACACCGAGTCCACGGGAGATGATCTATCTGTGATCGAAGACTATGTGTCACTCCGGCTTTCCCTCATCGAACTCTGTAAGAAGACCCCTAAGATTGGTGCAGATCACCGCAAGAAGAACTTGAAAGAAGCGGTAAAACATGCGCAAGAGGTCAAGTTACTAGAAGAAAGAATTAGATTGATTCAAGGCAGGTATACATTTGATCAACGCGAGGCTGGTCAGTCTCTTTGATTGTCTGTTTTCAAGTCACGGGTACTCCATGCTAAAGTGAAATTGACGTTTGGTTCACTATAGACCAAGCCTTGAAACTGAAACTGCAAGAAACAAAGCTGTCTGAAACAGACGAATCCAACCCGCTCACGAATCACAGCAACGGCACTGATAATCATCAACTTGATTCGGCACCCAAAGCGAAGCAGACGATTGGGTCCTCGTTTCCTGTCACTGCTTTCCAAACTTCATACGACAGCGACTCAGACTCCATAGAAACAGATTCGTTCCAGAGAAACGTGCCTAACGAAAATGCAGAGTCCCCAGATGCTGTATCCCAGAGCGTACATACTAGTCAAGTTCTCATATCCACGCCTGACGGCTCCATAGTCCTGCCTCCTGTCTTAACATTATCGGATGAAGATCAACTCTCTAGTTCTAAAACATTGGATGAAGAAGGCACGAGCCTGTTTGGATCGATGTTCAATGATCAATCAGCAGATCTCAAACCCGACGGAACGATGTCGACATCAAATGCGCAGACCAACATGTCAGATCCCAGCGCTAGCCAACAAACGGTCGTAGTTCGAGATATGTCACTCCCAAAACATTTTGTAGGCAAGTCACCACGGACCTTGTTAGAAGAGTGCATCAGGCGACTCGATAAGTATGTACAGCCTAGGTACTTCGTCGTCTCAGGAGGTAGCAGGGCGGTCAAAGCTTCGGTCGAAATTAAGTGGCAAAGCAGCAAGATGATAGCAGAATACGGCGGATCGGTCAATGGAAGCTCTCCGGTTTTTGAGAAACCAGTCCAAACGTTTATCATGGAAGATGAGGCCTGCGCTGATGAAAAACAGGCATATAATTATGTTGCAACAATCGCATTATTTCATCTTAATGCTCACAATCCATTATCAGTGCAACGAAGTCTACCGACTCTGTTTCGAGATTTGTGGAATGAATTCAAAGACAAACGGAAAAGAGATGACGATAAGGAATATATCGAGCACCTCAAAACCCTGACGACTCTTGTGAAGACTCGGATAAACTCCTTTGGATCACCTAAAGCTGAGAATAGACCGGTATGATGTCTTCTTTCAAAGGTAGCCTAGAGCAACGATATCTGATTGTGTGTCTGTGACCCATTCCATGCGTAAACAGCTGACGAAGGTTACGAAATCGGATGACGATGTTGTGGCTTTGGTTAATGAACCAACTGACTCCAACACTGCCGGCGACGTGCCATTTTTGAATCCCACCGATATGACTCTGATGGAAGAATTTGCCATGCGTCAGCAATGGCCTTCGTATCAGTACATGCTTGTCAGTTTTGCAACAGCTTCACAATGTCTTTGAGTATCAGCTCTGAGACCTTTCCTTGTACAACAGAGGTATAGAGCTAGTTTACCGATAGCAGTGTATCGATCGTCGATTATCCAAACGATTGAACAAAACCAGGTCGTGGTACTTTGCGGAGAGACTGGATGGTACGCATGCTTATCAACTCAAATTGAAAGGAGACCTGATGAAGTCATGAGCCACCGAATTGAGATGATGATATTTTACTTTTACAACTTTCACTGGCTATCTGTTACAGTGGGAAATCTACTCAATTGCCTGCGTTCATTTTGGAGCATGAACTGTCAAGAGGTCGACCAGTCAAAATATTTTGCACTGAGCCTCGTCGGATTTCAGCTATTTCTCTCGCGCAGCGTGTTTCTCAAGAGTTGGGCGAGCCGACAGGGGCTGTTGGCCAGCTCGGCTCCTTGGTCGGTTACAATATCCGTTTAGAGAGCAAAACATCACCTACCACGCGTCTTGTTTATGCCACCACTGTCAGTATTTCAATGCTGACTCCATCGAGAATTCACATATTCATGGTTTCCATCTGCGTACTTATCTCCTAACAGGGAATTGTACTGAGGATGCTCGAAAATGGAACTGATCTCCATGACATCACGCATCTGATTGTGGATGAGGTGTGTTGCTATACTTGTGTGTCGTTCTGAAACAATCACATGGCTCACTATCCATGTAAAATATTCGCAAAGGTTCACGAGAGGAGTATCGACGGGGATTGTCTACTATTGGCCCTCCTTACCGTACTGGAAAGGCGACCCACCCTTCGGTATGTCTCGAGTTTTACTTTATGGTCATTCAGACATGAGTTGGTAGTTCATGCTGGACTGATGCATATTGTTCCTTCCCAGTCTGATTCTGATGTCGGCAACAGTGGATGCCGAAAAGATAAGTAATTATATGAACGGATGTCCAATCTTGAAGGTTCCGGGGCGTACATTTCCTGTCACGAGTTTCTTCCTGGAGGATGTAATCGAGTTAACGGGCTACGAACTCGACAAAAATTCTGATGGTCGCTATCTCTCCCGTCAACTTAAGCAAAAAGTGATTACACTCAAGACCTCTGGAATTGATGACGACACTCCGACACTTGATGACGATGAAGACGCACTGGGAAATCAGGATCCCAGTCAATTGGCTCATACCTATGCAAAGAGTACAAGGGACACCCTAGAAGTCTTGGATGAGCACCAGATCAATATGGACTTGATCTTGTTGCTCCTTGAGCAAATCTGCCTGCACAATCCGAGTCTAGTTCAATCATTCTCGAACGCAACATTAGTTTTCCTACCAGTAAGTACTGTTGTCGAAACGGGCGATGTGTATCCAAACTGACCACGCTGTTGAACGGTTGTGTCACTTTTCCAGTCATTAGACACCATACGCAAGCTGACGGAGATTCTTGAAAGTCATGCCGTCTTTGGTACAGCTGCTTTCCAGATATTTCCATTGTAAGCCTTGTATAGGTTTCTAAATTAATCTCATTCTCGATTTCTCTGACATTTCTCATTTTCTCATTAAGGCACTCCACTATATCCAATGAAAATCAAGGCTTGGTGTTCCAAACTCCACCACCAGGAGTCCGAAAGATAGTCATATCGACTAACATAGCTGAGACTGGAATCACTATTCCTGATGTCACTTGTGTTATCGATAGTGGGAAACACCGGGAAATGAGGTATGTAGATTCTTTCGGCCTTGTATGTACCACATGCTGACATCGCCTCTCATACATCGACCAGATACGACGAGAAACGTCAAATCAGCCGGCTTGTCGAGACATTCATTGCCAAAAGCAATGCAACTCAGCGGAAAGGAAGGGCTGGGCGTGTTCAAGAGGGAATATGCTTCCACTTGTTTACTAAGCATCGTATGGAAACTCAAGTACGCAGGTCGCAGCTCCCCTCGACTTTACACGTTGATCTATGGCAAGGTTGTGCTGCTTGCTAATCTATTTCTGAACGTCCAATCTATTTAGTTCGCAGAAAATCCTCTACCCGAAATGCTGCGTTTGTCATTACAAGATTTAGCTCTTCGAATCAAGATTATGAAGATAGGTACTTCTATCAAAGATGTCCTTCGAAAAGCGTTAGATCCACCATCCACCGTCAATGTCCAGCGTGCGATTGCTTCTCTGGTGGAGGTGTGTTGTTAATTTTTCGATCAGTTGTAGATATAGATACCAATTACTGACGGTCCATCTTCCTGTCTCCAGGTTAAAGCTCTGACGCTCAATGAGGATATAACTCCACTTGGTCGTCATCTTGTAAAGCTTCCTATGGACGTCCACATGGGAAAACTCTTAATTCTCGGTTGTCTTTTTCGATGTCTGAGCCCTGCTCTTACTGTTGCTGTTGAGTCAAGAGGAGTATCACAATATATTGCATACAGATTTACTGACATTTTGTAAACAGGCAGCTCTCAATTCGAAAAGTCCGTTTCTCACACCTTTCGGGAGGGAGCAGGAAGCCGATACCATCAAAAGATCATTCAAAGTCGAGAATTCCGATTTTCTTACCATCTGTAATGTATACAATACGTGGCGCAACGCATTTCATAATGACAACGTACATCAGTTTTGTCGCAAAAACATGCTATCACACCAAGTAAGATTTTTTTGAGATCATCAACTTACGTGTCACCGATATTCCTTCAAGAAAGAGGTTAAGCCATCCGTTTTGCTCTTCAGAACCTGATGCAGATCGAGGAACTTCGGATTCAATTCTTTGGCTTTCTACTCGATGCCGGATTTATCGGCGTTCAGAACGATTCACGTAATTACCATGGTCGTGGTAAATTTTGTACTGTTCCACGCGATTTTGATACCAATTCTCAGGATACAAAGGTTGTGATGGGCTGTGTCGCAGCGGCGATGTTCCCTAAGTTGCTCATACGTGATAACAGCAGCCAGCTCACTCAAACTCATGGGGCTTGGAGGACCTTGACGAATTCTGCGCCCGCATCGATTCACCCTTCGAGTGTGAACTTCACTACTGGACGTAGACCTGATTTCGGAGATGCAAAATTTGTGACGTATTTCAACATTATGCAATCTAAGAAGCTCTGTAAGTATTTCATCGTCATTTTCTGTTCCGTCACCACACATATATTGATTATAAATTGTGCGCCAGATGTATGGGAATCTGGGGTGGTAGATGAAAAGGCGATTTTCTTACTCTGTGGAGAAGCGGACTTCAAATTATGCGCTCAATCTGTGATCCTTGATTCTAAGATCAAAGTATCAATGAATCCCAAGACGCTTCTTTCGCTAAAGATCTTGAGACAAAGGTTCCAAACGGTAAGTTGTTTCATCAATGGCAATCGTAACTATACTTGAGGTCGACTTTTTTACTGAACATGATGTTGATCTTTTTTGAAACTTCTCTAGCTTTTCAATCAGAAAATGAAGAATCCATCAAAGCCTTTTAGCGAGAAGCAACAAAGGTGGTTCAATTTGATTGTTGCAGCATTAAAGGATGAAAAAGACAACATTCCTGGTATGTTTTCTGATACGAACAATGATATGGGAAGATCTTTGAAAGGTGAAGCTTCAAAGAAAAAAACTATGACGGTGGTCATTGCTCGTCCAGGTAGAGATATTAAACCTGCTCAGTAGAAAGAAAAGCCTACCGCGTCTTTCCCCAGAGCACGAGGCATTGATGATGGGCCTTATGGAACAACAAGCAGTTAGATATCAGGGAGATACCCATAGTGATCGACTGGTTCCGATATCTCTGCTTTGAAACTTTTTCAAACTACAGACATCTTCTAGATTTCATTGAAAAGCCTTCCAGTCTAGTAGTTTCTCTTGGTTTTTTCGATTTTTAGAGCCATCTGGATTTTTGTTTCTTTTACTCGATGTATCCAATGTTCGGCCCAATGAACAACACACAACCTCTCTAGATCATCAGTAAATGTGGGATGGCTCAAAACCTCATTGATCATACATGCGCATCAACCAGGTTGACTGCGATTTCTTCATTAGTCAATCGCAAAGAGGGTTCCAATTCGAGCAGCCTGCATTGCCTAAGGCATTGACTTCTGTTCACATACCATAAAGGCTTCTGAATCTTCAAAGCCAGCTTTCAGCTGCCATGCTCTAGTGTCAGTGGTGGTATAAACTGCAAACTTGATGTGTGAAATTTCTCCATCAAACAACGCAAAATTCAACGAATGAACCTTTTGGCGTGATTTTTTTCTGTTTTCCCTTACCATATAGTGCACACAATCACAAAAATTACAAGAAAGCAACACAGGCTGGAACTCACTTGGCGATCATTTCGAGTCATACCAAAGATTGGATCGTAGCATTTGATTGTGAGCAAACGTATTGCAAAACGGATTGTACCCGGTACAAACTGGGGTCCGGGAGGGCATTTAGCTTAACCAAGCCCTCTGTTTGTTGAGCTCAAGGAATGTTATGGGGAACCCGGGCAGCGTCCGCAACAATTTCTTCTATTTCAGCTCATGACTGTTAGATATATCATCTTATATCTTTCTCATACTTCCTATCAAGCATTACGTGTTGGTACTCTTTCGGCTATAGATCTGCTGACTCGGCGAGTTCTGTTCAAGGCCAGGGTGGGTGGGAGGCACGAGGGATTCAAATTATTTTGCGGAGGGTTTATACGTTGTTACGAATTGGGGTTTTTCAAAGCAATGAAAATCTCAAGTTCGGTGGAACACCCAAGAGCCGTTGCGGCCTTGGGCTTCATCTTCTCCGTAAAATTTGATTCTCGTCTGATTCCTCAAAGGTGTCGAGCGATGACTATGTTCACGAACACAGGCCTCCCGAGGAGCGAGGACCTTGTTAAGTTTGCGGACACCTAGCTTAACCCAATCCCCATCAACCGCAGACTGTACAACTTGTTTGCCTGCTTCGGGGAAAACAGCACGAGACGCGTTCGAAGATGAAACATCTTCGCCGGCCTGTGATATACGTGATCCGATATTTTGAAACCAGAAAGAAGAATACATATGCCTTTACTTGGGGCTCACCCTCAGTAAGCTAGTTTGATACATTTCTCGAGTGCTATGAATTCTGAAAAGGGTGTATGCCAAACGAATCAAGGACGATGTAGGGTAAATTGAAATGGTCATGAAAACAGAAAATCGGATTGAGATCGGCCATCGTTTCAGTCTAACTAGATTTTTCAGACTACAATTATTCACTCAGACTATATACGAAGATGAATCGGAGTAGATTTGGGAGTCGTTTGAACCATCGCACTGAGTTTGGAAAGGTCGTCTTTCTGCCAAAAAAAATCCATACGATCACGAGTTTTTCAAAGAGCGCCCGACAAGAAACCGCGAAAAGTTTCGATAGAGACAACCAGGATGAGAACCTCGATCTTTGTTTTCTCGGTGGTCACATTCGGAAACATATTCGTCTACCATTCATTCATCCTATCTTTGAAGATTCCGATTCCAAGTACCTCAAACATTCTCAATCGTCGATGGCTTTCGAAGAGAGACGAAGCGATCCCTACTTCGCCTAGTGGAGGTTATGCTCCTTCATGGCAACCCTGTCCTGAAGGTTTACAAGTCCGACAGCCATCCGTGGATGTAAGTTATCAAATTCTCTCACAAGCAAGAATAATCAAAACTGTGTAGATAAAGTTTCCCTGATGTTGAATTCACACTATCCAATCAGGGACCCTTAAATTCCAAAGAGCTTGAATACGTGAATCAAAAATCATCTAAATCAATACCACTTTGGAGGGATTATTTATCAAACGTCGGTTTAATCGATTTCGATGTGGATTTATTCCTTTCAAATGCTACGAAAGATTCAAATCAAGCATCAAAAAGTTTACCGAACTTTGGATTTGCTATATCAGGTGGTGGAGCTCGAGCTGGACTAGTAGGAGCAGGTGTACTAAATGGATTTGACGGGAGGAACCCGGAAGCTCATAAAATGAGAACTGGTGGATTACTTCAACTTGCTAATTATGCGGCTGGACTCTCAGGGTGGGTGATTGCGTCTCTCATTCTCATCGCCGTGATCGATTGGCGGTAGACAATATATGTTGATGTATCAATGAGCTGAAGCTTCTTTGGATGAATGTTTTTTCCTTTCCAGAGGTTCATGGCTACTTGGAAGCTGGGCCACTTCAAATTTTCCGAGATTCACATCTCTCAATGAAACGGTTTGGAAATTAACAGAACCAGACGCACTTTATGACCTTCATATCTTGAAGCAAATAGATCGAGACTTGCAAACAGCAACAGAAAAAGCTAAAGCTGGTTTTGAGACGAGTATAGTGGAGTGTGTATGATTCGATTTCCATGTGGTTGAGAGATTGACAAATACTTCTTCAATTTGTTTCTGCTCAGTGCTTGGGCTCAGTTGATTGTCGATCATACAATGTAAGAAGATATCCCCACCAAGCACTCTTTAATGGTTGAAGTCCATCTGATGGTTCATTGATGCCAATTTCTTCTTCCAGAAACACGACACAAAATGCCAACGCGGTCCTTTTATCCTCTGTGAGGAATTTGACGGGATATTCTACTCATTATGCTCCATTTGTGAGTTTTATCTTTGATAGGTCTGAAACGCAAGTCGCACTTCCTGGATTAATTGTGATATCTCTAATCAGATTATTGTCACAGCAACTTCGAGAGCACAAGGAAAAGGAGATATGTCATTAGAAAACCCAGTTTGTATGTTATCATCTGTCTATATTCAAGCAATTTGAATCACGAAAAGTAATGGGCCATCAATTATCTCAGATGAGTTTACACCAGAGGAATTCGGAACTTGGCATCCTTCTCTCAATGCTTTCATTCCTATCGAACTCTTGGGTACTAAAATCAACCAGGGTCTGCCATATCGTGGAGATCAGTGTGTAGTAGGGTTTGATTCTATGGGGTTAGTGTAGCACGTCTCTCTTTACAATCAAGTGATGTTCCTCTATACTAACATAATCTTCTTCAAAGGTTTATTATGGTGAGAAGAAGTCCAATATCTGATACATTCCATCAAACCTTCCCAGACCATACATGTCAAAGGCATCCCTCCCAATCGAAACCAAACAAAAGACTAAATAATGTGACATCCTTTTGACACGAATTTGCAAAACAAAGGCAACCAGCAGTAATGTGTTCTCACTCTCGAGCAAAACAGACGGACAACCATTTTTTATCGCATTGGCACATAAATTTCTCAACGCATTAGCTCAAAATGTATTTGATGAATCAATCATTCCTAATCCATTTCGTGGACTCGGGTTAGGTTATGGTCTCAATAGTGGTTATCCAGCAAGAGATGATGATAACCTTTATTTAGCTGACTCTAGTCTATCCGGAGAAACACTTCCTCTGTGGCCCTTAATCCAGCCTAGTCGAAATTTGGATGCGATCATCGCAGTTGATTCTTCAGTAAATTCTTCTCTGTCTTTCCTTTCATTCCCGTGTTTGTTTTATTCCCTGACAGTTTCTTGACGATTAAGCAGAATCGAGCCAAGCCTAGTCTAAATATACATGCATGTCAGTCTCCACGGTTTTTCAAGGTATCGCCACGGAAATGTAAGGTTGAATATATAGTGAGACCTAATTCATTCGCACAGATCCTAATGGTACGAGTCTTTATGCGTCATACGCGAAAACCTTGCAACCGGACTATGAAGCTTATAGCTTTCCACGGCAAGTCCCTCCAACATGAATTTTGGTATTCAATCTGGCTCACTCCACTTCTTGAAATGTGGGTGGATGATAGGGTACCAGATCCATACGAGGGAGAATTCTCGAGACGGGGATACAATAAACGACCAGTGTTTTTCGGGTGTAATGACAAGAAAGGAGCTTTAATCATCTACCTCCCCAATTATTATATCGTAGCAAGTACTGATGCACCCACGGCGCAGATGCAATTTAGGGTAAATTGTCAAAGATCACGAATTACTCATATATATGATGCTCAAATCTGATTTTATCTCAATTTAATAGCATACTGAATTAGATGGATACTTCTCAAATGGATTCGCAATTGCCACTCAATCAAAAGACTCGACAGATGAATTAAGTGATACATTAGAAGATAATCTCAATCGAATAGGAGCTTCAAACCCAATAGAATGGTCAGCTTGTTTAGCTTGTGCTCTTATAGATAGACAGCACAAACGGAATGGTATGGATCGTACAAGCCAATGTCAAAGTTGTTTTGATCAGTATTGTGCAATTGATTAAAGCCAGGTTTTTGTTTCACTTGTTAGACTTTAAGTGTTTATCTTTCTTGTCATCATTCATTCAGATCTCTTTCTTTTCCTTCTTCAAACTGGACTCAAAGCTGGATTCTATTGCAATTTTTTTTTCAAATGGTTTGAATATATTTTAGGGTTATATATGTCTATAGATTGTTTTCTTTTTGCTTCTGTAAAGTTTGAAACTTCATGAAACAGTAGAATTTTGGAAAGGAAAAGAGTTGTATAAAATTAAGGTCAATAATGATTTTTTTTGTGTGAAAAAAGTTTGGTCTGGCCATCCTAAGTAGTCCATCTGTAATTGTTATAATTGAGTAGCTCAAATTGATTGCCAATCTCTTGATCTCATTCTCACGAAATAATCTCTTTTCATCTCCGCCTTTCTACTCAAGGGATCAAATTGACACAATCCATGCATGTACCTGGTGCAGATTTTGTTTTTTGTTTGCGTCTCCAAATAGATACCATGTATGCAAAATAGTCTCTGATGGAACAAAAACATGCCACATATCTCTCCCAAACTTCAGGGTGAAAAATATGTTTATCTGACTCGAAACATTTTTGGATCTAAGTATGAAATTAGGAAGCCATCTGACAGTCAAAGTCGAGTTTCTGTTTTCATGTTTGTCAAAACCCTAATCTCAGAAAAGCACGAAGTATTGAATACAATCGAGGCCTATCGAGACTCATAGTGGGGGACCAAAATCGTGGTCAAAGGACATAGTCTCAGATCTTAGCTGGCCATGACCCAGCTTGGCAAGAGGGTAAGGGCTGTGGCGGAGAGATGCGGTATCAGTCTTTTTCTGAGACTCCCTGAGACGGTCTCTGAGCCATACAGGGATAGTACAATTTCTTCCAGAGTGGCACTTTTTTTTTTTCGAGCGGGGCGCGCTTTTTTTCTCTGGTCTTCTCGGACTACCCAGGACTGTACAAAGGGATCTTGTAAGATTGACCGATCAGAAATAGATCAAAATCAACCAATATGAGAGAAGGAACCATGTTAACGGTGATTGATTTTGTGTGTTAATTTGTTTGCAATGTCAAATCAATCCCGTTTTGATGTGCTCCATCACACAGGACCAGGGCTGGGTTTCTCACAGGACAATGGTCCCTTTGATTCTCTCCATCATACACTTTGGACTTTGGTCAAACATTATGATTTCATGGAAAGAATGTAATATAATCGAATAACAGAGTATGAATGATTCACAAAAGAGTGAGATATTTGAGCCATCTTCATCAGCTGTTCACCAAGCTGCTAGCCACATGAACACCTGTATTCGCGATATTATGTTATGTGAACAAGGTTGTGGCTTGGTGGATTCCCTTCATTCCTTCTCTCGTGACTTTCTACAAGAAAAACCCAAGAAAAAGGGTTTGGTCATTAGTCATCAAAATGATGTTATTGCAGGTATTTCACCATTAGCATCATGACTGAACAATATCTTTCGATTATATTGTTTCACCATTAAAGCCCTAATTGTGATAATCAAAACCAATAGAGAATGGATGAATATTCAAACACAAAGAAAAAGAAAAAGAAACACCTGTAGGATCAAAAGGAGCAGATAAACGTTAAAGATACACCGATCGTTTTGGAGGATCAGCTTGATGTATCGTAGAAGAACATTCTGCAGGACTATGATTGATAGCAGCTGAGTCGAATCAATCACAAGCAAAAGGTTGAATGGGACTTTGGTGTAGAGTCGTGTGAAAATTTATTTGATTTGTTAAGAATCTGAGGAAAATCGATCGAAGCACGAGGAGAATCGATCGGAGCACGAGGAGCATCGATTGAAGTATGACAACATTCAACAGGAGTATGTGACAATTTGACTAAAGATGGTTGATTCAGAATTAATTAAAACCAAATGTGAAAAAACAAAACAAAAAGAAAATAAAAAATAAAGAAAACTTACTTACTAGGAAGAGGTGAAGTTGAAGTTGAAGTCCATAAACTTGATGCCGGCTAATAGTATAAGATCATCAAAAAAATCAATGTGAGTTATGAAGACAAAGAACCAAAGAAATTTCTAAAAGCTTATCAAAAAAAGTCAGGTTATCTTGATGCTTTCTGCCAATGCCTTGATGATAGGGGTTGGGCGATATTTCGACCAACCGGTTTTGCGCCTCTGAGAAGCCTCCCGAAAGGAGTCGAAGATGGCGGAGGACAAGTATTCTGGGTTTCACAGATCTGTTACGGATCTGAGCCCAGAGCCAAGAGTGTTTAGGCGATACCCAGGCAAGCTTTTGCCAGAAGAGATGGGTTAGGGGATATGTGAAAGGTGCAAAAGGGGTGTTTGCATGGCTTGTACTACGAGCCCAGCGGCGCAAATTGCTTTGCCCTGTAAGCCTTTTGAACGGGTGAAGCTTTGGAGTTCTCAAGAAACACTTCGTACTGGTGTGTATTTTTGCAAAGCAAAAAGATCGATAAAAGTTTTGGTCGGTTAAGGGTGGCTTCAATATTGCTTTCTAGCCATCTCGAAAGCATTCTTAAATCATTGAACTACGACTGAATGGGTTTTGCAAACCGGTTGGTCTAAATTTCGCCCAACCCCTGATGACTTCCTCTGAAGGCTTGTTGATGAAATTTTTTGAGTCGTTTCCCGGATATGGTACGCTGTACAAATGAACTATGGAGTGTGTATGAAGGGTGTACAGAAAGCCACTTTTTTTTGTAGCTCAGAGAGAGTCTCAGAAGAGTCTCAGAGCGACAGAGTCTCAGAAAAAGACTGATACTGTTACGCTCCCGGCTGTGGAGGAGAATTTAGCTGTAATCATTGTTGAAGAATGTTCAATGCACAGAAACTTGGATGAAGGCGGAAGGTCGAAGACTCAAGAGTCTGGTTCGCCATCTGCCAATTCAGAAGCCAAGGGACTTTGTTAACATAAAGGCCCGCGTGGCACGGTGTCTCGTTCGCATTTCTTTTTGTGAACGAGTAACGGAAGCCTCGCACCGATCCAACCCTTTTACAAACGTATATTTTTGCTAATACCGTCTACCATTGATATCGCTTGATCTTCGCCTTTGTGGCTATCCTTTCTCCTTTGCTTTGCTCACCAGCATGTTTCACCATTCTTTTCTTAAAATCACTGTGCTAGTCTCCTTATGCCTCGGAGCACTCCTTGTGTCATCAAACCCCGCGCCGCACTCGCCTTACTTCACACTAGAATGCCGCGGCTTTTTCTCAGGAGGTAGTCATCATGAGGCGATCGTTGGTGAGTTGCGATTTTATATTTTGCTGTCCAATCTGAACGCGATTCACCTCAAACTTCAACTAAACATGTCTCTTCTGCCATTTTAAGCATGTCAACCGGGCAGGGATTCACTTGCCCAAAAAAATTGCAAAAACTGGGGCTGTTTCCATTCGGGTAGGTATCTTTAGGTACAGTAACTCATTGTGTGATGATCAATTCTTGCAAAAAGCTGAATAGTGCATATCTCATTCATGAATGTAAATCTGTAGGAAATAAATGGGTCGAATTGGATAACTGCATACTTGATGGCACCAGCAGTGGCTTCAGCAAACAACAGTGTGTGGGGTACAGTTGGCTGCCTGATCTTGGACGATTTGGTGCGTGTACATCTTTGTACACTCCTTTTTTCCGTAGCTCATTGTAGACTTTCATCACCTTAACATGGGGATCAAATCACTCAGGTTGTCACAATCACGGACGTTACTTTTATCAGTGCGACGGGACCCCAGAGACAATCCCGTTCATAAGTGAGTCGAATCCATGACGCTCAGCGAAACCTAAATTATTGACGAGATGATTTTGTTGCTCTCAGCCTGTACAATGTCATGCTATGATGATTAGATTTTACTAGAGGAATGAAATGTCAGATTGAGCCATGCCTGATGGTCCTCCTAGAAAGAGGACCATAATAGACATCAGAATTGGTCATAGGAATTTTGTGCATTACATCCAGATTGATCTATTTAATGTATTTTGAAGAGCTTCTTTTACAATATATTCACTAATTATTTTGTTCACAGTGTCAATTTTATTATTGAATCAATTTTGCAGTGATGCATCCTCAAAAATAAGGTCTTACAGGAGTACAAAATATTTCAAGATAGTATCCTCAAATCTCTTCATCTATGTATCTATGCTATACTTTACCTGGGACCTTGGTCTGGAAGATTGATTACCATCCTGGCAGCTTGAGTGGTTGGAGATGTCTAATTCTGCGGCCAGATCTAGGCTTGTCCTGAGAAAGCTTACACATCAAGTAATTGTAGTTTCAAAACTGAACCCTCCTCATCAATTCCATACTAACTCAATCCGATCTTTCCAACAGACCAACAAACTGACAGTGCAGTCTAGATTTTTGACTGTCTATTCCAAGTTTTAGAACTTGAGTGGATCACACAGCCCAAGGTTCTGCATGATAGAGGGAGACACTACAGTCAGGCCTGGTACCACAGAGGGATAGTCTATTTGCTAGAGTTTTTGATTATTGTAATGCAATATGGTTGCCAAGTCCTGTGGCAACATGTCAAGCATGATTTTCCACATAGAAGGACTGAAAGACGAGTAAAATAAAAGTACTTGGTCTGAAAAGTTGAGGGACCAGGAATTTTTGACTGTTTAACTTTGGGGGATCCAACAACACAAGAGCTATGCGTGCAAGCATGTGACACCATGTGGCCTAACCAGCAAGCAAATGCCATGGCACATCCCGGAGCTATGTGACGGATGGGAGCCAAAGACCTAGAACCAAAATTGTGTTCAAAGGACATATTGTAGGCTCAGATCTTAGCCGGTCATAGGTAGCTTGGCTAAATGGGGAAAACACATAGAAGTTGAACCTTGGATGAAGGTGGAATGCAGAAGGGTTTTGTTTGCACTTTTACAGTGATTCAAGATTCTTGTCAAGCTTCAGGGCCCTTGTTGCACGGCGCCTCGTTCACATTTCTTTTGGTGTTTAACAAAAGCTGGGCAGACAATGCAACCTGCTCCTGTACAAACGTACTTTGTTTTACTGTCTGACGATAAGATTTCTTCATCACCTTTGTTGCTATCCTCTCTCTTTTACGTTACTTATCAACATGTTTCACCAGTCTTTTCTCAAAATCGCTGTGCTAGTTTGCACTTTGTGCCTCGGAGCACTTCTTGTATCATCAAAACCCGCGGGGGAATCTGCTTACTTCACAACCTTATGCAAAGGTGGATTTTCAGGAGGTGATTATTGGGAGGATATCGTTGGTAGGTTTTGATCTTATCTCTTTGCCGTCAAATTTGAACGTGATTCATTACACAGCTGATCAACTGATTATTCGGGGATGGTACGTGAGTATTATCAGAGTGGAATATGTGGAAAGTGAGGAAATCAGCAAAGGTTGTTGTCGAGCACTCACGAAAGAGGTGCAACAAAATTGGCACTGCGACTTTCCCCCCAACGGAAGACCCGCGCCAAGCCAGTCCAGATTTTTCATTCCTCTAGCAAATGTTTTGTAATTCTCAATTTCACTTTTTCCAAGTTGTTGATCTTTTCACATCTACTTCCTATATACAAAAGTACACTATACACTTAATAAACGTATCCAAGTACAAGCGTTATCCATTTTCGTTGTAATAGTGTACCTGTTTCTTCAAAACTAGTTCTTCTCAGTTATATTGTCTCTTTCGTTGTTTTTTTCGTCGTTTATCGTCAGAAATGCAGAATGATCAAGAACTATCTCGCCAAGAAATCGAAAGAGTTAATAACTCAACTTCCACCTTTAAAAGAATCGATGCCCTGCTTTTCAAATACGACAAGGCGGGGGGCAGCAGAGCTGTCGACATGCGTACCTTACGCGACCAGTTCGCCGAAATCATTCCGCCGACCGACGGAAACTTGGAAAATTTCACGTACAATTTCTCCGTCTTTGCTAGAGCAGCAATCGAGCTGGACTCACGCTCTAATCGGCCCTTATGGAAGATGGTTGGCGAAAATCATGTATGGCCAACCACGGCCAGAGACCTCATGCGCGCCGAGCCGGCTGTCCTCATCACCGGCACAGTCTTTAAACATCCAGCAAGATCTGAGTTTCAGTACCAGGTTCCATCAAATTTACTCACCGAAATTAGTAACGCCAGGTCAGCAGCTAGACATGCCAACGCTGAAGGGCCGTCAAGCTCTCGCAGAAGAGACAATGGCCGTCGTTCGAGAAGCCCTCATCGCTCCTCTCGACGTGCCAGTCCAGACCGCAGGCGACGCGGCTACAGAAGCCCAGCGCGGCGAACCTTCACCTCGAACAGCCCAACCAGGCACTCGCACCACCATTCGGAGCGCTCCAGACGCCGATCGAGAAGCCCTAGGCGACGATCAAAGTCCCCCAGACACAGGTCTCGGAGTCCCAGGCGCCGCTCAGAATCACACAAACGGCGCTCAGGAACCCCAGAGGGTAGGCCTCCACAAGACCTACCTGAACAAAGCTCGTCGTACAGAAGGACTTGGTTCGACAACTCGCCAGAAACGACCCAGCCAAGTTCTCTCCTTAACAGGATCGACAACTCACTGTTCAACCGCATTGCACCTGCACCAAACCCCCACGTGGATAAAGGCAAGAAACGTCACATCTCGCCTTCCCCTGATCGTGTCGACTCTTCGACATCCCTGGATGCAGCCCTCAAAAAATTTATCACCTCCTTCAGCAAGCCAAAGAAGAAACTGGCATGCCAAGCGGCAGACGACGAGCTTCTCGAGGAACAACTCCCGCTCGCTGCCAAAGAGATCAACAGAATCAAATATGAATACAAAGAGGACATGCGGAAATCAATCCAGATCTTCGAAAGCTGTCGAAGCAAGCCCAATAGGTGGCCAACGTCGCAAATCAAGGACTTACTATCTTACGACTATGTGGATCTTGAGAAGCTCAACTCGGAAATCTTCGGCAAACCCGGATCCGCAAAGTCCATCAAAATCAACGATGCCAGAGACCTTGAATTCAAAGAAAAAGTCAAAGGCACACCAATCAACAACTTGGTGCATTGGCTCGAACTCATTGGCATTCTTCGTCAAGCATACCAAGCGGCCTTCCCGCCGGCAAAGGAAGACATTGGAAAGTATTTCGATCATATCGTCAAGCAAGCAGGCAGGGCTTCCCGGGGGATCCACTGGAAAGACGTTCGAGACTACGATGCAGAAATGCGTCTTGAGTTCTCTCGTAACTCCTGGATCCCCTTCGGAAACTGGATGCACGAAGAGCTCGACGGCATCAAGAGCAAACACCTATTCAGCAAGATCAGTCGACTCAACGACGATTCAAAGGCTGAACAGCCAACGGCAAGCTCGTCCCGAACCTCATCAAAGAAGCCAGAGTCGTCCTCATGGTCCAAACCCAAGACGAAGAAATCGGACAAACCACCATGATCGCGTATCGATTTTCCTTACGATCTTAAGAACTCTAGCAAATGGCATCTTAGCGATACTCCTTGCAACAACTGGAACGCTAACATTTGCAAAAAGTCGGACGACGACTGCGAGCGACGCCATAACTTATGCAACAAGGTGGGATGTGATGCCCCTCATAGAGGAATCATCGCGCACGCATAGGCCCAATGACCGAAAATTCCTCCGGGGCCTAGAAGTAGAGCCAGATGCCGAACATTTCTCGGCTTCAGTCAACTTCTCTTTAGACGCCGAACCCCTCCCTTCTGCACCGGACCTTTCTGATGATCCACTGGCCGCCTTTGCCATCAAAAAGAACCCTCACCTTTTCAAAATAATCTGTCCAATAAATTCCTCTCGGCTACGCCTCATGACAAAATCCCACCCCAACCAACCATTCATCGAGTCGATCTTACTTGGCCTCCAAGAAGGCTTCTGGCCACTTTCAACGCTCCCATCGCCAGAGACGACCATCCATCAAAACCATGTCAATTCCAAAGAAGGTCTCGAGCTCCTGCGCAAAACACGCGACAAGGACGTGAAACTCGGTAGATTTTCAGAAGGCTTTAACTCCCCCCTCCAAGGCATGAAATGTGCTCCTCTATGTCTTGCCACCAACAAACATTCGGGGAAAACCCGCATGTGTACGAACATGAGCTACGGCTCCCCATCCCCCAACGACCAAATCGACAAAACTAAAATTAAAATCAAACTCGACTCCATAGCCTCCTTTGTTCCCTCCCTCATCAAGAAACGAGCACCTCAGAAGAAACCACTAATGATCACTTCAAACTATGTATGGGTCGCACCTTCTAAGGGAAGCCCCAAGAAGACCGTTGCCTGGAAATCGGATGTTGATTCCGCTTTCAGAATTCTACCTGTACATCGACAATGGCAACTACGCCAAGCAATCAGAATTGAGAACAAGTACCATATCGACAGGTGTGTAAATTTCGGCTGCGCCAGCTCGCCAAAACTCTGGTGTAGCTTCTTCTCCGTGGTCCTGTGGATCGCCTACTACGAGCTCGGCATTACCGACCTCAACTCCTACATGGACAACTCATGGGGGGTCAACCTGGCCACCGAGCTCGTCACTTTCAAAAGCCACTGCATACCGCTAAGCCAAGCAAAGTTCCTTTCCCTGTTCGATTTCCTGAACATCCCATGGGCATGGGAAAAGCAGCTTTGGGGCAGCAAGCTCGAAATCATTGGACACATGATTGACTGCGACACGATGACGATAGCGCTAGCGGAAGAAAAACGGTCGGCTCTGGTGGCGCAGCTGGAACAATTCGTCCTCTGCCAATCCCAGCCCTTAATCGAATGGCAGCGCCTGACCGGTTGGGCCAATTGGGCACTAAATACGTTCCCTCTCGGCAGATGGTCTCTGCAATCATCTTGGGACAAGATAGCAGGAAAGACATTACGCAACGCCAACGTTCCGCTGAACAAAACCACGAGAGAAGACCTGAAATGGCTGGCAGAAGCCCTGAGACAATGGAACGGCAGGACTATCATGAGCTCATTCCACTGGGAGCTCGAATCAGCGGACGCCGTGTTCTTCTGTGACGCCTGTCCGACGGGAATCGGGATCTGGAACCCGAGGTCCAACAAAACGTGGGACATGACTCTACCTCCGCCATCTAGAGAAATCTACTGGGCCGAACTCCTAGCAGTAGTCACGGCGATCGACCTGTCGCTCGCAGCATCTCCAACAAAAATCCTCATACTCACAGACAACAAATCCGTGTGCTATCTCTTTAGCACACACTGCCCAACAGATTCAGTTCGAGTTCTCTTCAGGCACGCGGTCTCCAAAATGCTGAAACACGATCTGAACATCACGGTAAGACACGTAGCAGGCAAACGAAACAGTATCGCCGAAGCCCTGTCTCGACGTCACATCATCCCAAACAGCAAAGCACAGCCCCCAACTACTGGTCACTGGCAGGCCAGTACATCCGATGTCTCCAAAATGTTTTCAACAAAACTTCAATTGGTTTTCAGCATAACATCCATCTGCTATCAAGATGTTTTGGGTCAGTTACCAGCAAAATATGTCATACCACCAAAATTGAGATGATGTCATACAGCATCATAAACCTGTACAAACCTGCTCCTGTATTTCCCCACCAAGAATATATAGTGTATCAACCTTTGTGACATAAATTGACTGAGTTATTGAGGTTTGAAAAAAAAATCACGGACAAAAAATACTATTTTTGTACTGTACCTAAGAATTGATTCTGGAATATCTTCCAGCTTCATCAATATACATACACAAAAAAATTGATATTCCTTTTGAAAACATGTTTCTCCACATTTTTGTCCCCTAGAACCTTCCTGTATGGGCAGTATTTCTATATGTAATTGTGGTGTGTACATGAGCAGTCAACAATTTGATTGATTCTTTGTTTCTAGGCAGAATACGGCAAAGTTTATGGCAGAAATTTTTGTCAAATACCATCTACATGTACATCAATCAAGATCAGGATGATTTTGGCAATATGTTCCCTCAAAATTTTTCTTGGGGCAAAGAACTTCAGAAAATCAAACTTGTTGCCACATTCAGGAATTACATGTAGAAATACTGCCCACCCTGGAGGGCGTTAGGGGACTCAAATGGGGAGAAACATGTTTTGAAAAGGAATATCAATTTTTTTGTGTCTGTATATTGATGAAGCTGGAAGATATTCCAGAATCAATTCTTAGGTATAGTACAAAAATAGTATTTTTTGTCCGTGATTTTTTTTTCAAACCTCAATAAAACAGTCAATTTATGTCACAAAGGTTAATAAACTATATATTCTTGGTGGGGAAATACAGGAGCAGGTTTGTACAGGTTTATGATGCTGTAGGACATCATCTCAATTTTGGTGGTCTCCCAACCACTTCTCAACAAATTCTCAATCGATGGATGTTATCCATTTGATATCCATTTCATAACTTTCTCATAACTTGCTCATAACTTGCTAGGGTTGGTGGGAGGCACTGGCCTGCCAGTGACTTGCGATTGGGGGCTGTGAAGCACCTCCCTCTCGCGTCCACCTAACCCTCCCAGCCATCCCAAAGTCCCTCGACGGAGGGATCCGCCGTTCGAAATAACACCGACATCGCGAACAACAACAACCCAAACCGTGCCCTGCTACATTCCTGCACTATCCATCTTTGCTTCAGAACCATGCCTTCCAAAAATCCTTCCACCAAACATGTTCTCTCGTTCGACGAGAGAGAAGACCTCAGCACAGCAGACCGTAACCACCATTTAGAACCAGCATCAAAATCAAAATACGAGTGTGGAGCCCACAGATTCCTCACCTTCTGCGAAGACCACAAAATCCTACCTGAACCGTCCGAAATCAATCTATGCCACTTCATCTCGGTAGTCGGCCGCGAGGTAAAACCGACAACCATCAAGACCTACCTTACCGGCATCACTTGCCACTTCAAACCCACCTTTCCGGATATAGTGGTTTACCGCTTATCGGACAATGTCAGACAAACCCTTATAGGCATCGAGAAGCAGCTATCCGAACCTACCAAACATGCAAACGCATTCACACTCATGGACCTTTCCATTGCCTCCAACGCCTTCAACTCATCATTCGATGATCTCCTCTTCAACACCATTCTGGCCTTGGGCTTCGCAGCCCTCCACAGACTCGGCGAGCTAGTGGTGCCCGACGTGCTAAAGCTTTGTAACGTCAGGAAGTCAATCCGTCGATCCACACTGGTGATATCAACATGCGGGAAAGTGGCTCAATACACCCTACCCTACCACAAAGGCGATCGAAAATTCAAGAGCAGCCCGGTAGCCATACTACGTCGGCCAAACTCTCGACTTTGCCCGGTACGGACTCTGGTCCGCTATGTAAACCTGAGAGACGACCTATTTCCATCCCACAGCATTCTCTTGATACGCTCTAATGGTGAACTGCCAACGAGGTCTTGGTTCATCTCCCGCCTCCAGTCCATCTTCAGGACGACTAGATCTGGCCACTCCCTCCGAGCTGGGGGGGCAACTGCGCTAGCACAGTCAGGAACCGCCTTATCAACCATCCAAGCGATTGGACGATGGCAATCTGATGCTTGGAAACTCTACGTCAGAAACCACCCGATACTCAATATGAAAGAGGCCGAAGACCACATGCCGCAGACCGGACTTACAGTCGGGGAGCATATTCAATTCCCAATGAATGCTCCTGTATGTACTCGTCCCTCCCAAGCTTCCCACATTTCGTTCGAACTGACCGTCCTGTCCTTCTCACAGCTACTGCCTGAAGACGGTCGGGCAAGTTCTCGAGACTATCCAACAGCACCAACTGTTGGATACACTGGTGAGTGCATCGTCCGTTGGACTTCACTCACACGTGCTGACGCTCGCCCTTTATAGGAGCCACGTCTACTGTTCGTTCCCGAAACACGCTGTTCAGCGACACAGAAGGACCACCATCCGGTGACAGTGAGCTCCCAGTGTTACACACTCGAGCTAAATTCCCAAACTGACTTTCCTGCTCCGCACGAAGCCAGGGCGCACGGCGTCGTACCCGGAGAAAATTCCCCGCCTAGACAGGGTCCCTCTCGTACGTGACTCGGCGTAACTCACCAATCATGCAGAGTCGTGCCACAGCGCCATACACCGCACATCAAGAATCTTTTACCTACCATCATCGACTCTCACAAATACGAGGGCGGTGTACTCTCTGCGCTCTAAAAAAGTCCGGCTTCGTCTTATGCAAACCAGGCCCCAGGGCCACATCTCTGAGTAACACACAACAACCCGCGCCACCGAACAAACTGATTCCTCGGGGATGGTACGTGAGTATTATCAGAGTGGAATATGTGGAAAGTGAGGAAATCAGCAAAGGTTGTTGTCGAGCACTCACGAAAGAGGTGCAACAAAATTGGCACTGCGACTTTCCCCCCAACGGAAGACCCGCGCCAAGCCAGTCCAGATTTTTCATTCCTCTAGCAAACGTTTTGTAATTCTCAATTTCACTTTTTCCAAGTTGTTGATCTTTTCACATCTACTTCCTATATACAAAAGTACACTATACACTTAATAAACGTATCCAAGTACAAGCGTTATCCATTTTCGTCGTAATAGTGTACCTGTTTCTTCAAAACTAGTTCTTCTCGGTTATATTGTCTCTTTCGTTGTTTTTTTTCCCGCCCACCACCCTCTAGTCAGACTGGGGTTAAGTTTCGGGCTAATTCTCTCACTTTCTCTTCTACGCGAGTAGGGGGGTCCCTCAGTGAGGGACCCAGCGCCGAGCTTTTTGGCCACCCGCAAGTACTCTCTGCGCTCTAAAAAAGTCCGGCTTCGTCTTATGCAAACCAGGCCCCAGGGCCACATCTCTGAGTAACACACAACAACCCGCGCCACCGAACAAACTGATTCCATATGTCTCTTCTAACGCTCGAAGTCTGTCAACCTGGAACGCATACACTGGCCCAGCAAAATTGCCATAACCGAGGCTGTTATCATAAGGGTAAGTATCATTTACATGAAGAAACTCATCGTGTGATGATGAATTCTCGCAAAGAAGCTCATTCGTGCACATCTACTTTATGAATGTCAATCTGTAGGAGACAAATGGGTTGAATTGGGTGGCTGTATACTTGAAGGCACCACCAGTGGCGAAACCACTCAAAGGTGCGCAAGGTATCATTGGTTAGACGAAGGAGGATACGGTGGGTCCCCCATCTCTTTAGCATCCTGTTTTCCATAGCTCATTTCAGACTTTTATACACCTTGGAATGTGGATCAAATTATTTAGGTTGTTATAACCATGGAGGTCGACATTATGTGTGCAAAGGGACTCCAGACAAAATCCCGTACATAAGTAAGCTAAATCCAAGACGTTCTACAAAGCCTAAAGAATTGACGAGATGGTCTTGTTCCTTTCTCAGCATGTACACAATGTTTTACCGATACTTAGATCCTATTCGAAGCACGAAAGGTCAGGTTGGTTCATGCTTAATTACTCCCTAGGAAGAGGACCACGATAGACATCAGAAAGACATGTGGATCTTGTGCACTACGTCGGATTTGATTGATTTACTTTGAAGTGCTGCTTCTGATAAAATTTCGATTTTTCTTGTTCATCATGTGATGCTTAATCATTCACTGAAGGAACACAAATGTTCAATTTTGCAAGGTTGAATCCTCAGAAACAGACGTTTATAGTGCCTTCAATTCTCCCTCGATGCATCGGTTCTGAAACTGTCACATAAACTTTGTGACTCTTTTTGTCATCCGATTTTTGCTTTCAACCTCTTCTTTGTGCCATATAAAGTGAGATGATCTTTGAGTGATACAGTTAATACAAGTTTTTTTCTCCATTGCCTCAACTTCAAGTGCTATTGGAGCCATTTGGCTATCAACCAAAATATGTTGTTCTAGGACCGGTAAAACACTTTCATTATCTGTAAGCCTGAAGAGTATCCTTGTGGGATTTTTAAAGAACAATGGTGATACTCTGGGAGACTTTCAAGCAGTTAAGCTTCAGGAGACTTCGATTGTATCACTTGCACGAATTTTGTTGTGAGTGCTGAAATGTGTTGAGGATGGTTTTGTGCCTTGGGGTTCTTTATGTTAAGTGGGTTTAAGTCTTAAGTACATAATTATCAGTGTTTTCCAAGTTTGAGTTGATTGGTTCTCTTGACCTCAGCCTCGACCATCACGATCAATCTCAAGAAAGATGACATCCACTCCATCCACTTCACTTTCAACTTCATCACTCGAATTAGATGTATCCAAATTTATCTCTCAATCAGGTTTCATGTATCGTGATGAAAACCATATAAGTAATTCATTACTTTGTTCGATTTGCTCGTTAGTCTTTTGCAAATCATTCTTTCCTCCAATCGATATTAAACTGATTTGTCCTTTTGATTTTCTTTTTAGTGAACCATGGATCGATCCTCTTGTGGCTTCTTTCTGTGGTCATATCTTTTGTAAGAAATGTATTCACACCTGGTAAGCTTTCATTCCTTGATTTCTCTGATCCCAAAAAAGCTTTAATTTGATCAATCAAACTGATTCTTCAAATCTATTCACAGGATTAAACATATACCTACTTGTCCAGTTGATCGATCACCATTAACACCATCACGTTTAACCCAACCTCCAAAGATCTTAAACGAATTAGTCCAAGAACTTGTGGTGTTTTGTTCATTAGGTTGTAGTTGGGAAGGTAGAAGAGATAATTGGAAAGATCATTTAGAAAGATATTGTCCTGAATCTAAATCGTCAATCCTTAACTTAGATTCATCTAATCATCAAGCCCAATCTCTTACTACAACTATAAACAATACAAATGAGAATCAGACACCTAAACTTGATGAAGAAGAAACCTTTAAAGAACGTTGGAAGAAATTAGCTAGAGAAATCACCATACTTAAAAAAGAATCAAAAGATTATATAGAAACGATTGAAATGTGGAAAGATAAAGTAGAGAAAGTAAGTCTTTAAAACAAACTGAGTTTTGACTTTTTGGTGATTTTCAAAAACCTAATGTAGTTGATTTAGCTTCAATTAGAATTAAAGAAATCAATCGAAAACTCTCCTACCATTGATCCTGGTTCACCTATTCGACATGATGATCCAAGTAGACCTTCTTCAACCGATCAACCAACTCATCGAGCAACCTGTGATTTCTGTCGTTGTCATATCCGTGGTACTCGTTACAAATGTCAGTCTCTCTTTCTTCTACTTGATGGATTTCTTTTCCCATTGTCTAATCCTTGGTTCTATTTCATCAGGTTTGAAATGTCCAGATTTAGATTCATGTGAAACTTGTTATGGTTCAATTTCTCATCATCATCCGATTCATGACTTTGTACCCATCCGAAACCCCTCAGATGTCAACGTTATTTCCGTAAGTTTTCCTCATCGTCATCTTTATCTTTCTATCCCAAGTTACTAATCTTATTGAACGAAAATAAGCAGTTACCCGAATGGAAAATAACTCATCCGAGAGTCAGTTGTAATCACTGTGGGTTTCAAGTCGTAGGACCTCGTTTCAAATGTACCTTATGTGCAGATTACGAGTTAAGTTTCTTTTTGATCTTCTCTGTTCCTTGAGATCTACTCGGACTGATTTGTATGTTTGCTTTTGATTAGTTTATGTCATCTTTGTTTCGCTTTACCTCGTCCTCCTCATCCTCTTAGTCATCCAATGACTCGTTTTGTTCATCCTCAAAGATGAAACGTTATTCTTTATATCTTTTTGTCTCTTATTGTAATGATCATTAGCTACAGGATGGAAAGTGTTTTGTTTAGTTTGTTTTGGTACCACTGATTTATTTAGCAAGTTGTCTTCTCAGTATTATTAGTATTCTTATCTCAATGTTTTGTTTTTGTATATTTTATAGGACTTGAAATTAGTACATCTTAAGATCATATCAATTTAAATGATATCTTTATTTTATTATTATCTTTTAGTATTCTTATTATTCTTAATCTCTTGTTGTAGTTTTAGAATCCTAAAAGAAACTCAAATTATGGGTTTTTTTGTTTATGTTTATATATATATGTATGTAAAAAGTATGAATTGTAAGATTTCTATCAAGTTTATCGGTTTGGATCTTATTTTGATTTCATTTTTTTTTTTGGTTTAGGTCTTGTGGTAGTAACAGTTTTGTGAATTTGTATGGTAATGTTTTGATCTAATTTGAGAATGAACAAGGCTTTGAACTTGGTCTTACATATCTTTGAATCCTGATCACAATGGAGTCATTCATGGTATGCCATATAGTTTTGGGTAAAGCTTGTTCTTTGTCTGTGGTACCGTTTTGTGTTCATGATTAGATTTATGTGTGTTTTACTCCCAACCAAATGTTGCCGTACATTTATCCCATCTGGCAACCAAATTCTCTCGAGTTACTCTCTTTTCTCATATTGTGAAAAGATACTACAAGAAAGAGGTCCTTAGTTTAAGCTTAGCATTTAGCGGGTTATGCAGGTGAAAGGGAGAAGGGAGTTGACTGGATGAGAAAGTCATAGAGGAAAGCTTGAAAGGGTTTCTTTTTCGAAAGAAACAAAACGAAATGTGATTCACACGTATAGATATCACTTCATAATCGATTTAGTCACAAATGTTCAACAAGAGGAAACTATGGTCAATTCCTGTTTCGGTAAAACGTAAAACATCGTCAACCCATGATCGTAATCCTCCTAATCATATTGGGTATCAATGGAGGCTTGGAATTAAATTTTAAAGGATCGAGCGCCTACAAGACTAACATCAACGTCGTCGATGTGACGATCTAACTCTGAGCTCCGAGCTTTAGCGAGGGACTTGAGGACCTATGCCCAAATTGTAGTGAGCAAACTTGTCTTCCCTCTACAGCTTTTCATACCGAAGATAACTGTTCATGTGTGCAACACTGAGGTAGAGTTCGAGGTCGGTGTTGTTGTCACTATGATCATCGATGAAGTAAAGTAATAAAGAGGTACTTATGATGATCAATTGCCTCTTCTGCTTTCGGTTCAATCAAAGGTACATATATGCTTTTTTTTCTATTTACGAATCTCATCCCTTATTTCGATTTTCATCAAATACTTCAAGTTCAAACTTTATCATATACTTTTTAAGAGAATATATTGTAGATATTTTCATTTAAAGATTGTATCAACATACCAAGATTTAAACAAGAAAATGTTTATGAAATTTAGTTTATTTTGTTCATATTTTTTCTTCCTTATGGTAAGTAATATTTCAATCATATATAAACCAAAAAACCGAGTATCAAAGCTGATGATCTTGCAACAACTTTAAATTTAATAAAAATCCATAATTAAATGATGGATAGATCAAAGAAATCAAATCAGAATCGGCTATTATAAAATATAAATGGACAGAATCAGATCCAGATTTTGCAGGTGAAGTAGTAGTTACATGGCAAAGAGATGGAACTTGTGAAGTACAAAATATGGGACAACAAAATATGGGACAAGGATATATGCAACAAGGGAATATGCAACAAGGGAATATGCAACAAGGAAATATGGGACAACAAACTATAAGCAGTGGTACTTGTGGTGATCCTATGATGGATATAAATAATTATATACCAGGTGGATATGATTCAATAGGGTTTGGAAAAGCTAGTTGGCAATATAGTCCAATGGATTGGGGAGGTTGTAATTCATTAAACACATTAAAACTGAGTCTCTTTCCAAAGGGAGATCAAAAATCACCTCAACAATTCCGGTTGCAGGTAAGAGAGGTAAGTCTTTTTTGATCAATTTAAAACCTGGTATATAATTTGATTTGGGTATTTAAATTTAATGAATTCTCCATTGATCAATTGAACAAAATTGGATTGTAAAATGATCTCATAAAAAATGAAATTACTAGATGTGTTGTGGTAAGTGAATCATACTCCTTATATATATTTCAAAACTTATTAAATCACAATCTCAAACTTTTTAATGGCTTTTTTCTCTCTTTCTGATAGATAAAAAATGTGCAGAAAACTCTTTACCTAATGTTGATTGTTTGTATGGTAAGTCAATCTGATCCATCAAAATAATGTAGAAAACAAACACAGTGCCCATGTGGACTGCCCCAGATATTGGGGGCTTCAATAAGTACAAAGGCTTGCCTTTGTCCTCTTGAGGGCCCTCAACGTCTAGGGCTCCCTCCACAGGCACAGTGAAAGTAATTTGAACTGATTATCTATTATTATTGTTAGGTCCACCTGGTAAAGTATTAAATTGGAATACATATTGGATTGATCCATGTTTCAATTTACCAAGAAATCAAACAGCTGTTACACAAACTCAAACACCTGTTACACAACCTCAAACATCACCTGCACAAATTCCAACAGGTTCTGTTTGATTTTGTTTTTCCAAATTCAAAATATTGTTCTTTTACAAAATGATCTCAAATTTTAATTTCTATATATCTGGCTTGTAGATAACTCATCAGACAATTGTTTTTATATATTTATTGCAGAGTATCTTTTAGATTCATAAGTACACCCAACATTTTAAAATCACAGTTGGAACAAAAAAAACTTCCTTTTAGTTTAAACTTAACTAGTCATTTGGGTGGTGGGCACCGCACTGGAGTGGACCTTTCAAGTTTAGTTTGATAGTTTGATTTATAACAACATGCAGATGTATCTTGTACCTCAGATGCATGTCTAGTTGAATGTAGAGCAATTAATCTGATGCATTTGATTCCAACTCAAAGGCATCAATAAGGTGACCAGTGAAGATAGCATAAATCTGGCTACAGCTCTGGGTATAAATCAACTTGCTTCATGAATCAGAGAAGGGAAGCTAAATGAGGGAGGACATAAAAATATAGATACATATATTGAGACCCAAAAGATTAGTACATGAGTGTAGGAACAGAATAAACCAAGGAAAACATTGTCTTAAAGAGATTCATGAAGTTGAAAGGAAAGTAAAAGAGAAAGGATATAAAATAAACAAAGAACCAAAAGATACAAAAAGAATAGAGTCATTGAGGTAACTTTTATCCATGTTCTCCACCAAGGTAAGAACCTCTGAATACTCTCCATGAACCTAGATACCTGATCTAAGCCACTCCTGAGATGAAGCAGATTGCTCAACAGTACGGCTTGCCATAGCCAATTGATCAGAGCCACATACATGATCAGCTGCACCTGAAAAGCCCCATTCACAAGAACATGTTGGTCCAGAGCATCCCAAAAGTTGCAATGCATGAGAGCAAGGACATGAAATGCCCCAGAATTGTCCTAAAAAATAAGAGGTAGTCAGAAACTTTTCTATAAAAGCCAAGATGATTAAGAAAAAATACCTTCCACCACCACAAAAGTGTGCCACAACTAAGTGGAAATTTACCAGACATATGTTTAACCTTCCATTTCTTGGTTGGTATAATTGTTAGAGCCACATGACATCAAAGCAAAGACACTTGTCATCATCAACAGGATTATCTTGCTGATCAGTGGAGATAGTTGTGACTGGGTGACTAGCTTGGTAATGATTCAGACAAGATTCCATAGTTTGTTCAACAATTCTCTGAATGCAAAAAAAAACTTCTGCCACTGTAGCTTAAATTTATGTAAATTTGACAAAAAAACAGGAGAAGTTTTATGTATCTTGTTTTTCTAAAATGTTGACTTGAACAAACCTAAAACTACAGCAGGAAACCCAAAGAAAATCCACAGGTTTCTCAACTAGCAAACTGGTGGTCAACAGGCAACACTTCATAACCCTGCATGGCATTGTACACCATCCATTGTCTCATGGCCTTTCTCTCTTATTTTCTTCAAATATTGATTGATTCACCTTTTTGACTACCAATTGACTCACCTTTTGAATATCAATAAAATCACCTTTTGAATATGGATATTTAGAGCCCTCGGAACAGTATCCGGTGCCCCCTCTCGGGTCGGACACCAGGCTACAAACGATTCAGGAGCCCCTTTTTACAAAAAGGGGCTCCTTGTTGGGGCTCCGAGTCTCATGTTATTCATTTCATCTCGCCTATTTACTTATATTCTCCGTTTTCGACTAAAGGATTTCCTCTTTTTTATGTATATGACACGCCTCTGACCTTTGAGGAACCATCTGAGCGAAGTAAAAAACTGAGCCATTTTCACTTCGATGATGGTCCAACGAGCTGAGCTCAATTAATCACGCTAGATTATCTCTTACAAGATATGTATAGATAGAAATGTAACTACAGATGGTGGATTAAAGACAAATCTTAACACATCAGATCCCAGCTTCATTTTGATTACAATACAATCTAGATTTCTTCAAATCCAACTTGAACTTGTTGAAACAGTATACTTATAGTCAAGGCTGCACTTTTCTTTTAGCATTTGAATAAGGAAGACAAAACAAAATCTTGTTTTGAAAAAAAAAACATCAAAAGTTTCTACCAAATAGAACGATAAATTTTATAAGACTTTTGCATTTACTCTTGATTAACTGAAGGACAATTATAAAGTCTTGCATGGTTTTGTTGAGTTAAATTGAATGATTGGTTCGAAGGAAGATCATTTTGAATCGGTGGAGGGATGAATTTGGTTGGATTTGAACTATAAAACTTCGATTAAAGAGGGCATCAAGTCTTGCGGAAGTAGCTATTGAATTGGACTAAATTGAATATCTTCAATCATAGCTTGGAAATCGAACTCCTTGGCCAGTTGATGACTCGGCGAGGTTGATTCGGATGTGGTAACTGGGTTGGTGATTAACTGAATGGTTGGTCAGATTCAGGTTGCTGTTTGAAATTTGAAATTGTGATCAGTAGGGGGAACAGGTAAGGAGGAAGAATCAGACAAGGGAAAAGAGTCACTTGAGGGGCCAATCCGTCTTAGGGAGCCCTCCAGGTCCGAACGTGCAAATTATAGGCTAAAATCAGTGGGGTGTCATTGGGTCACGCGGGTTTTGGTTAAAACCCGGGGGGCTCCGGATATCAGCCGAGGGGGCTCTAAATAGTGGGATCCTTGAATATCAATCAAATCCCCTTTTGAATATCAATCAAATCACCTTTTGAATATCAATCAAATCACCTTTTGAATATCAATCAACTCACCTTTTGAATATCAATCAACTCACCTTTTGAATATCAATCAATTCTAAACCAGGCAACTCATTGTGACCTTGACAGGTTTCAAGTGTTCCAATAACTTGTGACTGTTAGATACAGTCAACTCTCTCTAAGTGCATACACATGTGCGGGTGGAAATTGCATGCACTTAGAGGAATACTCACTTAGGGAGTCCTCTCTCTAAGTGCATGATAGTATGCATAACCCTCTAACTGCATGTACCATGTCAATATCCTTGTAGCACATTGATGTGCACACATGGTGAGTTTTGAAACAAATCTTCAAGTCTTTTGGTCAAATTTAGACTGAGATTGTTGTTGAGCACCCTTTGTGAATAGTGATTTATTTAAAGGATTCACGGATTCCTTTGTGGTCAGCAGGGGTCAACTGACTTTCAACCTCCCAGGTGATAAGGGAAGATGTGCTTGTTGTGACACCTCTTTGATGGGTCTTTACAGGGTTTAAGATCTTCCATGTGTGCACCTTGATGTGCTACATGTATATTTACATGGTGATGAAATATTGTGGTTAGAGGGATTTGCCCTTTAACTGCATCAAAATTTGCAGTTAGAGGGAACTGGTGTGTGCTTCCTTATAAAAAACACAGCAAAGAGACAGACATAACACATATAATCCATTTCAACCACACGGAATAGATTACAAGAAGAAAAATAGAACATATTGCATAAGGTTCACTACAGGAAGTCACTTTTTGTTGTGATGTATCTGGAAAAAATCAGTCACGTTGGTTTGTTTCGAGAAAGAATGAGAAATTTGTCCTGATGTATGTTTCAAGCTTGTGCAAAGAGGCATCACAATCATCTGCCTTGACGCAGTCTTGTGCTTCAATGTAGCAGAAGAGAGTCAAAATTGCTTTCATAGTATCTTGAGGTGTGGGAGCGGGTTCAATTTCTAATGGATCCTCTTCAACTTTGGATTCCTTCTGGGCAATAGAGTATTGATTGATGATATCTTCCGTTGGTGTGACCCCATGTTAGATTTTGATTCAGTCTATAGATCCAATAACATTTTCTAGTGAGATTGTGTTGGATGATGACAGCGCACCAATAGCTTGCAAATTTTTGAAACCTTCTTCAATCTCTGAGTGAGTTTCCTTTCTTTTTGAAAACATCAATTTGAAGCCAAGCAATGTTCAGTGATTCAAAGCATCAATATGATTTGATAAAGAAGAAAGTATCAAAGACTTACAGGAGATCACCCTCTCAAGAATATTGTATGTCATTTATGCACATAAATGGACTCATGACGGCTCAGAACCTTATGCACTATGCAGTTAAGGAATTTTACACACTTAGATCTTATTCCTGGTACCTCCAAAAATGGCAGGAAAAAAACTCATGCACTTAGGGAATTATCCACTAAAAGGGAGATCAACTTAGAGAGTGTTGACTGTATGGGATCAATTCCTGTGTAGTGATGTCATTGAGTGATTTATGGCGCGGATATCTAAGAATAAGGGTTCAAGATAACTTGATATGATTAAAGACCTTGACTTATCAACTAACCTTATACAGGATTAACAATCTCTTCAACAGATGAATCTGATTTACTTTCTTTATCTTCTCCAAAAACTAAGTCGTCCAGTAAGTTGAAGCATCCAACCTCCAGTGAGACCACCACAGGAGGCATGGCAAGGCTTTGTCTGGCATCCTTTGGTAGCCTTTGGTCCTCATAGAGACGGTACATACAGTGTTGTACAATGAGGGAAAATGGAAGAGATGTTAGTTGCTTTTGGTTGCTCTTAAAGTCTTGAGTCCAACTGAAGCCTGTGTCCTATTCCTTTGAACAGGCGGATTTCTTAATGATGATTGTTGTGGGATATTTTAAAGATTATTTTACAGTGCTATTGGATTGGAAAGTTGATTCATCATCATTATAATATCATCAACAACTTATCAGTAGTTGTTATTAAAAACTCCAGAACACAAAATGAGTCTATATACTTAAAGAAATGTTCTTCCCAACTGTTTCCCCTCCTCAGCCTTGATTTTATACCCTGTTTCTATGCTTGCCTCTGATTCCCTATACTGACGTATTTGGCATCTCTACTTGCCTACCTATCCAAACCCTCTACTTCCCTTTACCTATTCCTATATATCATACCATCACCCCAAAACTCCTCTTTCTGCCTTAGCCTTAGTTTTTCTCTTGCTCTCACGTTCTTCTGTTGGCATGTAATGTTTGAACCTTTTTTAGGCCACTAGACACCTTTTCTTCCCTTTGACCCGCTCTTGTAATGTGCAGTTGTTACTCTCACATTG